TCAAGGTCATCTAATATATTATTCCTTATGGAGGAGCGTATTCCAACCACAAACATTCTCTATCTAACCTTGTCCTGGGGAATCTTTTTCAGTTGTTTCCAGTTTCTGTTGATCCTTTTCATTTCTGCTTCTAATTTTCGACGTATTGTGTTCTTTTGTCTTCATCTTATTCGTTTTCCTTCAGGATTCTAAGTTAGCGCTTGATTCGTGATGCAGTTTTAGGATTTCTGTAATCTGTGTCCTGTCAACTTTTAAAATCTTTTCTTAATTTCTTCTTCAACTGGAGGCTGGTTTGTGCTCTCTTACAGTAGACTATCGCTGATGGTTTCCAGTCAATGGATATTCAGTATCTTGTGTAGACAATTGCTGATAAATACTTGTAACTTTTGGATGATGGTTGTAATAGTTCCCGAAGTTTCAGCTTTGTACAGTAGAGTTACTTACGCCTATTACTCCTCGTGAAAGAGTATAGACCGCTCATCAGCATTCTCCATCCAACCCTGTCCTGGGCAATCCTTTACAGTTCTTTTCAGTTGTTATTCATCCTTTTCATATCTGATTCCATTTCCCGACGGAATGTATTCTTTGGCCTTCCTCTTTGCCGCTTTCCTTCAGGATTCAAAGTTAGGGCTTGCCTCGTGATGCAGTTTGATGATTTCCTCAATGTATGTGCTATCCATTTCCATCGTTTTTTCCTAATTTCTTCTTCAGCTGGTAGCTGGTTTGTTTTCTTTCACAGAAGGTTGTTGCTGATGATATCCGGCCAATGGATGTTGAATATCTTGTGTAGACAACTATTTATAGATACTTTTACTTTCTTGATGATGTTTGTAGTAGTTCTCCAAGTTTCAGATCCGTAAAGTAGAACTGCCTTGACGTTCTCGCTTCTATAAATAGAATCTTTGTATTATGTAACTAGTACTTAATTTTGTTTACAATAATTAGCCTTGATTAAGTCATTAATATGATGATGTAATTTCTCTATTTAATTAGTAAGTAGTTTACTGTGTACTTCACAATAATAATAATAATAATAAATTTGTTCTTTCTTTCTCATTGTGTTGATCTTTATATACTACTGAATATTGAAAAGGAAATCATTCAACTAAATGTATTTGTCTTGCGTGAATAGAATAGAGGGCGAGACTATAATTTACAGACAAACTAATCAGATTTACAATAATGGGTCTTAAATTTTGGCGCATTATTCATTCACCCATTTGGCTAAATCGAATTTTGGCATTTAAGATGATGTCAGTTCATGATGAAAACCCTAAACCTAATGTCCTAACCCCTAACCATCAACTGTATATCATAATCTTTATTCGTCAAACTGCTTTATAACCCTCATTTAGTCGTAGTAAGTAGGTAGACACTCTCATGGCCATTTTAGCGTCACTCAAAGGTCGTCCATAAATTATAGTCTCACCGAACAAAGATAAGTCATTTATCTTCACAAACTCCATTTAGTCAACCGTAAGCTTATGTTTAATTTAGTTTTTTTTTAAATTTATTTTAAAACTATCATGGTAGTTCTCATTATCACACTGTTTATTTTTACCATATCTGAAACTAATCATATTCTAGTTATGTGTTGTGACAGCTTCCGAGAATTACGACGAAACCTCCATTGGGCCCTAAAGGAGATGAAGAGTTTCCATTCAATCAGGACTTGATGGGGCTTTCTAGAATATCAACGTGGTATACTACGACTGAACAGTAGCATAATTTGCCTGTTTGAGGATTGGTTGAATGATAATGATGTTAGAACATACGCTAATATTGATAAATACCCATGATTTTCCGTACATTTTGATTCATACCAAACAAACTCCTCTCGAGTTGTCTACTGATTTCTCGATTGTGCAGTTCCATATGTTCAAGTACCGTAGTTATATACCGTATTCTGCGTTAATCAAATAGCAAATATAACATTTTATACAAAATAAAATGTATAACTTATCTGATATACCATGGTGTTGTATTAAATATTTATGAATTATAAAGTCTGAACAACACATCATAGTTGTTTTTGGTAGAAAGTAGAGTACTTCCTATGAAACTCATCTTTTCTTCACTTAAATTTCACTCGGTTAATAGGATAATAGCCACAAATGAGGAAAATACAACGGTATCCATGTCTATCCTCCCGAGTTCTTACTATCCCACTGAAATGGATAATATACTGATGACTATCTCCTGAAATTCAGTCAGAGAGAATCTGTTTCCCATTCAAACTGATTACTATACCTACGATAGCAAGGCTGAGAGAAGTAGCAGATACACAGAGGATGAAAACTATCCGTAGTCCGTGTTAATTAAGTGAGTTTATTTGAGTGACTACACTTAAACCGTATAAGCGAATTTTAGCGGCACAGTATATATCAGTGGTACGAGATTCTAGAGTCCTAGTTAATGAAGCCTGTTATTACATTTGACTTACAGTTTTGACGTTGTAAGCTCCAACATGGCTAGTGAGGACAAAGAAGAAACCGTAGAAGAGGAGTTGATAGTAGGGGTAGAAATACCAGGAAATGAAGTGGGGATTATATTGTGAACATGCTTCTCAGTGTTTTTAGAGATGTAAAGATGGTTGTTACCTCCTGGTCACCTGAAGATTAGAAAGAGACTTAATGAGGTACCTGAACAGGATCATTGCTCTAATTCCTAATTCCCTTATAAACAAGGGTGTGTCTTAAAGCAATTACCAGTTTAATATAAGCGACAAAGCACAGTATTTAAGTAATAAGTCAGCAGTAGTAGGATGGTCAACTTATCACGAAATAACAATCACTTACAAGTTTACGAAAACGAAACAACTGCACATAATTAAATACTTTTTATTTAGTGTATTCAAAATCAAAAACGCATGAAAGTAATGTAGAGAAGGTTGCTTATTCCCACAAAATCCGTAGTAATCGAAAAGAATATCACCTTTCATAATTGTCAATCACAAATGCTGAACTCTATGTACATAAAAGAAATGATTTGGTCAAATAAAACTTCGAAATTTCCGTTTTTTGAGGTCCCAGTACCATTTCATGGAGGTAAAATAGGGAACAGTAGAATGTAGCTGACTTATAGAACTCAATGCTATTGGTTGGTCAATAGTTTAAAACTTGGTCTATGGAACTAGAAGTTCCCATTATTTGATCATAAGTTGAAACAACCGAGTGATTAATGATGTGGTTAGAATTCTAGTACTACACAACATGACAAATAGTTTAACGAGGTGGTATATCTTTATCGAATGAAGTGGTTTATACATATGCACATAATCAATGGTTGATTTTGTGGGATATGGTTCAAAATCGGTCGCAATAGCACAGGTTCACAGAAGATTACTGTCTCATAATCTGGTACTCAACCACTAATTGATATTTTGTATTATTTGATCCAACCTAATGGTCTAACTATCTGGTGTAATATCGTACTATCCAATATTAAGTACAAATTTTGAAATTCCCTGTTATATTTAGTCTTTCATATTAAGACCGACAATTCCGTTATTTCTACTCCTTTATTACTCATTTTGTTAAGGTAAATATTATGATAAGCATACCTTTGAGATCTTTAACAGTAGCATATCATTCGTCTGAACATTGTCTGTTTTAGACATTCGGTGCATAGTTGTGTAAAGGGCCAAGCCCACACTGGACATATATCCATTTATATAGTTATGTGGAGCATTTTTTATTGACTACATTAAGTAAGCTCTTCCAAAACCCACCTCTAAACATTATCCTGTCCGGCTACTTAAGAAGTCAAAGGCTCTATCCTAGAATATCTAGTTAGTACTGGTTAGTCCGTTCTATCAGAATCATTCTTCAAAACTAATCATAATCAGAAGAATCGGTCCTAAAGGAATACAAATAAGAAGCTGTAGTACGACAGATGCTATAGCTATGGACCTCTACGTACAAAAACAGTGCATTCAGTTCGTCATTTTCCATGATATTAACCTTTTTTTCTATTTCCTATGATCTACTGTTTCTTCACAACTGTTCATTATCCTTTTAATCTTCCTATTGATCAGTTCAATCATCAATTTCTGCTCATAATGTTTATAATAATGGCAATATTAATGCGATGGGCACAGGATACACATATATCAATAAGAGACTGATCAATTGTAATCCTAAACATCAAAGAGAAGATTCAAACAACCAGTACAAGTTAATTAAGATTCATTTGATTGCATAATCTAGTGGCTATCTGAACTCGGTACATATGTGCATCGGCCCAAGTTGCCATATCTCATTAGTATAATAAGATGAACACCAAATTCATAGTAGTCACTTCAATGGTATTAATGTATAAAAGATTGTATACAAGGATATAGTAAATAAAGAATGAAATAGTTGGTAGAAAGAAAGATATAAAGCAAATTTAATCTCATAGTATAAGGGAAAACAAAGAGTGTATACACCGACACCATTGTAATCGATTCTGAGCCATCTCACCCAGAGTTTCTATCCATTGGTTACGATAGTCACGTGGACACCAACCAAGCAGTCTGCATCTACCAACATGATTCAGACTAAAAGTTAATGACTTCAAGCACTGATGTCACGTTCTGTTACTTTGTCTCCAATTGTGTTCTCGTTCGCTACACTATTACTACTACTATTTCCTAAGCAAATAAATCAATCATAAATATGATTCTACACCTTAAATTGTCAAAAAGGAAGAAAAAAGACTCTTTTCGTTGATAATTATCTTTATTCTTTTATTCATTTTACTGATTATCCTTTGAGAAATAGTATGAAAGTATACAGAAAGAAAGAAAGAAAAAAAATGACAAACAAGGAAGCAACGAGACAAAATGATACAGTTTACACGACACATTAAAATGTAAAGTCATGCCGAAGGGGGGGGATGGATGAAGTAATATCAACATCGGGAGAATACATGTACAACAATATTAATGATGATAATAAATAATAATAATAATAATAATAATAAATGAAATATCTGTTATTTAACAATGACATATTATTTTATAATAATTGACATCGATCCGATTGTGATTTGATATTACGAAGACGTTTTTTTGGATGGAAATTTTTTAAATATTGAACTTGACGAGCATTTAATGCTCCATTTCTTTGTCTAAAATTAAAGAAAAAAAATATATGGAAATGGTCAATAATACTATTTGATACCTTATAACATAGAACCCAGCACATATGTCTATTGGTTTAAGTTATTACATACTGTTAGTGTAGCGAGATGGGAGGATTAAGGTAATATCTAGGGTAGTAGAAGTAATAACAGTATTAGTGGAAATAGAAAAGTTTACGTATCCAGGGTACGACTTGAGAAGAAACTATGAATTAGCGGAATAAACGAACATGGATAAAATAATTTAGAAACTGCTCTCAAATGCTCTGGTACGGCTGAGAGTGGGAAGAGTCAGCTCTGTCTCTCCGAATGATATCACATGGCCACGTGTATAAAGCCAATGTCAGGGAAATCTCACTCACCGCCTAGTCGTACCACGGGGGTGTTGTTAACGAAATTGAGAGGACAGAAAGCAAATGTCCGGTGCTTTAACCAGGTTGGTGGATATGGAGGATCCATTTGAGGGAGTTATTTATTTATTTGAACACATAAATATTGGTACAAGAGGGCACCAAATATATATGCGCCACACAAATTTTCATTTTATGTGTGTGGGCTGTGATACTGCCCGGGTGCCCAGACCGAAGCAGGTGGCTTTTTAGAGGGACACACCCCGAGCCTTTGACCTAAAGGTCTAACCCACAAGGCAGTGGAGCATCGCAAGGAGATGCAGTCCCATGGTAGCCGGTGACCAACGATTGGTTCATACGCCATTTGTTCCCGCAGGATACTGGAACCCATGTGCACCATTGGTTTGGGATCTGGTTATAGTGCCGGACATTCGCTTTTCGTCCTCTCATTTTCGTAAACAACACCCGTGATGCAAGAAGGCAGTGAGTAGGACTTCCCTGGCAGAGGCTTTATACGCGTGGCCGTGTGAGAGAATTTCGAGAGGGAGGGCGGGCCCACCCCACTCTCGGCCATACCAGCGCATTTGGGGGCGAGGTCGTGGATGCGCACTGCTGAGGAGTCCCATAATAGCACGAAACGGCCGTCCAGTGCTTCCAGGTTTTCCATGGTGGTCTAGTTTCAACTGACTCATGATCTTAATCATTGAAATTACTACAATTTCTACAAAACCCCTTCTGACAATAATTTGAGGGAGTTGAAAAATCCTCATTCCAAACCAATGGTTTACATGGGCTCCACGATCATGAGGGAACAAACGAAATATATACCTATTGTTGCTCAACGGCTACCAAGGGACTGTATCTCGTAACGTTGATCCACTGTCTTGTGGATTAGAACTCTAGGTCAAAGGCTCGGGAGTGGCCTCCTAAGAAAACCACCTGACTCACAAAATTCGAACGATTTGTGTGGAGCATATATTTGGTGCCTAATTGTGTCAATATTTATGTTTTTAAATAATACAAATAATTTAGAAACTAAGGATTTAAAAAGATAAAGCGTGAATATATCACACAAAGTTCACAAACATTGGTTACAATAAACACCCGGACCCAGTGGTCAGAACCTACTTACAAGACACAGTTCAATAGACGGTATAATGAATAAAGCCGATATCTGATTAAATGAATGTGTTTAGATACGGATGTGAATAACTGAAGATAACTAGATTGTTTCTTGGTTAATTTGAAAAGAATAATATATATTCTCATATCATTTATGTGAGACAGCTATATAGATTTACAATTGATTGCTCATCGAGTAGTAGCCAATGTCATATTTTTCAAGTCCTTTTTTAGTGCTGATCGAATCCTATCAATCACGTTGCAATGTAGCCATCAGTCTAAGTGACTGAATATTGCATACAATATGCTGAAATGTAAGGTGGTAGGTAGTTAGATCAAGTCATTTATCTGAATGGTCATACTGCAACTTGACCGATAAAACTGGATCAACATTAAGAAGGGAGTGACAAACATGAGATAAGTCACTGCTCAGTAATCCATTGATTAAAAATACATCTCGGTCCTACAGGAGATCAGTCGCGTGGCCATAATAGCTTAATGGTAACATCTATGACTGTGATGCTAGGCGACACAAGGTCGAAGTCACTAGGGAGCATCAGTCTCCTGAAAGTTGCTGACAAGTGCCAACTAGCACGAAATCTAGATGATGTCAGAATATCCTGTCGTCTATCTCTAGCCATCAATTTGCAGAGACATACATGTAAAAAACACTGATCAGTGTCATTTTTATGGAATCCTGCAACAGTGATCCTGGAAAAAAACGCAATTGTCGAGAACACTGAGAAAAGCCTATTAGATTTAGCTTCTAATTGTTTTCGTTAATTAACACATCTTTCGTTTGTAAGCCATAGATAAATTCACACTTTCTCCTATGGATAAAGAGTATTCTTTTCAAACATATTTTTAAGCATTATTACGAGTGACTATAAAGAAGGAGTGGAAGTCAATCTGATAATGAATTCTCGAACACTTAATCAACTCCAATTATATGAGACCACAACTAAAAGTATCTTTCAGAATTATCTAAATCGTTAAATGATTTGTTTGAACGAGAGTACGGATTAGAAAATTGCACATAATATAATCATTAACAATACAGCGATTCATAGTCATAAATCATCTCCTATTTCTACAAATTCATATAAGGACATGTTCGATTCGATCTCAACCTTCTGCTGCCAGGCATTCAACTTCTAACTGATGTTACATACTACTTATGTCGACAGACATACAATTAGTAATTAGGTAATTAAACAGTAAAAGTAGATATGATAATCTACCATATGAGTAAATTTAGATGTTTAATCTTTCTTAAATATCTGCTTCAATTTAATAATATACAAACAGATTTGCCAAGTCAGTATTATGATGACTGTGAATGACTAATTACTTGTGAATGTTTTATTTCTTAACTTTGGAATTCTAAATACAATTTGTAGGTAACGGTGTCATTAGTTCGTATATTTACTAGTGGGAATAACAGAGATGCATAACTCAGACAATCCGAGGGTTAAGTCATAGTGCCGACTGTAATTATATGACGGTAGTGGGGTGGTAAAATGTTTCCCTCAAAAACCAGCATATGCAGTGATGCTGACTTCCGATAACAGAAGGAGCTAAAAAAGACTGACCCTAGAGAGGAGGGGCCTTATCTCGTTCCAAGATCTCCTTACGAAGCTAACACATCTAAGACTACTTACAAGGAAATTGTGCATGACTGGTATGAAGTAGTTGTTCCTTGAAAACTGTAGTCATGCCCAAATGTCATAGATTAACCGTAACTTAATTTCACTTTCAGGAACTTTGAAAACAATTATCCTTCCACAGAGTCGCAATCTTAGACTAAGAGCGTAATACATTTTCAGCAGTACGATTGCTTGCAATCTGCTTGACAGTTGTATATTGATTTCTCAGTCTTTCAAGATAATTATCAAACAAAGAACGTTAAATTTACTACAGTTTACTGAAGCAATTAGTATAAAATGACTGAAACTAAATTTATATATCCGAAAAAATTCAATTGTTAATATTGATTTGCTTTGGTGAACTTATTCATAAATGTTTATTATACAATTCTTCTTTACATGGCACTAATCATTAATTAATATCAGAAATTTTTGTAGATATTATAGTGATTTTAATACTTGAGATCATGAGTCAATTGAAGCTAGACTACCATGGAAAACCTGGAAGCACTGGAAGGTCGTTTTGTCCTACTGTGGAACTCCTCAGCAGTGCGCATCCACGATACCACCTCACAAGATTCAAATCAACGCTTAACCATTGGACCACTGAGCCGGCCGTCATCCAACGATGTTAATTTCCAACTAATCCACGAAATTTTGCTACACATCCACCATTGTCATCAGTGAGTTACTATCTCACAACAGACCCGGTTGAACTCCACTAGTTAGTGCTTCCCACTAGAACTCCAGGAAATACCTCTTGAAGCCAGTTGCCAGTGAGCATATGTTGATTATAATCAGAAGGGGTTTCTGTGGATATTATAGTAATTTCAATAGTTGATATCATGAGTCAATTAAACCTAGACTATTATGGAAAACCTGGAAGCACTGGATAGTCGTTCTGTCCTACTGTGAGACTCCTCAGCAGTGCGCATCCACGATCCGGCATCACGGGATTCGGACCCAGGACCAATCAGTCTCGAGCGCGAGCGCTTAACCTCTCACTTCTTATATGTTCTATACTTAGTTAGTCAACTTTATTTTAAGAGTTACATAAATACAACACTGAAATATATTATTTCTGAATAACTCTGTTTCTATACTCTTAGTTATTTATTCTAGAATATTCTTATCTCTAACCTATAAATAATCACATTGATTAACGTACGAACACCTCATATCCTTCTTTCTTCTATACTACTTATTGCTCTATTCATTGACCTTCATTAATGAGAACACTTCCAATATTATAATACATAAAGTATGTAGACTGATTTTTTTTCTGTAGAGGTTGTAAGCAGCTGACGAAAACTGGTAAAATAGAAATAAATTGATGTTATTCTACTATATTAATTATTCTTATTTTAATCAAATTTATATAAGTTCATTTGTAGATCTATTCTGTATACAAATCAAAACAATATTAGATTTATGAATTAGTGAAATTATAAATTATAGACAACCTTTAAGTAATACTAAAATGATCATAAAAGAATTCATCAACTTAACAAAGTCTAAAGAGGGTCGTTTAACATGATGCGCAATGTTAACTAATGTTAGAGACACTTGGAAGAAAGTTAGGGGTGACCAAATCAAAACATGGCATCAGTGCTTGAAGTCATGTTGGTAGATGAAGACTACTTGGTTGGAGTCCGCACGACTATCGTAACCAATCGTTGGAGACTCTGTGTGACATGGCTCAGAATCAATCACAATGCCATCGGTGTATACACTCTATGTCTTCCCTTAAAATGTGAGATTAAAATTGCTTTATACCTTTCTTTCTCTTCTTCCTGTACTATATCCTTATACACTATCTTTCTCTTATATACTACTACCGGTGTTCATCTTATTGTACTAATGAAGTGTGGCAACTTGGCCCAATGCATATATGTGCCTGGTCCTACGTTGTAGCTGAACTGACTGACTAACTGAAAGAGTGTTATCAATTTATTTATTTATTTACTTTAACATATAGATATTGGTACAAGGAGGCACCAAATATATATGCGCCACACAAATCTCATCTGGTTTGTCCCACGGATGTGATACTGCACGGGTGCCCAAACCGAAGTAGGTGAATTTTTAGAGGGACACACCCCGAGCCTTCGACCTGAAGGTCTGATCCACAAGGCAGTGGAGCATCGTGAGGAGATGCAGTCCCATGGTAGCCGGTGACCAACGATTGGTTCATACGCCATTTGTTCCTTCACAATACTGGAGTCCATGTGCACCATTGGTTTGGGATCCGGTTAAAGCGCCGGAAATCCGGTTTTCGTCCTCTCATGTTCGTAAACAACACCCCTGTGGTACGAGTAGGCAATGAGTAGGGCTTCCCTGACAGAGGCTATATACGCATAGCCATGTGAGAGCGTTTCGAGAGGCAGAGAGGACTCTCCCCACTCTCGGCCGCACCAGGCCATTTGGGGGCGGGGTTATCAATCAGTGTGAGAAATCGAAATTGACGATCTGGTGTTAAAGGTTTGAGTTGTTATCATCACGAACTGACATTAGCTATAAATGGCAACAACCAAAAATAAAGTTTTGTTTACCATATAAATAAACGAATTTCATGCAACAACAAAAAAAAGATATCAAAACTCCCTATTTTAAATCTAATGAATTCGTCTATAAATTCTAGTCTTAATATCTAAAATTATTCACTTACCCACGAATCATTTCCACAGCTTCATCATACGGTAAACCAAGTTCAATTAAAGCGGCTGCAACAAGAGCAGGAGCTCTAAATGAAAATTATAAAATTGAAAAGATTAAAATTTAAAGAATTTCAATGAAGTTATTATAATTTTCAATGAAATGATTTACTTAAGTTGTACATTTGTTATTACATATGGTGGTCTATAAGAGAATGGAAATAGAATTATATCATAAAGTGATTAGAGATTTTAAATAACAAAAGAAGATTGGATAATAGTGATCACGAGATTCGGGAGGAATGAAAATAATTTAGAGGTCAGGAATGTGAGAGGTAACTGTTTATTTAACAGATATGAAGAGGAAATAAAAACCGTGTGAGTCATAACAATGGAATAATAGTCATGGAGATTGTTAGGTCCGTGGCATATGCTCCTCGAGAGACATCAAGTGTAAGTAAAGCAAAGGTTTGCAAGTTTAGCGTTTTCTTAACAAGGTTATTTTTCATGAGACGAGGTTTTTAACTACAAGTTTAACTAGCTCCCTTTACCCAGGCTTGGGATCGGCACTAATTCTAGAGGGGCTTCAGGTGGAACTTAAAAACAATACCAAAACATAATGGAGAAAGTTGTTAGGACTATATAAGGATGAGAAGTTGCACCCAGAGTTCAAGATTGCATTAATGAATCACCAATACCTCAATAATGTATAAGGTTTTTTTCTTTGACCTCCCCTTGACACCTTTTTTGACTGTGTAGATTATTTTTAAAAAAGTGCCCAGAATTGATGAGGTGCTGTTGTATTGATCTAATGATTGCCTTGCATTAACCTTTAAAAAACCATGCCTTGTAACGTTTTGAAATGTGTTTAGAAAATGTTGGTTATGTGTGGTCAATATAATCTGTCCTGTATGTGCAAACAAACATACAAATACACAACAATGTAGCCCAAAGTGAAAATTCATACTTAACATATCCATGAATAGTAAGCTAGCTTGCTTGAGAACTCAATAAGAAGTTTAAATGAGTAGAAAACTTTCCTCAACGGCACATCATAATTACGATTGGAACGGAAAACTAGTGTAAATTAAGTCGATACAATCTATGTCGTTCATATTGTCTTTATAACTATACACAGTTGGGAATTTATTGAGATCACTGTGATATAAAAATTTTAATAACAGAAGTATCATAATATTTTCTAACCCTAACCTGCCAAGTCCAGCTTTGCAGTGTACAGCTATACAACTTCCAGGACCTTGTTGACATACGTCTGTAATCAGTTGAAACCATTTTTCAATTACTACATCTGGAGGCGGTGCACCATCATCGTATTCTAGATCCTGTAAAATGTTGAAAAGATTAATTAAATCAATTTATGATTAATTTAATACTTCATTCCCTTACACATAAATACGTTGCCCAAATCATCTAAGAATTATTATTTAGTCAACACAAACTACTTTTGTAAGAACTTCAATACACAGTGAATACATTTAAAAGACTAGTTTACCCATACTTTTGCGGAAATCCAGTATTAAAAGAGATGTCAGTTCTTGGTGGGAAATCAGATACCACTATAACAGTATGGCCTAGGATTCAGATGTAAAATCTGCTTGTGTTTGGTCTGATCAACTGATTTACAGAGCATAAAATTCGTTATAACTCGATAGGGTTGTCACGATAAGTAAACCTGACCATTATACCAAGGTAGAAGCTAAGGTTAAAAACACTAAACAATAGTGTCAGAGTGAGGTTATCGAGATTTTTGAATCTCAGTGAAACCCCGAACCGATCAAACTTAGACAACCATCCAAATCCTAAAAACACTAGACAGCCGTTTCGTCCCAGCATGGGACTCCTCGACAGCGCAAGCGGTAATGAAACCCATGATCTTCAGTCTTGCGCGCGAACGTTTAACCACTAGACTTGTACAATATTGGATGCCGGGTCACTGGTCAGAAAATACTATTCCCGCATGCGTGGTCATGGAAGCCCACCTTCACTGAGGAGTCCCATACTAGGACGAAAAGGACATCTGATGCTTCCAGGTTTTCAATGGTGGTTCAACTCAGATTGATTCATAATATCAATGAGGCAATGTTAATATTTAATTTTTATGATAAAATAAGATCAACAAATTCAATCAGCTTAACTCTGTATCATTTATATCTAGTCTAATTGATTTACAAAATATGTGAATACAATAAGCAGTTTAAATTTAGTCTACTGAAGACTTGGATCTTCAAACATCATTAAACAAAACTCTTAATCTATCAATAAATAGATAAGAAGTGAAGATGAAAAATAGTGACAAAGAGATCTCTAAGCATTTTTGAAATATAATGACATACATGGTCAAAGCCAAACTGGTAAATTGAAACCAACTGCTTAAGGTCTGTGTAATAAACATGACCAATGGTTAGGAGAAATTGAGTGACATGATCTAAAATCAGTTACAATGGCCGAAATCCATTCGTTCCGTATCTTCCAGATTTCCAGTTCCAGTACCCTTTCACACATACTTTTCAAATTTGTCTTTTCAATATTCACTATCACAACTGTTGCACTATTTTGATTCATTTTTTTTAGTATTTACCTTGATGTGCTAATGAGTCGTATGAAATTGAGCTAACGCTCACATATGTACCAGGTCCTCATATTGATCATAACTGACTGATATGTGGTCTTTACTCAATCAGTAACAACATAGAACTTCGTACGTATGTACACCAGTTCGAGTTGTCATACCACATTAGCACACAGATATAACTGTCGATTCAAATCCCGTAGTGGTAAAAGTAATAAGAGTGTAAGCAGTGTAAACTTTAATATTATCTTCAAGTTTACACAAAAGAAAGAACATTAGTAAATTTCTTTGAAAAATATTAACTAACAATAGTCATTTATACAAATCATTAGAATGTTTTTATTGTATTATAATAACTATGATAAACAATGAAATTTACCACAACTTCAATTCCAACAGATTCAAGCGGTTCTTTATCATAGGTAGCTTTGCATACTCGAACTAATTTGCGTACGTTGTGTAGTTTAAAAACCTGAATGAAAATTGTAAAAAAATATCTAAATATTCTTGGAATGAATTGGCAACTATGTATAAGTGCACTTATTTAGCTCATGAAAATTAGTAATACTATATAGCTTTTTGAAATTGCCTAGTGAAAGGAGAGTCATCACATGGACTATCAGGATTAACATCGATAATGCCCAGATTAGTAAAACTATTGAATAATAAAAAATATACTCATTTTCGAAACAGTAAATTAGATGAAAGAATTTTTTATCAAATTATTCAACAAACTCTAAATAAACTTTTGGTTTCCAAATCTTTACAGAACATGAAAGTCAGTCAGTCAATAAGCTACAACGTAGGACCAGGCATATATATATATATATATATATATATATATATATATATATATATATGCATCAATCCATAAATAAATAGTTCATCATGATTTTAGTGCGTGGGCTGAGATACTGCTCGGGTGCCCGAACCGAAGCAGGTGGTTTTCTTAAGGAACCACACCCCGAGCCTTCGACCTAATGGTCTGATCCACAAGGCAGTGGAGCATCGTGAGGAGATGCAGTCTCATGGTAGCCAGCCGGTGACCAACGATTGGTTCATACGTCATTTGTTCCTTCAGGATCCTGGAGTCCATGTGCACCATTGGTTTGGGATCTGGTTAAAGTACCGGACATTCGCTTTTCGTCCACTCATTTTCGTAAACAACACCCCCACCACGAGAAGGCAGTGAGTAGGACTTCCCTGGCAGAGGCTGTATACGCATGGCCGTGTGAGAGTATTTCGAGAGGGAGGGCGAACCCTCCCCGCTCTCGGCCATACCAGGGCAGTATATGACATGGTGTCGTGGTATGAAAGAAAGCTGCAAAGGGCTAGCTTCTGTTGGTCCTTCACGACTCCCTGGATGGGGTCCGAGAGACGGTGTAACACAGTGGCTAGAGACGTTATCAGATATGGCTCAGAATAGAAGCCAGTGGCGATCCTGCTGTAACCTTCTTTTACTTTCTTCATAAAAAGTGGTTGTATCTTCCTTAACTGAAAGATTTCTTCTGATTGTACCTTTCCGTTTTCCCCACCATTGTTCTCTCATTCTTTTTTTTTATAATTCCCCACGTTCATTACTTTTTTTTTCTCCTTCTCTTCAAATTATCATTGTTTTGTGTGGCGCATATATATTTGGTGCCCCCCTGTACCAATATTTATGTGTTCAAATAAATAAATAATAAATAAATATGCATCAATCCAAGTTGCCATACAGAACATGAAACCATATATACAACCTTAAATTAACTCTAAAGTAATTATTTAATAGGTAATAAACAGATACATAATTATCGGTTTTTCAATTCTAATCAATAATTTAAGTTTTATTCCTATCTCTATTCTAATTAATCCTTGACCTAATTTCATCCAGAGAGTTCAGAATTAGGATGTTAAAAGCATAAATTGTGATGAAGGAAGAAAGAAAGAAAATAAACGAAAACAAAATTAAAAAATTTATGAAAATATCCTAATAAAGTTAAATCAGGCAAATTAATCGATTTCTTTCATTTAAAGATTGAAATTTATTTTGAATAAAGTTAGAACAAACATAGATACAGAATTCATTAGAGATTTTATGGTTTCTTATCAGCTGCTTACAACTCTATATATGTATTGTCAATTATTTCACACTATATCTTACTTCAATGTAAACTTTCAATACATATCAATGGTTGTAAGTAGCTGATGAGAAATCATGAAATATAATGAATTCATATTATTCTGTATCCTGCTTCGGTTTGGGCACCCGGGCAGTATCACAGCCCTCACACAAATCGAATGAGATCTGTGTGGTGCATATGTATTTGGTGCTTCCTTGTACCAATATCTATGTGTTAAAATAAATAAATAATAAATTATTCTGTATCCATGTTTGTTCTAGCTATATTCGTATGTAATCTATATGCTTTAATAGATTAAGTGATGCATTTTTTTATGCTATGTCCCGACAAGAATAATGAGTGATAATTTTGCGATCCATTTATGGACCAATACTAAACGTATATTTTTATCGCATAATTGTTAAATAACTAAACTACTCATATTCATGTTCCTCTTATTATAAGCTTTGTTTTGATCTATGAACCATTATTATACGTTTTACCATTCTTGAATTATGCCCTGTTTATTAGTCACTGCCTCCCACATTCACAGCCACATTTGACCAGATTTTGTACAAATGTTATTTTCTATTTTATGCTACGTTGTGGTCTGTTTGATTGGTATATAAACCTGGTATGTTTGAAATATAACGATTCATATTGCAGAGGCTGAAACTGGCGTTCTGGACTTAACTGGCTGGGTTAGGCGGAAAGCGGGGATAACAACAACTACCAAAGTTGAATTTTGAGTCTTTGAACTTATTAATTTAATCCAATATCTACATCAGAAAATGTAAGGATCTCTCCTGAGGTTGTCACGTTACAAAGGAAGCTACCATTAAAACACTTCAGATAAGCTTCTATCTAAAAACAGACGCTTGGAGTCTAAGATTTATTAGCGCTTGAATAAACACCTGGCATGATTACATTTTTATTTCGTTGCTTTTGTGACCACATAAAGCAAAAAACCACTCTCTCCATTCTTGTTTAACTTTGTTGTTGACGTCCTTTTAGAGATGACACTTTCCTCATCTAAATTTCCAGGAGTTGAACTTCTACCGGGAGATCCACTTGTTGACTTAGAATATGCCGATGACATAGTTCTATTTAGTGAAGACGCTGACAGAATGCAGAGTCTACTGACCACTCTAAGCAACAATGCAAGCATGTTCGGCATGCGATTCTCTCCCTCGAAATGCAAAATGTTGCTTCAGGATTGGGTCGCGTCGACACCCGAACTAGTGATAGGGAGTGAAGTAGTTGAGCGTGTCGACCGCTTCACTTATCTCGGAAGTCTCATCAGCCCTTGTGGTTTGGTGTGTGACGAAATCTCAGCACGGATACAAAAGGCTCGACTAGCTTTTGCCAACTTGCGTCATTTGTGGCGTAGGCGAGATATCCGTCTATCAACCAAAGGACGTGTTTACTGCGCAGCAGTTCGTTCCGTCCTACTTTATGGCAGTGAAACATGGCCGGTAAGAGTAGAGGATATTCGTAGGTTACTAGTATTTGACCATAGATGTCTTCGAAGCATTGCTCGTATATCCTGGGACCACCGAGTAAGTAACTCAGTTGTTAGGAAACGGGTACTAGGTAAGGATGGAAAATCAATTGAGGAAGTAGTGAAACTCAATCATTTGAGATGGCTGGGACATGTGTTGCGCATGCCCGACCACCGACTGCCACGACGTGCGATGTTTTATGGTGTAGGAGTAGGTTGGAAGAAAGCTAGGGGCGGCCAGACCAAAACATGGCACAAATCCATGAAGTCACTGACAAGTGGACTGAGTCATGTTGGTAGGTGTAGACTACCTGGTTGGGGACCGCGAGACGATAGCAACCGATGGTTAGAGACCTTGAATGACATGGCTCAAAATCGTTTGCAATGGCGCAGGTGCATCCACTCTTTGTGTTCTCTCAAACTCTAATCTTCTGAATTCTTCATGTCCTTTATTTTCTTTCCCAATTTATTCCACTGGACTATACTCCTTTAATAACATCATCAAACCTTAATGTCTCCTATCTCTACTTATACTTTCAGTACCTCTACCACTATGGGATTTGAATCGATAACTGAATCTTTGTGCTAATGTGGTATGGCAACTCGAACTGATGTACGTACGTACGAAGTTCCACGTTGTTACTGACTGACTGACTGAAAGCAAAAAACCCATCATCTCAATGATGTTACTAATATTTCTACATTACAGTCGGTGAGGTCGGTGTACTTTGTTCTATTCCAAAAGGAAATTTTACGCCAGTATACAAACGAGATTCGAATCTTTTAATTGTAAATAGGATTATTGAATACATTGGTTAAGTGTCCCAAATAAGCTAGTAAAACAACTACTATCTTGTCGCATTGTGTTATTATCTCGTAAGACGTTAGCCTTTAAATTATATTAAAGGATATTGGAAGACGTTCAGTCACCCAAAGTAAAATAAATCATTGGATTTAGGATATTGTGGTACATTAAGAATTCAAAACCATATATTCCCTCCTGAGTGTGACCAACAAAACACTGTTGATAACTCTTTAACACATTGGATCTTACACAACTAAAAACTTAATCCAGATGAGTATTGGCTTGGTTGTTGTATGTGGTGATAACATAAAAATCTAGGAAGCAAGAAGTTATCTAACAACAAAAAGCTGTAAATTTCAATTGCTTATCAAACTTCACATACACGATCCAACAGCTATCCAGTTTAGTGGATTTGAGCAATGTGATTTATATTTAAGACGGAGTTCAATTCATCAGAGAAAGGAACACTATATATTTTTGAATATAATGATGCAAATCTACTTGATGCATAGAAATACAACGTACCATGACAAAATTTTCCATATTGTGTGCATTAGGTTCATCTGTAATCAAAAAACGAGCTGTTTTATATTCAACCAGTGTGACGTGAGGCTGTTGTAACTGACGTGAGAGTTTAGAACCTCTGGGATACGGCTGGAAACTACCATGACGAGTACCGGCGTTTGAAAGTCGTGGCATTCTGACAATGGTGCTCTGTTCGGTAACTGGTGGATGGACTGACATGACTGGATAGTTATTTCACCTAAAAGATACAGAAGTGTGGTGAAGTAATTCATCTACCAAAACTACAATGAGTTATTTATTTATTTATTTATTTTAACACATAAGTATAGGTACAGGGAGGCACCAAATACATATGCGCCACACAAATCTCAATTGATTTGTGTGAGGGCTGTGATACTGCTCGGGTGCCCAAACCGAAGCAGGTGGTTTTCTTAGGGGGCCACACCCCGAGCCTTCGATCTGAAGATCTGATCCACAAGGCAGTGGAGCATCGTAAGGAGATGCAGTCCCATGGTAGCCGGTGACCAACGATTGGTTCATACGCCATTTGTTCCCGCAGGATACTGGAGCCCATGTGCACCATTGGTTTGGGGTCCGGTTAAAGCGCCAGACATTCGCTTTTCGTCCTCTCATTTTCGTAAACAACACCCCCGCCACGAGAAGGCAGTGAGTAGGACTTCCCTGGCAGAGGCTATATACGCATGGCCATGTGAGAGCATTTCGAGAGGGAGAGCGGACTCTCCCCACTCTCGGCCGTACCAGGGCATTTGGGGGCCCCCAAATGCCCTGGTTGCCCCCAAATGCCCTGGTTGGCCCCCAAATGCCCTGGTACAATGAGTAGTATGTAATTAACATCTCCAAGTATAAAATTCCATATCCAAAATTTAACTATTGGTAAGCTGTACATCAAATTTTCCCTAACTCTTCAATTAAATACATCCAACATAGATAGTTATGATAAAATGTTGGATAACAAACTTATCTGTTTAGATACAAACAAATATATAGGGAAATTCACGTTAAACACTAGATTAGTCTTTTTACAGAGTCAAAAACACATTTACAGTAGTTGGATACTTCGTTCTAGAGTGATTATCTCCCACAATCCAGTAACTCATTCAACATAACTGTTTACCATCATTCATTATGTCACTCGTCATTTATCAATCAGACAGGTAATCCACTCAATGTTAGAGTTATTGAGTTAACTTGCATCGAATTATATCTAACCATGACCTACATATTGTTTTACTGTCAGGAATCATTACAGAATCAATTATATGAGGTGTCCATTTCTGGAGAATATCACAATACCAACATTACTTTGCTCTAACAGTCATCACCTTATGAGGATTACAGAAGACTAATTTCTTAACTAGTACAAATAGTGTAAAATGCTACACTTCAGATATCGTGGGAGTCTCGTTATATTTTTGTTGGTTGGATTCTGTTGCTGTGATAAAACGGGAAATTGCTGACGTAAGTAATTAGAGCCAAGATTACCAATAATAATTTCTCGTTCTATTAACACAAGCTTTGTCAATATATGGAGTGAAGATGGACAAAATATGCACAGTGTTATATTTTACTTGACCCAGGTACAACTTACTTTTACATCAAATAAAGTCGACAAACTGGAAGAAACCGCAGAACTATGCAGTACACGCCAATAGTTGTAAACGCCAAATGATATTAGCCAAATATGCAATGAGGCCTAATCAATTGACTGGCTACTTTGGTTTGATATATTGCGCCTCGCAAAAGTTAGTATTCGTGCCGAATGACGGGGTGACACGCCGATGGCTCACTGCACTGTAAAGGTGATATGATAAAACATCAGTAATTTTAAATTATTTGAGTATAAAAATAAGTGACTTTATGCGAACAAACTAGTCGACGATTGAAACACCATATTAGCCATGCACTTAAACTAAATTGCAGTCGGCAAACAATAATCTTCACTGATTTGCATTTTGCTTCGGTTTATTATATTTCCTTAGCTAGTTTATTATGTATGTTTTGACTAGTTAGTTCATTTTATAATTCTTCCCTAATATCCGGGTTTATGGGAACTATTGATTACATTCAAGGAAGATGTAAATAATACATTTCTGTAGGCCATTAACTGACTACAACGTACAACTAATACATCTTAAAAATACGCTGAGATTTACCTAGACCACTAGATTATTGTACTCAACCAACACAGTATTATATTTTACTTATATAAATGTACAATGTAACAGCTTTTTGGGACATACTGAACAGTACTTAAGGATGCGATTGTGCACTCAACAGGGACTGTAATTTATGGACTAAATCTGAGCAGAATTAAAGTGTTCTTAGGAAACTCAAGCCGTTTACCAGGGTTAATATAGTGTTATATATTGAAGTGAGGAATTGACGATAAAACGTATGTTGGGAGTTGAGATTACAAATTAGAATTAAGGTTTTCATAACGAACTGACATCAAGTTCGATGCAAAAATATGATTAAGTCATATGAATGAATGAATTTCACGCAAACAAAGCGAAAATTGTGAGTTGAAATCTGACTACTTTGTCCATAAGTTGTCGTCCTGCTCTTAACGGTCTCGTGCTAAAGCCAACTACGCATATTGAACAACAAATATAACCGACTACGCAATGAAACCAGTCAAGTATAGAGGTTTGAGAAACTGGCTAGTTATCGTGCGACTAGTGAGCGATATTAATAAAACGAGTACGCAATTTAGTTTGAAAACATTTCTGTAAAACTAGTTAGTCTCACGTCACCTACTTCAATGTCTGGCTACAAGTAAATGGTGACGACCAAAATTGAGGAAATGCCTATTATTAAGAAGACACTTGTCACGTATATAGACTTAGAGCAGCATATACATACGTGTTATAAGACTGCTGTTCAACAGTATATTAGCGAGGCATACGACATAATTAAGGCAACGATATAATGAGCACAAAACCTCGTTACTATTGAACTATAGAACTTGCCGTACTTTCATATTTAGTAAATGAAATACCACCTACAACTCAAACAAAGAATATATACCTTTGAAAACTAATGAGTCACAAAAAAAGCTCCAAAAAATTATATTACATCACTGCTTGGGTAGGTAGTCATTTTGTTTTTCAAAGATAACTAATACGTGTGAGCTACTTGTAGAAATTCCACCTAACTTAAGTACCTTCTTTGCTTATAAATAAAAAATATATTCAGCTCAATTTATGTAAAAATCTAGTACTTCATAATGAAATGTTCCGACCTCCAATTCGCACCTAAATACATCAAAATCTGATATAAACGGGTACCTAACGCATTCTAGATGCACGCTTTTACATTTTGGTGAGAAAAACCTTAAAGTAAACACACATGGGATTCATAAAACCACAGTACCTCATTGATTGTGACCTCTATGCACAGAACTCTCTTTAAATCCGTTGATTGTTTCAAACACGTGAACCATTGAATATATAATACTTATATTAAATGCCAATATCAACTTGGAACTTGCTCATTTGCAGCAGCCTGATTTCAGCAATCAATTAAAATCGCCTCTCATTGAAGAACATAGATCTCCCACCAGCATTTTCCATCCAACTCTGTCCTAGCCAATACTTTCCAGACGTTTCTAATTGCTATTCATCAATTTGAGATCTGTGTACAACTCCCAATTCAGTGTGTTCTTTTGTCTTCATTATCCAGTCAACCGCCAGAAGGAAGGGAAAGAGGGAGTGTTAACAGCTTTGTCTGACACTGGTTCTCACTTGGAATGCATCTGTCCACTGCTCTCCATGAACTTCCTAAAATAAAACACGGAGAACACCGACCCAATCACACTAGACGGAGAAGCTTCGAAGGTGGTGGGAACTTTCACGTACGTGGACAGCATCATTGATGAACAAGGAGGATCCGATGCAAATGTAAAAGCAAGAATTGGCAAAGGAATGTCGGTATTCCCACAGTTAACCAACATATGGAACTCAAAACAACTTTCAACCAACATCAAAGTCACAATCTTCAGTGTGACTTGAATCTTGGAGAACGACTACAACCATCATCAAGAAGGTACAAGTTTTTATAAGCAATTTTCTACACAAGATACTCAATGTCGATTGGTCGGATACAATCAGCAACAGCTTACAATTAAACAGAGCAAAGCAGCTTCCAGTTGAAGAGGAAATTAGGAGAAGACGTTGAATGTGGATAGGACATACATTGAGGAAACCACCAAATCGCATCACGAGTCAAGATCTAACTTGGAATCTGGAAGGAAAACTAAAATGTAGACCAAAGATGACACTACGTAGAACGTTGCCAGCAGACATCAAAACGATGAACAGCGAAAGCAGATAATTTACTGAAAAAGTGTTAGATGAAGAATGCTGGTGGGTCACCTATGCTCCTCTGAGAGGGTTAACAGGCACAGGTAAGTAATTAAGCTGACCTTGGTCTCTTTCGATTTCACGAAATCCAGAAAAATGTCAAGATTCATTAATATTATATCTGTAGGTTAATTACTTGTAGTTTACGACGGAAAATATCGTCGTCTGAACTAGAATTTGCTTCATTAAGAAGTCAAACAAATGACTTCGTGCGAATTTGTCAGGAAATACGTTTTATATGCTGATCATAATTTGAATTCAGTACCGCATTATGTATTTGCATTCATGTACAGTGTATATTCGCTTATTGTAAAGCATTACACCAGTGGAATTTTTCTTCTAATTATTCATAGGTACACAAAATTTTTTTCCCACATTATGACAAATATGTCTTTAGAATCTAACATTTTCCCATTCTTTCACGAATACATATATTTGGCACCTACTTTTGTAGGAGTACGCTGTATATATATATATATATATATATATATATATATATATACCTGTCTTAAATCGCACTATTTCGGGAATTCCTAGTTAATATAATGATTCGAATAATTCTAATTGTCGTGTTCACGTCTAGATGAAGTGAAATCCTGGACAGTTGGAATATAATTCGAGTGAGAATTACTCTGTAGACAGCATTAAGCGGTTCAAAATCTGGAGAATGACAAGATTGCGGTGACATATTTTCAGATATGATAAAACTAGTAACCGTGCAATATATAACAAATTGAGTACACATTATTTGAAAAAATAATAGCCTCTGATAGATCATATGAATTTAGTAGCGTAACATATGTTTGTGATTATTTGTTAATTTATTCGGCAAAATGAAAGTAACTCTTAGGCTGCTTTACACTTCTGCCGGAACGTGTTAAACATGTAGAATTACTGCTTGGTTTTACAACTTCCTTTGATTTTGTAGTAATTAATGGTAGAAGTTCTGCAACTGTGGTAGCATTTCCTTTGTCTCGCCGATCTTCGTAGAAAGCATGTTTAATTCCATCTATAGAAATAGTTTCCTTCTTTACATTTCTGTTAATGAGGAAGTGTTTGCTTGCCCGTTTTATTATCTTATAAGATCCTTCGTATGGTTGTTTTAACGGCTTTTTGAAAGGTGACTCAAACAAAGATGGATATACACGTTTACAGGCGTTTATCGAGCTGTACGCGGCTGTTATGCTCACGCGGATGTATTGCTTTAACCTTCTCCACTGTTTTCAACAGGCGGCTCGCAAAGCGAGTCAAGTCGGTTGGCATTGTTTTGATTGGGTTGACTATTTGTCCTGGCAATGTTGGAGCCGTACCATATGCTAGTTCAGCCGATATGCAACCGATATCGTCATTGGTAGACGTGAGGATTCCACGTAATACAAGTGGTAGTACGTCACTTCACTTCAATGTATCAACTTGTGCCATCAGTGAGCTATTCAGATTGCGGCGAAATCACTCAACTAGGGAATCGGCCACTGGATGGTAAGCTGATGTTTTGATGTGGTTCACTCCCAGAAATTTGTTACAATCCTGAAATAAAGCGCAATAAAACTGAGAACCACGGTATGTAGTAACAAATGATGGGACTGCATGATTTGATATCCAGCAGTCAAGAAATACTGATGCGACTGTTTCTGCTGATATGTCCTTTATAGTGCATAACATTTTAAACAACTTTCGCAGTCATTTGTAGTAAATGTACAAATTATGAGAATTAACAAAAGAAATGCAAATAGTATCAAAAAACAGTTATATAATAAGTTTGTCGTTACTATATCCTGATCATGGAAAACAAAAATGGAAAATTAGAAGCATGAACTCAATTAGTAAGCTGTCTGTTATATAAACACTGCTTCCACCATCATTGGAAGCCAGCTACTTGCTAGATTAAGTGAGCAGCACATGAAACAGGAGTAATTCATATAGTAACGACCAACATCTGCTAACGAAGCTTATTTGAACGGATTTATGTATCCTCACCAGGTAGCTGTTTTTCACAGCTCTAGAGTCGATAAGTTAAATTGGCGAAAAGATAATTTTCAGGATGGAATTACAAGTCCCCTTATCTCTAGAACAAAAGACCAATAGAATTGGAACCCGACTATACAATTTTTACAGACAAATTAGATAGACTGGGATATCTGAGAAACTAAATCGTGAAATTGTAGCTGCTATCTATGGACAGAAAATTCCGTCCCACACCATGTGATTAAATTTTGATATAGGTTAAAAGCCAATCATCGCCTATGAACATCGTGTCTTTGAGATGCTAAATAGGTTTGCTATGCTGTTCAATGTAACGACAAGCAAAATGTATTCGAAAGTTATATGTGAACTCAACAATCAAAGTCACTACGACACGAAAATGTTTAGATGTTGATATGTAGACACAACAGAAAATGTAAACCTACCCGTTTTCAGTCATAAGTTGTTGCCTTATGAAGTACTAACTACTCCTTGGGCGACCGCTGGTCGAGACAGTACTCCACTACTTCATACTCTGAAACGCACAGACTCCTAGTTTGGACAATCCGATAGATAATTTCATTGCTGGACCAATAATTTCAATTTAATACTGCGAATTCAGCAGCCTTGATTGGGACACAGGTTAGTCAAGTAACGCCTACTCAAGTGAAAATTTAAGTGCGTATTTGATATATTTCTCCTCAAACAGATCAAAACCAGGTTACGGTCCATGCATGATGTTTTGCTTACCAATGTGTTAACCATTGTTTATTTTCTTTTAAAACTTAAGCCCCAATGTTACTTCATATAAGCCAGTATCTTTACTTACGTCTTCTTATCACATTACATCCTAGTGTTTAGGTTTTCACGCTATTGTTGGCATTACTACTATTTCAACTCCTTTCCTATCCATTGTGTCGATTCCATCCCCCTGTGTTGACGTGACTTAGTAAGACTGGGTGACAATACCGGGACTATCAAAGTGCTAGTTTACGTGTGAAAATCTGGATACTAACCACTCCAATCAACTAGTCACAACTTGACCACTATGAAGAAAAACTTGTGTAAAAATTGTTCTACTATGGCTTTGTAAAAATATCAAGTATAATAATAATAACAAAAGGACTAAGCATTACATTCAAAGAGGTTTTTGATGAAAATAATGAGTTGGTGCGCCACGTGTAGTAGTTATGAGTATGATAAACGAAACTTTACCACTTAGACATATGACAGCTGGTTGGAACTTCAGTAATACATATTCGAACCGCCAGTTCCAAATTGACTGGACATATGGGGAACTACATAAGACAAACTTAAATTATTTGTTTATATCTACCACGAAGTAACGGACGGCATGATAGGACCGATAAGCAGAAACGGATGTAGGTACTCTGTCTACCAACTGATCGACTATATTCGATGGACTAACCAATAGAAAATATTGAATGTATAGTCTACATGACCAGCCATTTTGATATGTGTATGGCACCAGATGGGAGCAACACAACACATGTCTATCGAGAACATACTCGTCATTTTTATGTTGACTGAGGTTATCCGACATTTTATTAGGTGTGCAGCATCCAGGGTTGTTCCGTTCATTTAATAGGTGGGTGCTACATGAATGTGTAGCATCGCTGTCGACTTCATTCCACACATCCGTCTGCTGTGAATAGTACAGTGCATTCTAGCATGCAGTAAAAATCATTTATATGCGGTACGTATCCGCCAAACGCGCAAAAATTTCCGGATATCTCACACCTATTGGAATTCGAAAAACGACTGGATGACTTTAACTTTCACTGCCTATTAACATAATTCCTTTTTCGTAATAAATAAATTGAATCTGATTGCCTTACTAAGTTTAATTTACCATGTTGTTTCTAGTATTCATAATATTCTTACTATAATTCACGATGACTTTATTACTGTAAACCAATTACAATCGATTAGTTTGATGAATTTTGTGTAAGGACATTAATGAAGTTACCACAAAGTGACTATGAAATAAAAATATAATCTTTTTTAAAAATCCTGAGGATCGAGTATAACCGGATTTCCCCTTGATGTTTTATGTGAACAAAACGTAAATACAAGAGACAACATCCGACTATGGTGACGAAAGAAGTTACAATCGTCATATCTTGATATGAACAGCATTATATTGCGACTAAGAAGACTTTTCAGTAATGAACGCATCAATTATGGTCATATTATTTTTTTATACAGCAAATAAACTATTCACATGATAATGGTAATAATGATAATAATAAGAAGAAAATATTATAATGTAGATGGGAAAATACTGAACTACATTGAAGTTTTAAAGAATAAGATAAAGTACCATAGAGGATGATCTATTTGTCTTGACATTCTTCATTAGAACCTGTATGAATTTCTCTAGAATCTATAGATGAGTGATCTTGTTTATTTATATTATTATTGGTATTATCATTGTTGTTAGAAGAAGAAGAAGAAGATTGATCAGTTAAACTAATATTATGTTCTTGATGATCTGATTTGATTTGAGTCAGTTTATTTTCAAGATTTTTAAGAGCATTTTGAACAGCCAATATAACTTCACGACGTTTATTTCTGATAAATGTTTCACCAGATGAATCGATTTTATCCAATCGTAGCATAAGCTTATCAAGTTTATCTTCAAGTAACAGATACGCTTTAGTTTTATATGCAGCTGGAAAAAATATATATCAACATGGATTTGGATAAAATTATGTATGAGAATATAAAAAAGATTCATTAATTTCATCATAATGAAAGTATACAAAGATCATTCATACTCTAAATCGGTGTAGTTTTCTAGTAATCAGCTTTACCCAGGTTGGTGGATATGGGGGATCCATCTCGGAGAGTTGGAAAACCAATCGTTGGTCACCGGCTACCATGGGACTGCACCTCCTTACGTTGCTCCACTGCCTTTTGGATTAGATCTTTAGGTCAAAGGCTCGGGGCGTGGCCCCTTAAGGAAACCACCTGCTACGGTGTGGGCATCCGGTGAAGTTTCCTAACCCACACACAAATCGAATGATTTTTGTGACGCACATCTATTTAGTGCCTTCTTGTACTTATATTTATGTGTTTAAATAAATGGATAAGTTAACAAATATAATGATATAAATCACAAAAATAGGACTTAACGATAACTACAATCATTGAATGTATTGAAGGGAACTAATAGAAACCTCCTATACCTTGAGTATAAATTATTCAGATTAAATTTAATTTGTTGGGAAATTCAACGCAAAGTTGGGGTTACGACTTTCCTCACGTAATTTTATTAATATTTATGCTTACTAATAAAATGGGTCATTATCAATATTGTTTAAAAAAAACATAAGTTCCACTTATTGCTTACATGTAGTTATGGTAATTTCTACCGAAGTGAAGTCGAAAAGCAGGTGTTCAGGAGACTAAAACAGGATTGTTGGGTAAAGTTTTATCTAATGGAGTTAGATAATCTTCATTTCAATGATGTAAATGAGCTATACGACCCTGAGGAAACGTATGGTGTACAAACCTGATTTAGTTACCAGGTTTCATGGGACTGAGATCTTCTGACGTTGCTCAACTCCTTTGTGGACTAGACCTTCAGGTCAAAGACTAAAGAAGTGATAACTTAGGAAAACAAGTGCTTCGGTTTAGGAATACAGGGAATACCACATCCCAGGTGCAAACATATTGATGGAAAACTACGAAAAAAATGTTCTACAAAGACTGAGTCACTACGCATTTAGACGATATCTCTCTTTGATTATTCACACTGCTGGAGATACGTTAGGCAGTCTTTTGGAAAATCATATTGTTGAAGTATTGACTTTTTGAGACTTCGATACAAGACTCTGAGGAAATGAGAATGCAATCTCCATTTGTCGATTCAAAAAACCTGTTTCATATACGCTCACTCAAGGGCCTCGTACCATCGACGTATATTTCAGCTGGTACCGATGTCGCACTAAGTGCCCTAGCCAAATCGGGACCCATTTATCAGATTTCCACTGACAAATATCTGTGTGTTATTAGGTTGGAAGGCTCCTCTCAAACTGAACAACTGGCATGATGAACATCAACCACCAATGGTGTAATCACAGATAAGCTAATCGAAGCAATGCTTCTGAAACTCAAGCCTGGACTAAGACTGGTCCCTGAGAAGTATATGAATATACTAAATGCACTGTAAATAAACACCTCAGGCAGAGTGAGAGCGTACAACCACCTCTCCATTGTCTCAAGTCAAAAGTGGAGTTGGAGACACCTGGCCGACATCAATATCGATCCTTAACTTATGCATCGATGATATCCTGGAGACAACTGTGAAGTATGTAGTGGTAGTTTGGATGTATTCGGGAAACTGTCCCATCCTTAGTATGAAATCATGATACAGTATACCCAAATCGAACTTCAGTATGTTGAATATGTGTTACGAATATTGTCCAACTGACTTCCATATTATTTATAATTAGCAGACACCGGAATTCAATGAAAAAAGGATGATCAGTTTATGAAATATAGCTCGGTATGAAAGACAGTTACACAGGACTAGCATCTGCAAGTTCATCCTGACCCCACTTCAGTCGACATCTTCGTAACTCTTCTTTACTACTTACTGCTAACATGCATTTCCTATTACATAATTTATAATGATTAGTATCTTGATCAGTTTATTCTTTTAAGCTTTGACTCATTTCATATATCCATAAGTTTGTTCATATCATCATTTTGTTAATTATTCGTACCATCGTTACTACAATTGTTATTTTATCATCGACTTGTGTAATTTACTTATAACGGTTAGTTATGTAATCCTTTTTCATTATTATCACTAACCTATAAGATTTTTCATATATTTATATAAACATCACTGTAAAATAGAGTAAAGCTAAATGAAAACAATATTGCTTGCTTATACCTGTGTTGTTCTACAGTATAAACTATAGGATTCATTAATACATATATATATATAACTCACAAGTAAACCCGCTAATCTCAGCTTCTATTTCTGCAAGTTCACATTGAGCTTGTTCTATAAGAGAGAATGGATCTGATGTTGATGGTTGGCATACATTTTCATTATTATCACTATTATTATTATTATTATCTGAAATTTTAACAGAAACAGATTTGATAGGAATTGATTCGCTCTTATCTGTGGAAGAATTTTGATTGATTTTATATGAATCAAACGACTGAGTTGCTGGGGAGTTGTTCAGCTTTTGTTCATATTCATGACGGTTACTATTAGTATTAATATTATTATTATTATTGTCATTATTATTATTATTATTCGAAGAGCTGATAGAATGAACCTTGGTAAGAGTTATTAAAATGAAAGAAAATATTTCTAATAACATATACAATTCTAATACAACTATAGTCAATATGTTTAAGTCAAATGATTAATAATGCTAGAATAACAACAAAAAAGTCACATTGATATGTACAGCTAGTCAAATAGTGATGTAAACAACACTTTATTGTCTAATTGTGAATGAAAACGTTAACTGACACGTAAGCAAACTTGTCATTGAGCGCTATTGATTGACGTTAGTAATCAGTAAAGTTGTTTGCAACGCTCAAGTGTAACTCATATTTTGACAAGTATTCAAGCTACCAAACACATTTAATCTCACAACTAGAAATATTGGTCTCCGGTAATTCAAGATGTAAATGATACGATGGAAGGATTATCACCGATGTCAAACCGGGCACCGTTTGATGAACAATCTGTGATACTAAATAATATCGCTAAAAAACAAATCTTACTGAAGTAACAAGTACGAAAATGTTGTAATTCTATCGATAGGCACAAAACTAATCCATCATTGTATTGCATTAATTACCTCTACCTGTCTAATAGAGTATAAATATAGAGCGCTATGCCGTGTTTAAATAATCCAGCCATATTACTTACAAGTAGTTATAATTTTAAAGAGGAGAATTTCCTAATAGATTATCATGTGAATACTTGAGAAAAACAATTAGATATGTAGCTTATCTACCGGAAAATAAAAGGAATTTAAGCAAAAAAGGCTGTGATAAAAAGGTTTACTTGAGCGTGAAAGTCTTTAGACTAATATGTAGATAGTGCTAGACTGAAAATACACGAATTGTTGGACAGTGAAAGGCAGCAGGATCAAGTAGGTGCAGTTGATTAAGTTTGAGACTTTATTAGGAACCTTAACATACAACTACCTAAACTACAGGAACACAAATTAAATGACAAACTCAAAGTGTTTAGAGCAATTACACTAGCTAAGTTCATGATCTAAACTACAAAAATTCTATAGTTCTGCAAACCCCATGTAGTAGTTATAATGATGTACTCACTAGAGACAAACTCCTGGAATCCTAGTGAGAAGAGTGATCGGCGGAGTTCATTCACGTTGGATGAGACAGATATTCACTATAGGTAAGGGATAAGAGTGGTGCAATATCATGAATTGACTGGAGATAGACATGTACGCCATCCGATACTTACCCAATGGTCTAGACATCAAGCGTTTGGACATGAGACCGAAAGTTCTCCATTTGGTTACCGGATGCGAGGTCGTATATACGCCCTGCTGAGGAGTCCCACGTTAGGACGAAACAGCCGTTCAGTGCTTTCAGGTTTTCAACAATGGTTTAGCTAAGACCAGTACTTGATTTAAACTATAAAAACCGTAAAAGGGTTTCTAAATCGTTGTCAGGCTAATTGACAAAAGACATTACTGAACATAACCATTTAATTTTGTTTTTGAACAAATAAAGGGAAGAACAGTGTATAATTGTGAATGAAACTGAAAGGTTCACTTTTACAATTAAGGTATCTGAAAGAAAAAGTACAGACAGAATAATTTAGTAGCTGGATCATTCGTTTATAAGATTACTGATGTAACCCTAATTAAAAATGATAACTTGACAGAATTGTAGAAATGTCGACCAATAGATGTATGTATGTGAAAAGTTATCACTGGATCTCAATACTACCATATAGTAAAGGCAACAAGATTTTGAAGAAGCACAGTTGAAAATAGTTAAAACGATGACGATGAAACTTATAATCCAAATACAGCTAACTATCGTTGTTCAACTTAGTGAGATTATCAGTCAAATCATTAACTCTATATGGTTAAGTTCCGTTGTTTTACATCAAAACAGATATAATAATTGAGTCTTTACCAATTGACCTCCTTTAGGTATGAAGACACTTGGAGAATGTATAGGGGAAAGGTGAATGTTAAATTTATATAAAATATCATATAGAACAACAAAGCTCTTAAATTAAGTCCCCTCCCCAAAAAAATAACGGTTAACATTACATATAGTTAAATCAGACAACAACTATATCAACTTACCTTGATTGGTATTGGTTCACTGACATTCTCATAATATGATTGAGTTTTACGTTGAATATTATCTCCTACATTGCCTACTTTAATATCTCCTGGATTGGAAGGATCGATTACTGGTTCATTTCCAGAAAGATTATACTGTCGACGATTATTAATAGATTCAGATGAATAAGATGGAACAGATTGTAAATTTTGTGTGATATTACTCTAGATTATAAAAATACATATATGAATATAGGATAAGAAATATAAAATTCTAAATTACATAAGAGACATAAATATCATCACAATGAGATAAATGAAAAGAAAATTTTATAGAAAGAAATGTTTTTCATGTTAGTTTTAAGTGATGAATCTAAACATTTCAATTAGTTGCATAAGATCCAGTTTAGAAGGATGAAGAAAACGTGTTTCCAACGGAAATCAATACCTTATCAACTAATAAATTACCTTCAATTGAATTCCATTACATCAATAAATAGTATTATCATTCAATCAGAAAACTTTATTCATTTCTAAGTAGTTTAGTTTTAAAATGTTTAATATTTTTAAACATCGTCATAAATAGATACTGACAGTAGTAGACTGAGATCATGAAAATTTTGAATGATTCGCCTAGAATCCCAGTAAATCAGTCAGTCACAAACAATAACGATAACCATATATATATATATATATATATATATATATATATATATATATATATATATATATATATATATATATATATATATATATATAACGAGGTGAAATCACCAATACGAATCCCAAAGTAATGCAAGTAGTAACAGTATCAGAAGTAGTAGTAAAAAAGATTATGCACAGAAAGTATGATATAAGAATAAATTCTTGGGAAGGAAAAGGATGAAATAATTATAAAACTCAAAATTTAAGGGAAGATACATAATGAATGCATGTGGAGAGGACTTTGATCGGCCTAACACATTTCATATCGTTCAATGTCTCTCAAATTACTGGTCACGATGATTGCGTGAATCAAGTCATTTGCACCTACCAACACGACTCAATCCAACAACCAATAACTCTATGGACCAATATCATATCTTGGCTTGACTGCCTGTATTTTCCTTTTAACCCAGTTCTTCAAAACTAAGAATCATTGCGCGTAAATAATTTTAGTCATATAAACGCTTGAAATATAACAATCATTCCCAAAAAACAGAGAATTCATTTTATGATCAGAATGGGGGTTTTGTGGAGATTGTAGTAATTTTTTAATAGTTGAATTCATGAACTGATGTAAGCTAAATCACCATCGAAAAACTGGAAGCACTGAATGGCAGTTTCGTCCGAGCATGGGATTCATCAGCAGTGCGCATCCATAATCCTTCATGAGGGACTCGAACACAGGGACTTTTATCACCCGTGCGAACGCTTAACTTCTAGACAACTGAGCCGGCATCCAACGGTGTTCATGTTTAACTTCAATCGATCCATGATCTTGCGCAACCATTAATCCGTTGTCTTACATCGACTCATGAATTCAACTATTGCAAAAGGAATTCATTTTCTCAAATAACTATTTTTATACATCTAAAACGTAACATTTTCATTATTCTTAAAAGTTTATAAACCTGAAGTAAAACTAAATATAGGAAAATACAGAAACGGTTTATTCGTGTTGGAAACGAAAATTTAGCTGTCATTAATAAATGATTGAATTATATAGTATGATGGTCTGCAGATATATATATATATATAGTACATTTACGTATAGTAAGTACAACCAATTGAATATACACCATTTTAAACTATCTTTTTCTTAAAATAGATTTGTTTGAAAATTTACTTTGCAAGCTTGTTGATTAATATGCAACACAAAGGTCAAGGTTGTGATAAATAATAGAACATGGACGAGATTAACAAACTGTAAAATCAATAAAAATCGTTAGCCACTCTCTTATTTATATGAACACATAAGCATTGGTACAAGGGGGCATCAAACACATAGGTGCCACACAAAAACAATGTAGCCAGTAACAGTTACCATTGATTTGTGTGAGAGCTGTGATACGTACTACCAGATTGCCCAAACCAAAACAGGTGGTTTTTTTAGGGAGCCACACTCTGCTCTTTTATGTAGAAGAAAAGTGATCAGAACATTTCTCAGTTGTTAGTATATAGATTTTTGGAGATTGTACTATTTTCACAGTTGAAATGACGAGTCCATTTAAGCTAGATCACCGTTGAAATATATGGAAGCACTGGACTGACATTTCCTCCTAATATGAGACTCCTCAACTTAGATTGACTCGTGAATTTAACTGTGAAAATACTACAATCTCCAAAAATCCCCATGCTGATAATAATGTGTTCACTAGTGACAAATTTATTACATAAAACAAGAATATCAACATTAATTGTAGAATTGTTATATATTGAGAGGCCGCCGAGTAGAGGGCAGTGAGTTATCGACCGGATCAAGGACGCGTAAAACACGTGCGAGCGGTCTAGAGTTCTGATTGACCCTGCTTTCCGCCTAGTCCAGCCAGTTAAGTCCAGAACGCCAGTTTCAGCCTCTGCAATATGAATCGTTATATTTCAAACATACCAGGTTTATATACCAATCAAACAGACCACAATGTAGCATAAAATAGAAAATAACATTTGTACAAAATCTGGTCAAATGTGGCTGTGAATGTGGGAGGCAGTGACTAATAAACAGGGTATAATTCAAGAATGGTAAAACGTATAATAATGGTTCATAGGTCAAATAAAGTTTATAATATGAGGAACATGAACATGAATAGTTTAGTTATTTTAACAATTATAAGATAAAAATATACGTTTAGTATTGGTCCATAAATGGATCCCAAAATTACCATTCATTATTCTTGTCGGGACATAGCAAGAATACAATGAATTCACTAGGTATTTTTAGTTGCTTTCTTTTCAGTTACGCATATGTACCAGCTAGTAAGTATGATTATTTGGAACGATTAAAATAAAAATAATATCAGAAGGGGTTTTATGGAGATTGTAGTAATTTCAATCATTAAGATCATGAGTCAGTTGAAGCTAGACCACCATGGAAAACCTGGAAGCACTGGACGGCCGTTTCGTCCTATTGTGGGACTCCTCAGTAGGTCCTGGGTTCGAATCTCGCAGGGGGCGAGGTCGTGGATGCGCACTGCTGAGGAGTCCCATAATAGGGCGAAACGGCCGTCCAGTGCTTCCAGGTTTTCCATTGTGGTCTAGCTTCAACTGACTCATGATCTTAATGATAAAAATAATAATCTAAATTTAGCACAAAATTAATTTTGAAGAAAATCAAAGATGTTCGTTGATTCGTTAAAAGGAATGAAGATGCTACAGTAAAGAAAATTTTTTTTGACGATATCATTTTCTGAAATTGTACAATCGTATTTATCGCTAGTTTTTTTAATGTGAAGTAGTCTATAGTTAAATAGAGGAGTGTTAATAAATTATCAAAGAATGCGAAACTTATTCATGTATCGGATGTGATTCAGAAATCCCAGCTGGAACGGACAGTATACGAACTTTCAGAGTGCCAAGATAAGAAAAGAAACTGTCATTACCCCGAAGTTCAAAGTGTCATTAAAGAATATTGTAACTAATCGAAACCATAACAAATATAAACGCTTAAATGCAACGGAAATTGACAAAACACTTCAAAAAGTAATCGTTAGTCCATAAGTATTAGAAGTAAAAGTGGTTCCCCATACTTCAGATTAACATGCAACCGTTTACTTCTGAACAAGCAAACTCAACGAATAAAACTCTTATTTGTTGGATAAATAGTTATGATTTCTTGTGTTTTTTTTTAATGAAGGCAGTTCATTTCTAGAGTGAAACACATGTTGCGTATGCCTAAACTCCGATTACCACGACATGTAATGCTGACTGGTGTTGAGGATGGTTGAAAGAAATTTAGGAGCGGACAAACCAAAACGTAGCATAGGTCTTTGAAATCACTAATTCCAATCTTAAGCATATTGGTAAATGCAGACTACTTGGTTGGGGTCCGCATGATTATCGTAACCAATGGTTGGAGACTCTCGGTGACATGACTCAGAATCGATCACAATGGTATAGGTGTATACACTTTCTGTTTTCTCTCAAACTATGCAGTTAAAATCGCTTCATATCTTTCTTTCTACGAACTAATTTTTTCTCTTTGCATTGTATCCTTATATGCAATCTTTCTTTTATATACATATATATATATATATATATATATATATATATATATATATATATATATATATATATATATATATATATATATATTACCGCCACTGAATGAACTACTTCTATGAATCCAGTGTTGATCTTGTTATGCTAATGAGATATGACAACGTAGATCGATGTATATATATATACCTGGTCTTACATTGTTGCTGACTGATTGAATTCATTCATTCATTCATTTAAAATAATCAATAAAACAATGTCATTCTACATCATTGAAATTCAATAAATTCCTAATAACTTAGAAAGTTTAAACTTGATGTTTCTATTTAAATAACTAAATAATTAATTTATCATTTATTTTGATAACTTAAACAATATGAACTTGTTTTATATCATTCAAATCATTATCATGATAGCTTCATTTAACAGATTAGTTCATTTTAAACTTCCATTAGAATTTTTTTATTATATTGAATAACAATAATAATTGATAAAATATTCTAGTCTTATTATTATTTAAAGTATTTAGAATAAAGTTTATTTATATTCTGTAATTAAATAATTTATTTTGTATTAATGCCAAATTCTAATGTAAATAAATTAAAATAACTAAATGTATTAGATTGGATATGTGTCTAGTTAAAAAACACGAGAAGTTCGTGTATCTAGGTAGCTGCATAAGTGCTGGTGGTGGCGTGAGTGATGAGATCAATGCACGTATAGTGAAAGCCAGAGCGGCTTATGCCAATCTGGGCCATCTTTGGCGCCTTCGTGATGTTAGTCTGGCTGTAAAAGGTCGGATCTACAACGCGACGGTGAGAGCAGTTTTGCTCTATGCTTGTGAAACCTGGCCTCTCCGAGTTGAGGATGTTAGACGACTCTCTGTGTTCGATCATCGTTGCCTCCGAAGGATTGCTGGCATCCAGTGGCAACACCATGTCAGTAATGCAGAGGTTCGGCATCGAGTGTTCGGTCACAGAGACGATAATGAAATTGGTGTCACCATCTTGAAACACCGACTTCGGTGGCTTTGACATGTTCTACGAATGTCGTCCCAGAGAATTCCACGTCGTGCATTATTTGCCGACTCTGGGACTGGTTGGAAAAAGCGGAGAGGTGGTCAGTATATGACATGGTGTCGTGGTATGAAAGAAAGCTGCAAAGGGCTGGCTTCTGTTGGTTCTTCACGACTCCCTGGTTGGGGTCCGAGAGATGGTGTAACGCAGTGGCTAGAGACGTTATCAGATATGGCTCAGAATAGAAGCCAGTGGCGATCCTGCTGTAACCTTCTTTTACTTTCTTCATAAAAAGGTGGTCGTATTCTTCCTTAACTGAAAGATCTGTTCTGATTGTACCTTTCCGTTTCCCCCACCATTGTTCTCTCTCTCTCTCTCTCTTCTTTTTTTTATAATTCCCCACGTTCATTACTTTTTTTTTCTTCTCTTTTCTCCTTCTCTTCTAATTATCACTGTTTTGTGTGGCGCATATATATTTGGTGCCCCCCTGTACCAATATTTATGTGTTCAAATAAAATATAATAATAATAAAATAGTTAAAAACAAAAACAAACACCTAATGAATACATTGTATTCTATATAGAATTCATGTTATATTTTTGCTTTCTTTAATAGGATAACAAATGAATTAAGTAAGATTTTTAAAGTATACTATTCACTTTTCTTTTTTTTTTTTAATAAAAAAGAAAAACTATTTTTTTTTTTTGGAGATTTTAACATTTTCATAGATGAATTCACGAGTTGATCTAAGCTAGACCATTGTTGAAAACTTGAAAACATTGAATGGCTGTTTCATCTTAGTATAGGACTTTTTATCAGTGAGTAACTATGATTCTGCCTTGTGAGATTCAAACAATAGATTTATAAAAAGATTATCCTACTAGAAAAATATTTTATTTGACCATTACTACTAGATAGTAATGATAATATGTGCTTACTCAGTCAAAAAAAAAGTGAATTTTTCAAATAAACTATACTCAATAAGACATTCTAAAAGAAAAAAAAAAGTTATAGTCGATATGAACTGATGAAATATGAAAATCGAACTAATGATCTATCCATTCAATTATGATGAGAGATGTTTATAAGCTTATAGGGTATTAATATCAGTTTCGTATTGTTTCTCGTCTAAAATAAAAAATTTCAATGATGCTTTACCAAAAATAGAATGGAATAATCAGAATTCTACAATTAGATACTTGAAAAATTACAAAACTACTTAAGAATCACATTATTTTTGTTAAATATTAACAAAATAAATAATTAACCGAGTTTTCTCCTTAGTAACATTTCATAAACAAGTAGGGGTTATTGACTGAATCTTTATTGACTTAATGAGGTGGATTAAAAAAATGATTCACCGTCTTATTAATACAACACAATCATAGACTTCATTAAGATTGACGTAGGAATATGTAAGTTAAACTCTATATTCTTAAGAAAAAACTGGATCCTATTGAAGCAAGTGATAGTTGAAAAGTAATCAACTCCTAAATTTATATGAATTTTTGTTCAGTATAACTCTGTGCTGCGTAGAGTGTATTTAGTTGACAGAATTTAACTTGATGAAAATCATTAGTAATCATTCTATTGCTTGTTAACTTGTTAATATTGAGCCCATGACTACACAATTACTAGTGACAGTAGTGTCTGCATTAATCCGTATCTGACTTTGGAAACAATACAAGTATATACACAGACTGTTCAGTAAACAATCCAAGTGAGGACAAGAATTTTATTCTACTAATCTGGGTTTTTTCAAAACAAAGAAAAATAAGTTAGAAGTCTGGTAAGAGTAGAGAGAGAATAGGCCAATGGCAAAATAAGTTAATAGCACAACCACTTAAAGGATGAAAATTTATTAGTACATATGAGGTTGTTAATAAAAGGACAGTTTTATAAACCCAAACCGTTAACTACACACGACAAACACAGTCTACAAGACTATAAATCATTACATCCGTCATTGATTTACAGTCGAAAAGTCACACGTAACAACAAAAGGGATGAAAAAACAGCTGTTTAGTATCATTCGTCCTATGAAATAAGCTTCAACTTGGTTAGGAAAGATGGAATAGCTGAATAAAGACGATATATTGTAACAGTTACAAACTATGATTTTAAGCATGCATGCGTATATATATATATATATCAACAAATCAAACAATTGCATTATTATTGTTTGAAGTTGATGTATGAACACATCAATTTTGTTAACGATGACATTGATATACACTCACTTGAGTTTTACACTTTCGTGGATCTTCCCATGTAGTTGACTTGTTAATGTGATCGATAAAAAAGGGGAAACCGGTGATACTGTCATAACCCATGGACCATCCAGGAGGTAAACCTTGTGAGCTCATAATTTATAAACCAGATAGAAGTTAGCTGGTTAGCTCGAAAGATTAACCGAAAAGCTTTGCAATGCAATCCAGCAACCTGTAGAAGAAAATATGACTTCTTAATCAATATCACAAGTACTATATATATAGCACAATCTGAAATGGTGGAGATTTGTAGCTCAGGTGGATGATTGTGATGAAGTTTTGTTCTCTGAGCTGGATGGTTTAGTCGTCAATTTTCATCGTTCTTCTGAACGACATCATCAGCACAAACTTCTACATAACACAATCCCCAAGACGATGAAAGTTCATATGCTTAAAAAACCTGGCACACCGGATACTAACAAAGCCGGAATGTCGTGATGTCGCAAAAAACTTAAGCAAACAAAGTAAAAGCTTGCTGTGAAAAAGACAGTTCCATTAGCAGTTGGTGAAATACACACATTGCTCAAAAATGATGGGAATGAGGAACACCGAAGTTGGACGTTAAAATCTGGTTAAAGAATGGAAATTCACCTGACATGACTGAAGAGCTGCGTCACTTGATGTGCGTAGGACACGCACTGCGTATCCTCAAACTACACTCACCTCCATGTGTAATCACTATTACCTACTTCTAAGTTATGAGTTGGGATATTTATTCACCCATAACTTCTTTTCAAATCATATTTTTCAAGTGATTAGTTTCTCTTACTACAGTCAATATTACCACCATTTTGACCTGTCATTTATCTTAATTTCATCTCGCTCTGGTGAAATGGTACGATAATTTGCCCCCAAATGCCCTGGTATGACCGATAGTGGGGGGAGTTCCCTCTCCCTCTCGAAATGCTCTTACATGGCCATGCGTATACAGCCTCTGCCAGGGAAATCCTACTCACTGCCTTCACGCATCACGGGTGTTGTTTACGAAAATGAGAGGACGAAAAGCGAATGTCCGGCACTATAACCAGATCCCAAACCAATGGTGCACATGGGTTCCAGTATCCTGAAGGAACAAATGGCGTATGAATCAATCGTTGGTCACCGGCTACCATGGGACTGCATCTCCTCACGATGCTCCACTGCCTTGTGGATCAGACCTTCAGGTCGAAGGCTCGGGGTGTGTCCCTCTAAAAAACCACCTGCTTCGGTTTGGGCACCCGGGCAGTATCACAGCCCTCATACATATCAAATGAGATCTGTGTGGCGCATATGTATTTGGTGCCTTCTTGTACCGATATCTATGTGTTAAAATAAATTAAAATAATAATAATAATAATTTGGGCAAAACTCTACGTTCACCATCACTGAGAAACATTGGAACTCAGACAAAACAACAACTCACCCACCTCTTCACCCATAACACAATCGTAAAACGTGACCGGAGATGGGTTAAATAAGTAACATATATGTAAGTGGTGCTGTGGATAATGACAGCTTCACCGAGTTGCTTTAATATTTGGCATAAACTTCCCAGTTAATACAAATCTGTCTTTATAAAACCAAATCGAATAAGGTTGCTGGAGCATGTGCTTAGCTTAATGGTGCAAAAACATATATGCACAATAGATTCCTAGTAGGACACCCAGTTTTATGAGCTCGAGTGACAGAATGGTTACTGGTCACAGTTTATTTTATTTTAACACATAAGTATAGGTACAGGGAGGCACCAAGTACATATGCGCCACACAAATCAAAATTGATTTGTGTGAGGGCTGTGATACTGCCCGGGTGCCCAAACCGAACCAGACTCGTCACAGTAGTACAGAGGCAGTAGTGCTGTCAGTGATGATTTCAACTAGCTTATCAACTTACCTACGAAGTTTAATGTTCTTCATCTAGATCACGCTCCTATTCGAATTATTTCTATGTACTACATCAAAAATGAAAAATTTAAATGACCAGAACTATTTTCAGTCTTATGCTGTTGTATTACCCATAATGAGAAAGTCGTGTAGATTAGGTCTAGTTGCCGAACAGTTAAACAACGCATACCATTTGAACACTGTGTCGTGTCCGTCTAAACAAAAAAATGATGCAATGGAGTTATCCGTAAAATAAACGCTTAATATCAAGTGTGCGTTGCCAATGGTGAGCAGAACACATTGATTTTGTAGCATCTGAACGACTCAGGTATGACAATTTTGGTCGCAGGAAAGGACATGATTATTACACTGTGATGTTCCTCAACCAACACAGCCCTCACACAAATCAATTGAGATTCGTGTGGCGCATATGTACTTGGTGCCGCCCTGTACCTATACTTATGTGTTGAAATAAATAAATAAAATTTGTTTAGGCTACATTGTAATGTCAGGTCAACTAAAATTCATACACTGAATGAAATTGGAGATAATTCACACCTACAATTCACTAGAAAAACCTTAAGCAGTAGGGGAATACGACTACCAACTCAGAAAGACCCACAGTCTGCGAGAAATCAACTGTACATTCTACTTTCATAGGACAGTTACTTAGTGACGTCATGTTAGTAAAGATTGAGGGAACTACTTAATGAACTCAACATACATCGTGTTTATTTAACAACCAACTCCATGATAAGTAGTTCGTCTAGAAAACACAACAAACTTGTCACAAAATGGTGGATCGTTAGGGATTTTAATAATCTGAGATCGCAATTGCGAAGTGGTTGCATGGTAAAGGTGAATGGTATTTAAATAAATGCTCAGTGGCGAATGAACGCAATAAGAAAGGGTCCTTTCCTTTTCCCTTCAAAGTAGGAGTTTAGGAAATAAAGCTTAACGCATTAGCTGAGATTAAAATTTTTAAATAAGGTACCGAATCCTCTATTTCGGGGAAACTTTTGTCCAGTTTGGGTAAACCAGGGGAAACTTCTGTCCAGTTTGGGTAAACCAGGACCAAATGAGGATTATAAAGCTGTCTGAGGAATTAGAATTATAACTTATAGTTGATGACTAAAGGTAGGAATTAGATTCAGGGTTTTCGTCACAAATTGGCATCAGCTATAATGTCAAAACTCTATTTAGCCAAACGGATGAATGAATTCCGCGCCAAAACCCGAGACTTGGGTGGTTCGTTTATATATTACAGCCTCGCTGGAGAAACCGCTATAGAAAACTTGTGGAAATGGCACAAAAACCCCGAAATTTCCCTAGGTCTGGGGAAAATCCACAAAGTTTCGGGGAAATCCCCGAAATGTTTGGGGAAAACTATCGTACTTTTTACAACCGGGGAAAACCTCGAAATTCACCCAAAGTTCCCCAAAGTAATGAGGTTGGTTATTTACTGCGTTAACGCAGTCGACGAATTTGTTTACAAATACATATAGACTCTCAGTAAAAACACTTTGAAATCATATGTAAAAACCTATTTATCTAACTCCATACAAAGAATAACTGAGGAGCTTGGGGAGACATCACTACTTTACGACTCACTTCACCTGTCCCATCAACTGCCTATTCATATTCCCCGCTATTACTGACTAGAAGGAATCAGTCTTCTAAAGGTCATTCTAGAAGCCACCATATTCTGAGTTCAAAGATATTTGGTAGCAATCTTCTTACATTACTACATAAGCAGGGAACGGATGAGAGATTGGTATTGAGTACTGAAGCTGGTTGGTTGTTCATCTTGTAGATGTATCACCTAATAGCGAGCTAACTGTAATACTTTTACGAGCTAATATTTCTTTAGTACTTGATTCCCGCTGATTATGAATTCCCGAATGTAGCACCTTCAGTTGTGCTCATCTGGTTCTACTTGCTGATAATCACATTATTTTGGAAATTCCTAGTCAGTACATTAATTCAAATACTTTTATTCATCATATGAACTATCGGTAGGAACAAACTAACGAGCTGTTTACGAACAGAAATGTTATACTAACGTGATTTGTGTTCCTCAAATTTTTTGCTGTGCCAGTACGTAGAAAGTGCCTCTCTTGATCCAAAGAATCTGTCTTGATTTTAACGTCCGAGAGATTACGTTTCTTTTTGATTTTTGTCTCAGTCATTCCTTGTTTACGATTTCGCACGACGAGGCGAATTCTGATATGACTAAACTTTTTATACAACCCATTTTTACCCATTCTGAATATATTGTCGTTTGCATGGCCGTAAACTTACATTTCATTATGATCACTAAGATCATATACAAACGACTTGGATAGAATTTTGCTGTAACCTGTAATTTGCAGAGTGACAAATGCAAATTCTGATTTCATAAGGCATGCGCAGACTGTACAGCAGATGCTTACAATGGACTTAGTAGATCAGGTCGCTAGTTGGCATGTGGCTTATGCGACATGAATGCCGAGGAGTTGCAGGATAATATATTCATTTTCTCAACAGATCTGCGAAAAAATATAAGCAACTCTGTAAAAAGGCAATCCTGAAACGAATAACCAAACAAAGACGCTCAGGTACGTAGAGAAAAAGGACCTCGGCAACATTTGTATCACTGGAACAAGAAACAGTACCTGAGAGGATATGCTGAAACCCAGCACCACAATAAAATCTACGGTGTTAGACTCATGCAACAAACGTTGTATCTGCAGCATATACTTTACAAATTCCACTATTGTCTCGAAAACGTTCGATGTGGGCGGCTGAACCCTCAACAATAGGATTAAAAAGGATTGAAGGCCACAATTAAAATTGTCTAACAGTACAGATCTTGCAAGAAAATCAACTAACGAACTGGTCGTCCAGTCTTCTCCCGAAATCGTCTAACCAGTCAACGAAATGCACGGGGATCTAAAATGCAATTCAACTGACAATTTAAAAGCTACCCAATCCCAATGTGTCCGAAATCCTAAGAAAGCGAGTATTGTTCGAAATGTTTCCCGAGTAATCATGAACCTTAAAAACTGCCCTGATTTTCCTGACTGTTCTCAGAACAAAAACGATGGGATGCTTTGATAAGAGTTAAGCAAGAATCTCAAATTTCTTAGAACTAAGCCACTCACGATTACATGGCTAACACATGGGAAATATACCGAATGCCGAAATCATCCTGAACTCCCTCCTGTAACGTTCACTAACACTGCTGATGCAGAGGATGTTCTGTTGACCAGTCACTTACTAAAACCAGAAGATCATTAGAGGTTATTGTCCGATATACCATATTCTGAGGGCGATCACATAAGGAATACTCTAAAGGAATTTCGTGAGGTGAGTGAATAACATTGTGCAAGGTGTCCCAGAAAACGTGGGCTCTAATTTTGCAGAATATGATATTCTATAATAGAAATCCACAAGACTAAGCACATAGAAATTCAATAAGTGATGCGATTAACCAAGAATGACGGCATTTCTAAAGCCCTAGCACGAGACAAAATGGAAAATGGACATCCAACATTTAACGCTGGGAAATACCCAACAATGGAGAAGGCGGGAATAATGAATTGAATAAAGGAGTTGGTCGGATGGCATGGCTCGACTTTGCAGGCGTGGTCCCAGCTGAATGTTATCTTGTATCTTTTATTCATATTAAACATATGTTCTATCTCTGGCTTAAGCTTGTTGTCTATCACGTATTGATAATTGTTACAATGCAATGAGTTGGTGTAGACGATGATGTAACTTCCACGTAAGATCTTATAGATTAGGCGGTTACATCATGATAAATCTACAATTTAAGGATTAGGTCTATTATTAGAGCAGTGCTAATATCGTAGTAGACCATAATACTACACATGTATTTATCCGAGTGCACGAAAGAAAATTTTCTTTTTTAATGACTGGTTTACTTCAGAGGTCGATATTCATTACACGATTATTATTATCATCATGGTCGAACCGTCTCACTGGATGTTCACCTCTTTTCTCTCTTTTTTCCATTTAAATTGAAGATGCCACAGGTATTCGGAGTTTGACAACGCTTTAACCAGTAACACCTTCTAATACGAAGCGCACCCACCAAGTAAAATCAAAAGACAGAAGTGAGGAGATCGAAGATATATTTGACGAGCTATCAATATATCGAGGATCGTTTGCACTAATCTGGCTAGCGACTCCGGCAGATGTTGAGCACGGCGTTCCCACACGTGATCTGGTGCGGATGCTTGACCGAGCGCCTTCAGCTAGATGAGTCCACTAAAACTGTGGTCAGCATCCAATGTCGAAAACTTACACAGCTATTTGATTTTGGGGAATTATTTACCGCTACAAAATAAATATTATTCATAAGGTTACGAAGTTTGTAATTTAGACAACAACTTGTATTACACTTAAATTAACTTCTCAGACTCGTTTTATCTTCACTATGCGTATATGATTCATACATATTGATATTTGTTTATTCTTTTCACTTAATTGATACTTTCATAACATCACTCCAAACTATGGCTGCGTAAACAAATAATCTAGCGTCATTTCTTATTTTTTCATAATTAATTTTCATTTTATTCTTCTTATTAATTTGACGATATATACATAGTCGTTTATTCTTGTTCTGTGTTCTTAAAGACGCTTATTAAACTATTTGCGTATTTCACGTCTCCTCTATTTCCACTCCCTTATTTTCTCCCTTTCCTTCTTTAATCTCAATCCAATATTCTTCTCGGTTACGCAGAAGCTGACTTATCATTATTCTCTTTTTCAAATATGGCAAATGTTATGCTAACATTATTGAAACTTGTATATTATTGCATTTTTGAAGAAACCCGAAGTGGTTTTTTCACAACACTTATGTACCCATAAGATGTTTGTGAATAATAATAATTAGCTTTAATGTTCTATTTGCGTGTCTTTTAGAGTACCCAGTTCATATAGGTGATGGATGTTCAACGCGCTACTTAATTTATCATCTAAAATACATGGTCATCAAGATACCGGAACCTTCAATATAGATGGCCTGAATAAAATAGTAATAACTCTTAGAAGTCGCATAATTCTCAGTACAGATCCAGGATTATAAGTGATATTGCGCTGATGGGAATTGAAGTGTTAGGAAAAATGGGCAAGATAGTTGAAGAAAACGGAACGCGACTCACTTCTGTTGCCTTGCGCTGACGTAAGCGTCTTTGTTCTTTAGTTTTGCGGTACCATTAAGATAAACGATGCCAAGAATTTACAGTAAGAGAGGTTTGGTAGCAGTAATTTTTAGCCACTTTATAGCCAATCCTTCCTCCTATATGAAATCGCATGTTATGTACCAAGTTCGATTTTCAGACTATAGTGAAATTAAAACGTAAATACTTGACAGATTTCGACTCTCAAACCAGATAACGTCAAACTTAAAACATTTCCATAGTCGAATGGTAAGTTTACGTATGTGATTGAAAATCTATCGAAATGTTGTCCTCTACCATGAGTACGGAAACAGAATTCATTATAAACCCTGTATATTAGGGTCTCTTGTAGTTTAGAAACAAATGGTCAACTGAAGAACGAGAATAAAACTAATGGATCAAGATTAAAAATATTCGCAACTTAGTTTCAATCCCGAGTATAACGAAGATTTCGAAATTCTACATAAAGAAAGCAGTATTCACAATAATGGTTTATGGTAAATTAAATACGTCAAGGTTTGTTAGCAGCTCTATATATTGAAAAGTGGTTATTAGGTACTGGAAAATCATTAGGAGTATTCCCAACGAGAGGAAACCAATGTTCTGTCTATAAAAATCAAGTGGTGTAACAAACGTTTCCAGCAGACGCCCAAAGTGTACTAACAAGTAATTACTACATGTCACACAAGACCGTAATACGCCCGGTATCATTCGATAAATATTGAAATATTGGTGACGAATTTCAACCAAAGAAGAATAAAATTTCAGTCAAGGAAAATAAAGAAATATCGGGTCATGTGTATATATATATAGAAATCGTAACAAAAAATAGCAGTGTCATAATATGGGATACTTTTAAGGAATTTACAAAGTAACATTTGTATTATTTGATTGTCTAGAGCTTGCGATTTGAATGAAACGCGTGTGCTCACTCGTCATAAAGTCACTTTGTCTACGTTGATTTGGTTAAACCTATTAATTTCGATTGATGAGTGAATAAAACAATATCATTTGAGTTATATGCTCATGACTGGTTACTACCAGACTTTCTATTGAACTGTCAATTATGGAATTAGACCAGTAATTCACGTAAACATAACCAACAATTTCAGTGATTCGTTTTGTTGGAAGTCAGTTTTTTGTTTCCATGATGTTTTCCCACGCTTTGGGGGATTTTTCCTATTGTTCTCCGAGGGAGCTCGCTAAATAGTTTAGTGGCCTGATTAGAGCATGGCTATAGTGGACACTTAAGTTCTTTTCTAGTCGATGGTGAAATGCAGTGTGGCAAATGCAACAAGTGACTTTACAAAGAAAGCACTGGACTCATACCAGCTGCACATAGTTGGTGTTGCAAGCCGCCATCGTGTTGATTGTGCAAGTCGTGCGGTTCTGCAAATTCACAATTGATTGATCACTGAGTGGTGATTAATATCATGCGTGTCAAGTGCTTATCAGTGCAGATCAAATGCTATCGACCATGTTGCAATGTGGACAGCAGTCTAGGTGACTCGACACTGCGTGCACTATGTTGAGATTAGATGGCGGTTGGAGGTAGTCGACAGGAAACCCTGGACTCGGGTTTCGTGCTACTTGGCAGTCGTAAGCAAGATTACAGGTACATCTTAGGAGTTAGAATTCATAAGCTCAACATAATAGGACAGAAATATGGTTCAGGAAATACACAGACAAACCACCCCTTTGGAGTTACTTATGTCTCCGCTGAAGAAAGAAATCTAACACTGAAAATTTCACCTAAACTTGCCGAATCAAGAATACATGTCCGTTTGGACCTCAGCCTGGTTGACAATGACGTGACTTTCACGCTAGATCTTATAGATTAAATAACCAAGTCAGATAGTATTAAAGTACGATCGTCAAAGGTCTGAATAAATGAGCGACGCCAGAACGGTGAAAGACCTATAGTGCGTGACGTTAACCGACCACCTATAAAGTAGAGAATTTTAGAAGTAGGATCAAGGAGAACAACATTTTATTACAAATTGTTAAAAACCAAAATCTCCCTAGTTTTATTCCAGAACATTATAGATCTCACTAGATATGACCTAAAAAACTCTTCGTCTGTCTTGGACTTTATCACCACAAAATAATGATGTCATCCAAATGCGTTATCATATTCAAGTTCATGAATGGTATAGTCTGTCAAGTAGTTGCTTCAGGCTGTCCTAACACATACTAGGCAGACATGAAGACGATAAACTCTGCAACCTCGATCACAAACTGGAAAATTAACTTAAATGCGTCAGTGGTGGAAGTATGAGCTGATTTTCGGCGGTTGCACAATCAAGAAACTCGACCCTTTATAACTTGGACAGTCCCAAAGAAGTAGAAGCACGGTCATCCCTGGGTAAGACGGTATACCCGATGATTACTAAACCGAAAGGAAAGGTGTGAAATGTGATTATTAGCCTTGGCACAGAAAACGCTATGGAACGCTGCATGTTTGCTCGAAAAATGTATATTGTGGCAATTTGAGCAGCTTGGTGGAAATGTGAGAAGTAGTTGTCACAATTTGTTATCAAGAAACCGAATAGATTGTTCCCGTAAATAAATTACTGAACAGGAATTCATCATTGGATTTTCAACTCAATTATGGGATGGGAGTATCTCAAATGACAAAAGCCAAAGTGGACTATTTCGAGACAGATTTTACTCGGGAATCTCATCTAGACTAAGAACTAGATCCAAGCACAAAGTCACAAGATCGGTTGCTCACTATGAACTTCGATTGAGACGACGGACAAGAATCAATCTAAAAGAAAGCACACAAGTTAGAAGCGAACAAAGTACACGTGAAATACAGGTTTTCATACGATATCATCCAAACTTGGAACCTGTTCCTCGAAGAAGGAATGTCTGATCCATCAGTTAACTCATTTAAGAGACGACTAGAGATTCTCCCAAGCTTGCTGGAAAACGGCTAACACAATCCGTGGATGTTTTGTCCTGGAAAGGGTATAAAGCTTGTTTTGTGGTATAGAGTGACCAACAAAGTGACCTTGAACGTTTCAAATGTAATTTCGGTAGACGAGGATGTAATGTTGGGATAGAGAATCTATCACTTAGAAGGTAATTAAATTTAATTCACATGGCGATTCTAGATAGATTATCAGCTTTATAAAACAAAAGTCTGGTTAAGTGGCGACACTAATTTATGGACGAATCAATCACATTAAGGGTAACAGGCTCGGTTTTTGGTGCGGAATTCATCCGCCCATTTGTTTAAATAGCGTTTTGGCATTTAAGTCAATGTCATTTAGTGATGAGAACCATATATCTAATACTTAACCTGATTATCGGCTGTAAATTGTAATCTTTACTCTTCAAATATCTTAATAAGCCTCATTTAGTCCTAGTATATAGATGAACATTACCAAGGTCACTAACACTTAGCTGAAAGATTGTCCAGAAATTGTGGTCTCACCCATCCCAACGAGTTTGGGTGGTTTTGCGTTTTTATTACCCTTCAAAATCGAATTCCATTGTCGGTGAAACTCTATTTTATGGACGACCTTTGAACGTACGTCTAAGTGACCTTGAGAACATTAGCCAATCAGAAGAGAGTTGGTACAGAGTAAAGATATATTATGAAAAACGGATGAATTACTATGGATATTCTTCTTTCACATGATTTAGGAACTTGTTAAGGTTTGATAAAGGTTCAGAAGTTCTGAAATCATAATGCATGCGGTATAGGAACTCGTCCATATGGCTCCATATTAATCGTCCTCTGGAACCGTGGTAGGGTCTTAGAAATACTTCAGCCTAGACCACATGCCTTCAATATTGTTTGTATGAACCCCCGTCATTGGATCGACAAAATGACGTATATTCACTGAAGTGTTACTTACCCAGTCTTCCTTGATAAAACGTCCTTTGTTGTATTTTCGCTTTCTAATTACTGTCTCATCTATTTCCACTATCATTCCAACTCCTCCAAACGATTCATGTACTTGTGATCGCGCAAAGAAAGTGCCAGTTCGAGCAGATTTTTTTCTCCAACATATAGTAAAACGAAATACAATATCATCACGGTAGTCTGCACATCGTGCTGCAGTCATTTGATTGCCGCAGTTACAGACACAGGAACTTCTTAATAGTCCCATCTGTTATAGTCCCTCAACAATCACCTCTTCTCTGAAATCTGCTGTAAAACGGTCGAATGTGAGCATCTAGAATCGAACTTAGCGCCGTGACCTTGAACTTCCTCAAACGCCTCTGATTGGCTCGTCCATAAATTAGAGTCCTACCCCATTGTCTTTATAGCTGTTTAGTGTATGTGCTGGTAGGCGTGTGAGCAAAACAACCAATCCATCTCAAATTATTTTCACCCTTAACTTAAATCTGATACATAAAACCAGTTTTTAGTGTTACAACGGGTCACAGCACTGGAAGAAAGGTCGCGTTACTGACAGCGATTAATACCGTTTTGGTTACTATCTCTGTGGGGCACCACATACTTGTCTGTGCTGTACTGTCACCCTGAGACCTTTCGGCCGCTAGGGCTTACAGTGTGGCTAACCACTTTGCTACCTATAATCGGTCTAGACGTTGAAGTAGTTGGGACGTCTATGAAAGAAATCAGAAGAAAATTAAGACCCTTAAAAACACCAATCGAGGCTGACTATTCTGATAAAACAAGAGCAAGGATTAGTAAATCCAACATTTAAGCATGACTAAGTAGACAGGTTTGAACTAGAAACGGAGATGAAAGAGGTTAGTGTAGGTGGTAGTTGTCATGACATCCTGTGATTTTTATTTCCATTGTATCGTGTAACTGTACCAAAGCAACATATTTTCTTTTGTGCTCAGAAAGCTGTTATTATGATCTTCTGATCCTGTTCAAGGAGCAGATGGCTGACATCAACATTGCGAAATCTTCGTAGTGATGGTGTTGAGTAAATTGCCTGCATAATAATATGTGTGGTTATAAAGTAATTTCCAGCCTTCGGTACGGTCGGACACTGTATCATTTAGAGACTGTTTACCTCAACACTTTTCTCCACCATGGTATTTTGATACAAACCTGTTACAATATGGATATTAAAATGTCACCATATCAAACTAATGGTTTTCATCTATTTCGTAGAATACACTATCCATGATTTTGTTACTGACTGTTAACAAAATAATATGACACATACTTTCACATACTTTACAGGTTTTCTGTTTTGAATTTTTAAGAGGGACCTATTAAAATTCCGAAAAAATAATCATCTGGTAATCTGCTGCAATTTAAAATGAGTTCAGACTGGAATTCCTTACCAGTCAAATTATCTGAAAGCATACTAAAAGCTATCGATGCATTAGGATTTAAAGAGTCTCTGCCCGTTCAGGTAATACTTTCATGTTTATTTTTAATATCGTTAGCAATATGTTATTCCTCTCCTATTAAATTCAAAAGATGTTGCAGCTGAAGCTATCACTGGTTCTGGGAAAACTTTGGCATTTGTTATTCCCGTTTTGGAGATATTATTAAAAAGAAAACGCCCATGGCAAACATATGAAGTAAAATATTATAAAATAAATCCTATACTAAATAGATTGGAGCTTTGATTTTATCTCCTACCTGTGAATTAGCAATACAAATATATGAAATAGTGTTACACTTTATCAAATATGTCAATGCAAACTCCAAGTAATAAACCAATCTAGTTATTTCATCTTTTTACATATTGTCTCTGTTGTGGCTTTTGAATATTTGTTACTTTTCCGAGGCTTAGATTTTACACTAAAAATGTGGATAATACCCCGTTCCTCCAAAGTTCAATTGCTTAGGAATCCATCACTTATTCATCACCAACAAATCATATGAGTGAAAACATGACATCAATCCATAAAGTCATTGATTGTTAGTCTGAGTTATGCTAGTAGATGCAGATTACCTACGTGTGATTTATGTAATAACTGCAATGGATTTTTAAAAGCTTATGGGTTTGGGCTTCCGTTTATGAGCTAATTATTTCTTCTATCTCAGTCCCTTAAGTATTTTACCAACTTGTTTCCCTGTTATAACTAAGAAATACACTGAAATGTTGCTTGTTTTGGAAAAGGTTAGTGTCTTTGTGAGAAAGCTGTCTTCAATTTTATAAAGCGGGTGTATTTTCGTATTAGCAGGATTTAAACAAAACAATAAATTCAAAACTTTACATGAATAACTAAACCATTTACCTAAATTTCATAGTTCTTTAGATTTTGCGAATGGATTATTATGTTCTTGTATATCTATTTAGTTGCGGAAAATTCTATTCTGAACTGTATCAGTGTAACTATGGCTCTGTTGTTTGAACATTCTGTTGAAAGCTAAATCGTGGGTATGAAATGCACTTGGCATCTCATTATATAAGTGGCCGTTATACATTAAATTGTTGTTGATCACATAGAACATTGCATTTTTACGCTGTAATGGCTGTGTATAAGAGAGCCTTTATCCAGAATTGTATCGTCGTTGACGTCGTTTCCAATATCATATAATGACTCAACAATTTGATTCGAGAAAAGAATCTGTGAAATAAAAAAGATAAGATGTAATTTTGGAAATCAAAATCTGAGAGAAGACAAAGAGTGAATATATCTGCGCTATTTTAACTAATTTAAGTTGTCATCCAACGTCTACAACTACTGGTTACGATAATCTGATTGACCTCAACCAGGTAGTACACATCTACTAACACGGCTCAGTTCGATAATGACTGACTTGATGAACCGATACTGTGTATAAGTTTACCTGCCTCTAATTTGTTTTCCACTATCTAAGTATTTTCATTTTATTATTAAAATGATCACAACTTAATGAATTGAAAGATTTCAAAACGGATTATTTTTCCTTGTTTACTAGTGAGTATAATTTCTCAGCGCTTGTCTTCACTAGTAGTGGACGTTCTAGTGGAGCTACAACAAAATTTCAAGACTTCAATAATTTTAAAGAAAAAGGTTCCACTATTCTTGTTGCTACACCTGGACGGTTAACTGATTTAATTTTGGCTGGTGCAGTTGTTGATTATGGATTAGGTAATATGGCTAATCCTGTTATTCGTGGACTTCGAAGTATGGTAAGTTACCTCCTGAAATTATTCCACTCTGTACATTGTTTATTATCCTCCGCCTGGAGTCCCTTTCCGGGGGCTACTGCCGGTCCCAAGCCCGGATAAAGGAGGAGGGTTGGGTATGGGGTTAGCGACCCCATCCCGTAGAAAACTAACTCGCTAAAAAAACGCTAACCAGAAAAAATTATTCAAACCTTTTAAACTCTGTCCTGGGAGTCAGAAGGTCTTCGTTTAGAAGAATTATGACACCTCATGATGAAAGCCGAGTTTTTTCGGAAGTCACGAGACTGATGCCTCTTCTGACAAACAGAGCAACAATTTATTTAGGTACATGGAATGCTCGCACAATGTGGGAGACTGGGAGAGTTTTCCAAATTGCTGCAGAAATGAGGAGATACAATTTAGAGGTGCTTGGGATCAGTGAAACACATTGGACGCAAGTTGAACAACAACGACTAGCTTCAGGGGAGCTGCTGTTATACTCCGGACATGAACAAGAAAACGCCCCACATACACAAGGAGTTGCATTGATGCTGTCCAAACAAGCACAAAATGCACTTATAGGATGGGAATCTCATGGACCAAGGATCATCAAAGCCTCCTTCAAAACAAAGAAAACGAGGATTACAATGAACGTCATCCAATGCTACGCGCCTACCAACGACTACAATGAAGACGCTAAAGATCAATTCTACGATAGGCTTCAGTTAATCGTCGAGAAGTGCCCAAAAAAAGACCTGACTATTCTGATGGGAGACTTAAATGTCAAGGTTGGAATTGACAACACCGGATATGAAGAGATCATGGGACGACACGGACTGGGAGAAAGGAACGAAAATGGTGAGAGATTTGCAAATCTATGTGCCTTCAATAAACTGGTCATAGGCGGGACTATATTCCCACATAAACGCATACACAAAACCACATGGACTTCACCGGATCACAGCACACAGAACCAAATCGACCATATCTGCATCAACAAAAAGTTCAGGAGGACGATGGAGGACGTGAAAACAAAGAGAGGAGCTGATATAGCATCAGATCATCACTTGCTGATCGCCAAGATGAAATTGAAACTCAAGAGGCACTGGACAACGGGGAGGACAATATCACAAAAATTTAATACGGCTCTTCTTCGGGATAATGACAAACTCAATAAATTCAAGATAACCCTCAGCAATAAGTTCCAAGCCTTTCATGATCTACTCAATGGAGAAGGAACTACTATGGAGAGCAACTGGAAAGAGATAAAAGAGGCAATCACTTCAACATGTCATGACGTTCTGGGCCAAAAGAAGCACCATCACAAGGATTGGATCACGGTCGATACACTGGATAAGATTCAAGAAATGAGGAACAAGAAAGCAGCAATCAATACCAGTCGAAAAAGAGCAGAAAAAGCCAAGGCACAAGCTGAATACACATAAGTAAACAAGCAAGTGAAAAGGAGCATCAGAACTGACAAACGTAAATATGTGGAAGATTTGGCAATGACGGCGGAAAAGGCTGCCAGAGAAGGAAACATGAGACAACTGTATGAAACAACAAAGAAACTCTCTGGAAATCACCGTAAACCAGAACGACCAGTGAAAAACAAGGAAGGCAAGATAATCACCAACATTGAAGAACAACGAAACAGGTGGGTAGAACACTTCAAAGAACTCTTGAATCGACCAACCTCACTGAACCCACCCAACATCGAAGCAGCACTCACGGACCTCCCAATCGATGTTGGCGCACCAACAATTGAAGAAATCAGCATGGCTATCAGATAAATCAAGAGTGGCAAAGCAGCAGGACTAGACAGCATTCCAGCAGAGGCACTGAAAGCAGACGTAGCGGCAACTGCAAGGATACTCCAAACTCTCTTCAGAAAGATCTGGGATGAGGAACAGGTACCAAAAGACTGGAAAGAAGGACTTCTAGTCAAAATACCAAAGAAAGGCGATCTCAGCAACTGTGACAACTACAGTAGAATCACTCTTCTTTCAATACCAGGAAAAGTCTTCAACAGGGTATTGTTAAACAGGATGAAGGACTCCGCAGACGCCCAACTTCGAGACCAACAGGCAGGATTCCGTAAGGAAAGATCGTGCACAGACCAAATCGCAACTCTACGGATCATTGTGGAACAATCAATTGAATGGAATTCATCACTCTATATCAACTTCACCGACTACGAGAAAACATTTGATCGCGTGGACAGAACAACCCTATGGAAGCTTCTTCGACACTACGGTGTGCCTCAGAAGACAGTCAATATCATAGGGAATTCCTATGATGGATTAAACTGCAAAATCGTGCATGGAGGACAGTTGACAAAGTCGTTCGAAGTAAAGACCGGTGTCAGGCAAGGTTGCTTACTCTCACCCTTTCTCTTTCTCCTGGTGATTGACTGGATCATGAAGACATCAACATCTGAAGGGAAGCACGGGATACAATGGAAAGCTAGGATGCAATTGGATGATCTAGACTTTGCAGATGATCTGGCTCTTCTATCGCATACGCAACAACAAATGCAGGAGAAGACAACCAGTGTAGCTGCAGCCTCAGCAGCAATAGGTCTCAATATACACAAAGGGAAAAGCAAGATTCTTCGATACAACACAGTATATAACAATCCAATCACAATTGACGGAGAAGCTTTGGAAGGTGTAAAAACCTTTACATATTTGGGCAGTATCATCGATGAACACGGTGGATCTGATGCAGATGTGAAGGCACGGATTGGCAATGCAAGAGCAGCATATTTACAACTGAACAACATCTGCAACTTAAAACAACTGTCTGTCAACCAACACCAAAGTCAGAATTTTCAATACAAATGTCAAGACAGTTCTACTGTATGGAGCCGAAACCTGGAAAACTACGAAATCCATTATCCTGGAGATACAGGTGTTTATTAACAGTTGTCTACGCAAAATACTTCAGATCCGCTGGCCGGACACTATAAGCAACAACCTACTGTGGGAGAGAACAAATCAGATCCCAGTGGAGGAAGAAATCAAGAAGAAGCGCTGCGAGTGGATAGGACATACATTGAGGAAAGCACCGAACTGCGTCACAAGACAAGCCCTCATATGGAATCCTCAAGGTCGAAGGAGGAAAGGAAGACCAAAGAATACATTACGCCGAGAAATGGAGATAGATAGGATAGCCCTCAAATGCCCTGGTATGGCCGAGAGTGGGGTATGTTCGCCCTCCCTCTCGAAATTCTCTCACACGGCCACGCGTATAAAGCCTCTGCCAGGGAAGTCCTACTCACTGCCTTCACGCATCACGGGTGTTGTTTACGAAAATGAGAGGACGAAAAGCGAATGTCCGGCACTATAACCAGATCCCAAACCCATGGTGCACATGGGCTCCAGTATCCTGCGGGAACAAATGGCGTATGAATCAATTGTTGGTCACCGGCTACCATGGGACTGCATCTCCTCACGATGCTCCACTGCCTTGTGGATCAGATCTTCAGGTCAAAGGCTCGGGGTGTGGCCCCCTAAGAAAACCACCTGCTTCGGTTTGGGCACCCGGGCAGTATCACAGCCCTCACACATATCAATTGAGATTTGTTTGGCGCATATGTATTTGGTGCCTTCTTGTACCGATATCTATGTGTTAAAATAAAATAAAATAAGATAGATATGAGAAAAATGAACAAGAATTGGATGGAACTAGAAAAGAAGGCCCAGGACAGAGTGAGTTGGAGAGTGCTGGTCGGAGGCCTATGCTCCATTGAGAGTAACAGGCATAAGTAAGTAATTGTCGTATCTTGATTAAATTATCGTAATTTTGTTGAACATTGGTACAAGTGTTTAGGTGAGTCAAAATCAGTGAATTCAATACATACTTATCCATAATATTTGAATAAATCAAGCACAACACAATTTGTAGAATGGAATGAATCCATTAGACTTTCTCAAGGTTTCTACTCACCAGCTATAAACAACCTAAACTTACAAGTATTAATATCATTACAAACACAGTTCTCTATTACTTAGTTAGTGAAATTATACGGACAAAATTTCCTGCAAAATAAGCGATAATTTATAATTCAGTCGTACGGATAGGATAGAATTAACGTAACGAGTAAACAACAATGGATAGTTAAATAGAGATTATATGATAGATGGAATTATGTAACTATAATCGCGTTACCACGTAGGAAAGAGCAGTTAAGCAAACTTTCTTTTTGTTTGCATTAGGTCTACTTGAAAATGTTTGATAGTAATAAGTTTTGTAAAGCAAAATCAAAGTCGTGTTTTATTTCACTGCTAGCCATCATTCATCTCTGCTTATAAAATTCCAGTGATTTTATGATAATATCGAGGCAATCCACACAGGATGTACATATGCTAAAAGAGATTAATCAATTACAGTCGTAAACATCAATCGAAGAATCCAAACAGCCAATAGATATGTATCAATGTTTTTTTTATATTTATTGTTCTTATGGTAGGAGATTATCGAGTTCCATGGTCAAATTCAGTTAACAATAAACACTCCCTACTCAGAACACTTGGTTAGTAGACTAACTATGTAAGGGAAAGGCGATCCAACTGCTTCAGTAGAAGCTAAATAGTAATGTGCATTAACCCAGATAGAACATACAGGTGATTAACCTTTAAAAAAATGAATAATTAACTAACAAAACCTCTGCCGATAGTTGAATTCCTCACTCACGATGAATCTCATCTTGAGTTAATATATGACTTGTCTAGAATAGCCAAGCATATCAGAGATGTCATGCATAAATTAGTATTTTGGTCGTCACTTTTATTTGGAAGCATTTTGTTATCCATTAACGATCCACTATCAAGTTATTTTACATCCAGAGAATTTTATTTAGTCGAATGCTTTTACAGTAAAAAGAAAAACAATAGTTAAATTCAAAATCTTACTTACTTACTTACTTACGCCTGTTACTCCCAATGGAGCATAGGCCGCCGACCAGCATTCTCCAACCCACTCTGTCCTGGGCCTTCTTTTCTAGTTCCATCCCATTCTTGTTCATTTTTCTCATATCTATCTCCATTTCTCGGCGTAATGTATTCTTTGGTCTTCCTCTCCTCCTTCGACCTTGAGGATTCCATATGAGGGCTTGTCTTGTGACGCAGTTCGGTGCTTTCCTCAATGTATGTCCTATCCACTCGCAGCGCTTCTTCTTGATTTCTTCCTCCACTGGGATCTGATTTGTTCTCTCCCACAGTAGGTTGTTGCTTATAGTGTCCGGCCAGCGGATCTGAAGTATTTTGCGTAGACAACTGTTAATAAACACCTGTATCTCCAGGATAATGGATTTCGTAGTTTTCCAGGTTTCGGCTCCATACAGTAGAACTGTCTTGACATTTGTATTGAAAATTCTGACTTTGGTGTTGGTTGACAGACAGTTGTTTTAAGTTGCAGATGTTGTTCAGTTGTAAATATGCTGCTCTTGCATTGCCAATCCGTGCCTTCACATCTGCATCAGATCCACCGTGTTCATCGATGATACTGCCCAAATATGTAAAGGTTTTTACATCTTCCAAAGCTTCTCCGTCAATTGTGATTGGATATACGACGATCACATTGTGCCTATATACACCATTAGACGTTTGGTAGCATTATCACGAAGATTCGAACCTGAGTTTTGTATATTGAACAATCGCCAACGAATTGTTCCAATAACGTCTAGGAAGTTGGTACTTCCTAGAAATTTCGAATCTATCAACGACATCAATCTTTAGTTATTCAACAGTCGATTATCAATCTGAAAGAAGCGATTTAGTAGTGCAGATGACAAAAATAATTGTCTATCTTAGTAATTTAATTATTCAACTTTCTCTTAAACAAATTTCAAAGCTCACTATTTATTTGAGAATTCAGATAAGTGTATTTAATTCACGATAAGTAAAGTTTAAAGCTTAGTACACATAACTCTGTGATTCATTGCTGAGTTACATCGTTTATGCCCTCTATTAAAAAGGTAAAACACTAGTGTTCAATATATATTCATTCGTTTACCAGATAATGAATTTATACTATTTCTTCTGGGATAAATTTACTTTATCTTGTTTATAAATCAGCTTGTGCCAATTATAAGTGAATATACTATTGAAAACAATATCATTATATTATTCTAAGGTTCTAGAGATTTCTCATATTCTCTACTTTCCTGTCTTCTTTTATTTTTTTTCAAAATAGGAGGTTTTGATACTTGATGAAGCTGATCGTCTTCTAGAAATGGGATTTGAATCACAGTAATTATTTTATTTGAATCACAAGTTTATTGGTTAAATTTCATACATATTCAGTTGCTGGGTTACGTATTTTAGTATCAATGCTATGCCTACAATTGAGTGATCATTGATTACTGACCGGATGTCATGTTTGTCTATTTCTTTATATGAAATAACAACCTGAGCTTAATTAGATCACTACTGAAAGCTTGAAGCAATAAGGAACTGTTTCGTTCTAAATAGTGCCCATTCATAACCCTCAAACTGGGATTAAACAGTACTTCCAAGTTTTCAGTGGTGGTCTAGCTAAGTCATGTTCGTTATTTGGGCAGTGAAAGTTCTTCAATCTTTACAAATCCCCTTATATTAATAATTCTTCAGTGCCGATGAAGCTTCAATGTATCCGTTAATCTGATTTAATTGATATTAAATTTACTGTTTTGAGCTGTTGAAGGTTATTGCCTGAATATACCAAACCTAACTTATTTACTTGCCTACGCCTGTCAACCCTCGTGGAGGAGCATAGGTCACCCACCAGCATTCTCCATCCAACTCTGTCTTAGTCAATCCTTTCCAGTTGTTTCCAATTGTTACTCATCGTTGTGAGATCTGCTTCCAACTCCCGACGAAGTGTGTTCTTTGGTCTTCATCATCCATTCAACCGCCAGAAGGAAGAGAAAGAGGGAGTGTTAACAGCTTTGTCAGACACCGGTTCTCACTTGGAATGCATCTGTCCACTGCCCTCCATGAACCTCCTAAAATAAAACACGGAGAACCTTCGAAGGTGGTGGGAACTTTCACGTACGTGGACAGCATCATTGACGAACAAGGAGGATCTGATGCAAATGTAAAAGCAAGAATTGGCAAAGGAATGCCGGTATTCCCACAGTTAAACAACATATGGAACTCAAAACAACTTTCAAACAACATCAAAGTCACAATCTTCAGTGTGACTTGAATCTTGGAGAACGACTACAACCATCATCAAGAAGGTACAAGTGTTTATAAGCAATTTTTTACACAAGATACTCAATGTCGATTGGTCGGATACAATCAGCAACAGCCTACAATTGGACAGAGCAAAGCAGCTGCTATGTGTACTAATTGTTCAATAAATATCTATTACAGATATGCAAATAGATTCATTCTAATATGTCCTCTTCAATTTCAACATTTCTCCTCTTCCTGATGATCTGATTTATTATGAAACGACCTCAAAATGAATGTGACACTTCACTAATATCCTTGGCTCTCCAACCACGAATTCTAACGGATATAGAATCTTCGATATTAGTCAAGAGAACATTTTTACAGTATATGTATTAGATATATAGGGAGATGTAATTCACCTATCGAGTGGAGGTAATATGTACTCGGCTTTTAGCTATGCTATTTATGTAAACTTATAATGCTCTCCGGTTGTTTGAAACTCCGATATCGTCCAGTCAAAATGTTTTGTCAATATATCTTACTGGTGCAATTGTTATAAGTTTTGTCGAGCGATGAAGTTATGATAAACTGGTTAGGAATAATCGAATATCTTAGATAATCTCCCTTCAACTATAGACTAAAGATGTGTAAGTTCTATTGACTGTTAAAATTTACCATCCAAGTTTGATGGAATTCGTTTAAAATGAAAGCTTTTGCTTGGTTCTATGTAGTTTTGCTCCATTCTGTATTAATGTGGTTCCTAATATTTTGTTACATTGTATTACATTCCACAGAATCAACACCATCTTATCTTTCTTACCTAAACAACGAAGAACAGGACTGTTTTCTGCGACTCAAACAACTCGTGTTGAAGATCTTGTAAGAGCTGGTAAGTAAGTATGTTTTTATATAATACCGACCTATTTAACCTAAAGTACTTGGTTATTTCCTTATATTTATTTTAATAGTTGAGATCATGAGTCAATTGAAGTTAGATTACCATAGAAAACCTGGAAGCACTAGACGGCCGTTTCTTCCTATTGTAGGACTCCTTATGATCTCAACTATTAAAATTACTATAATATCCACAAAAAACCCTTCTGGAATTATATTTATTTGTTTAAACATAAACATTAGTATAAAGTGGCTTCAAAATATTTATTACCATTACATCACCTCCCCTACACAATAAGGTAGGATACTTTTCTTGAAGACATTTTGAGAACAGTAACTCCTTTCGATTTCCGCAGATATCCTACAGATTTCTTAAAGACAAGTATTGTATATGTCCAACAATTTCCTATCTCAAAAAGTGATGTTTGTTTGTGTAGGAGTGAGTTGGGAAAAAGGTAGAGGCTGTCAACTCAAAACATGATGTCATTACCAATTAGACTGGGTCATATTGGTAGGTGAAGACTACCTGGGTAGGGTCAGCGTGATAACCGTAGCCAATGGTTGGGGGATGTTCAGTGACTTGGTTAAGAATCAGTCATAATGATGTAGATGGATTCATTCTTTACTTTTACCTAGATACCGACTTCCAAAATCTTACGTTTTTTATTTATGTATTTATTCATTTCTTTTACTACCTATACCATCAGCACTTCTACTGCTCTGTGGTTTTGTCCTAATAATTTTATCTCGCTGTGTTACTATGATATGGTAATTTGAACCAACGCATCTATGTACCAGGTTCTACTTTGGGCATATTTGATGATTAACTTCCTTCATTGATAGTTGTATATATTTTGTTTTAATTTCTCGTTCTTATTGTAATCATAGGACTCCGTAATCCAGTTCGTGTGACCGTGAGTCAACAAACACAGAAAGAATTGGAATGTGTGAATAATCAGTCTCTGCAACAACGCATTCCATCTGCACTTCAAAATTTTTATACAGTAAGTAAATATGTATTCTATCCATAACAGGCAAGATGTTTGTTTGACATATTTGTTAAGTATGTCAAACTGTCTAACTAAATTACTGACGTGCGCATGAACTCTAAGTTTAAAACAAAGATTTATCCAAAGGACGGAATTGTTATCAGGAAATATATGTAACTTAGTTACTAACCTCAACTCGTAAGGTATCTATGACGATCAACACTCATGTATGTATGTCAGTTAAATACTTTCTTCAATAATAAAATTAAGATTAATTAAAACAAAATGGACCCAATAACATCCAGTAGCTCCGTGTTTAAATCCAATAATAACAATATTGATAATTGAATGGAGACTAGGAGTACAAAATCATGAAAGCTGTGGAGTCTAAACAAAGATTCAAGGAATTCAGAAAAAACTACGAATAACTGTTGCAAGACTTGACAGAATGTAACTACAATAATAAAGAAAGTAAATGTTGCTAGTTCAGATAAATACCTGGGAATATTACATAACAAATATTCGTCACTCCATATACTCAGATGTTATAGAAATAAACTGGCTACTGGATATTAATAAGTAATATAAGGTGATGCGCAAAAAAGTGTTGAGTAATGAGAGAATATAGACGGATAATACAAAAGAACGTAACACTATCAGGGGGAACTTTTTGTAACGTTATCACTATTTCACTGTTAATGGTAAGATGAAAAATTTACTGCCTCTGTCAGGGAAGTCCTACTCACTGCCTTCTCGCATCACGGGTGTTGTTTACGAAATCGAGAGGAAGAAAAGTAAATGTCCGGCTCTGTAACCGGATCCCAAACCAATGGTTCACATAGGCTCCAGTATCGTGAAGGAACAAATGGCGTATGAACCAATCGTTGGTCACCGGATACCATGGGACTGTATCTCCTCACGATGCTCCACTGCCTTGTGGACTAGACCTTTAGGTCAAAGGCTCGGGGTGTGACCCCCCAAGAAAACCACCTGCTTCGATCTGGACACCCGAGCAGTATCACAGCACACACACAAGTAAAATGAAAATTTGTGTGGCGCATATATATTTGGTGCCCTCTTGTACCAATATTTATGTGTTAAAATAATAATAATAATAATAATAATAATAGTATATATGAATTAAAATTCAGTCTATTGCACAAGCCATGAGCTTATTTGGACTCAGTAGCGAAGTTGAGAACGCAGTAGTGTTCTGTTCGATGCAAACGGTACTAAGTCTGAGTTTTGAGGTGAACATCAACTTCAGGATATAGTTACATTCGTCTAACGAAACTCTCGTCCTGGATCCCATTTCTATTCACCATTCTTTTCTGCCTAAAATGTGAAAGATATTTGTCTACTTAACGAAAGTAGAGGACAGATGGAAACTTAAAAAAGAGCTTATGAAATAAGAAAGGTCGTTAGAACCATGGTGAAGTAAGGAATTGGATGTACCGCTACTGAGTAGAAAGATGAAGTTGGAATTGATGAATTACTGAAATCTTTGCTGTTCATAAATTTCTTATCCAGCTGCTCTTTTTTAAATCACTGTCTAGGATGACCAGTTGTTCAGTAATATAACTGCTGACTAATTTGCACTTACTGTTTAGTGTAGCCATACTGGATAGTATTCCAATATATGCTTGAAAAGATCGCACTCTGTCCCGCCAATGTAGCATTTTGCGCGAGAGTATTTCAACTGACTGTAGATAAATATTAAAGTGACTGGAATTGGCCATTTTTATCCTTTACATATCCTTTTATCAGATATCTGCTGAGGGGATTACAATTTATAACTTATTATTTATCGGCTATCATATTTATTGACTCTTATGATTGCGAGCCATATCGATGCGTACAGACTACCTGGCTGGGGTCAGTGCGATTAACGTAAAGAATGTGGTTTGAAACATTGGCTATCATGGCTCAGAATTGGTCACAATGGCACTGATTCGTCTATTTGCTGTCTTTCATTAGACCCTGAGTTTTTCAAAATTACTCTTCGTACCTTTTATACTTTCTTCTCAAATCATATTATCTATGCCTAATGTTTTCTTTGACATCTTAATGCGCTTATATGGTAGAACACATTGAACTAATGCAAATATGTTCCAGTTTTTACATTGCATATCACTTGCTGAACAAATAACTTTACCCATGCAAATCATTTACTTGTCCGTGATGATTTTTTAAAGTGATGGTTAGATGTAGTCAACAAGAAACCACAGACCTACGTTTCGTGCTGCTTGGCATTCGTCAGTAAGCTCTACCTGTAATTTTAGGGGAACTAATGCTTCCTGGTGAATTCAGTCGCTCGTCGCCCAGCATGATCGATAGGATTCGATCTGTAATAAGAGGAATTTGACGTACATGACAAATCACTACCCGGTGATCAATCAGTTGTAAACATATTTTATTTATTCATTTGAACACATAAATATTGATACGGGAGGCACTAAATATCTGTGCGCTACACAAATCGTTCGATGTTCTTGAGGGATGGGGCACTTCCTCGGTGCTCAAACCGAACCTGGTGGTTTTCTTTGGGGGCCACCCCCCAAGCCTTTGACCCAGAGTTTTAATCCACAAGACAATGGAGCAACGTTATGAGATGCTGTCTCATGGTAGCTGATGATCAGCAATAAGTTCATATGCCGTTTATCTCCTCAGGATCCTGGAGCCCATGTCGACCATTGGTTTGGAATCAGGGTTTCCCAACCCCCCTAGTTGGATCCTCCATATTCATCAACCCGGTTACAGCGCCGGACATTCGCTTTTCGTCCTTTTGATTTCGTAGAAACACCCTCATGGTTTGAAAAGACAGTGAGTAGGACTTCCTGAGAACAGCTCTATACATGTGACCATGTAAGTGTGTTTGGAGAGGGAAAGCTACATCTCCCCATCTTGTACCGTATCAAGACATTTGGGAGCAATTATAAATGTAATGATTTTCTTTCTGAAGTACTTATACACGTTTTATTTATTTTTCTTTGGTTTACAGATTGTTGAACCAGATGAGAAAATTTCACTTATTGTACGCTTTATTTTAATGCATAGAAAAGAGAAAATTTTAATATTTTTCGCTACATGTGCATGTGTAGATTATTTCTATTGTATACTAAAAGGTCTACTATCATTGAAACAATCAAAACGTATACAAAGATTACATGGAAAATTGAATAAAAAACGATTTGATCTTTTCACAAAGTTTAAAAATACATCCAAGTAAGTATTGATTAATGAGTTCTAGCGTAAGTTTCACTTTTGTTTTGATCAGTCTACATGATAAAATATCTAGTTGATTGTAATCTATTTCAAATCTACAGATACACACACAGTAGTATCAACAAGTATTGATCTGTTAGTGAATTTCTTAGATTTTCTTCAATGGTTTCTAATTATAATTTTTCTACAATTGATCCTGTCCCTTCTTGTATGTTAATTTTTATTTATCAGTATAGGGTTGTGGAGATTATTAAGTTTTTAATTGAAATCGTGGATGCGCACTGCTGAGGAGTCCCACAATAGTGCTTCCAGGTTTTCAATGGTGGTCCAACATCAATCGGTTGATGATCTCAATAAAATTGTTTTTATTTAGTTTGATTTTTTCAGTTTGTGATCATTTTAGTTAAGTATCTAGTATCTATTTATAGTACCTGGAGATTCTAGGATTTTGAAATCACGAACCGATCTGATCCAGACCACCATTTAAGACCTGGAAACAGAGGATGAACTTTTCATCCTACTATAGGACTCCTTAGCAATGTGCTCCCACGATCCCCACACTCTGGACTTGAGCCCAGGATAGCCGTCCAGTGCTTCCAGATTCTCAATGGTGGTCTAACATTGATCGCTTTATGACTTCAATGACATTTTGAAATGGTCATATTTCAACTTTCAAATATTTTTATGCTGTATATTACAGAGAAGTAAAAGAATACTATAATCATTAGTTATATCAACTGGATCTCTTTCTTGTTGGTGGATGCATACTACTTTGTTGGAGTCCGCTTGACTATCATAACCAATGGTTGTAGACTCTGAGTGACATGGCACAGAATCAATCACAATGATTTATGTGTATACTCTCTCTGTCTTCCCTTAAACTATGAGACTAAAATTGATTTATATCTTTCTTTCTACAAACTAATCCTTTCTTCCTGTACTATATCTTTATACACAGTCTTTCTTTTATGTATTACCACCATTAAGTTAACTGTTTCTATGAATTTGGTGGATAACTGCTTTATTCGACACTGCTTAGCTCCACTGGTTACAGATGCGCACTGCTGAGAAGTCCCATACTAGAAAGGAACGGCCATCCAGTGTTTCCAAGATTTTAATGATGGTCTAACATTGATCGGTTCATAATTTCAATGGACAGTATATGTTAGTGTAGAGTCATGACGAAAAACTAATTGGAAAATGTTTTTACGCTCTATTCCTTCATTTAGTTTCCCTCTTTCAATAATAATATTAACCGATTTCATTATTCTTACAATTATTAATATTATCGGTTGACATGTTTTACGCGTATGCAAAGGGGGAATGTGTGATAGCTGTTCATCGATCCTGGGGTGGGTGTATATAGTAAATTTCTAACTGTAATTGTTTCAGTGTTATTCCAAATTGACAACTATAAGCAGAGATGAATGATGTTTGAGAGTGCGATTCAGAACGCGCGTTTGTTCCTATTTGTGAGTCGTCAGCTAGATGAGAAGAATTAAACAACTCATCCGAATGAATTAAATGAATGACTTTATAATTCAACCAGACATTTGTTGTTTTTCTCTCTTTATTTTAGCGGAATATTATTGTGCACTGATGTAATGGCTCGAGGTATAGATGTACCACACATTGATTGGGTTATTCAGTGTGATCCACCAACAAGTGCAAAGTAGGCTTACAATAGAATTTTTAATGTAGTCATTTTTCTTAAATGTTAAATCTCCATATTTATTACAAAGATATGAGTAGTTTTTCCCTTAATATGATAGGCAAGGGTTCTACTGAATAGTCAAATAAAGGAGTGAGCGACCTACAAACTCATTTCCTCCAATCACATATGACATTTAGTCATGTCTTTTCTGTGTTAATGTAGTTTTGGCATGAATATATCATTTTTACTTATCCGTGATCCTGAATTATTCAGTAAGTTCATTTAAAAGTTCCATTCTGTGATTAGCTATTACTCGACTATAAGTCGTATGATTCCATATGGTCTATGGATTGATTAACATACTTCTTTTCTATTTTAACCAATGAATATTTTTTTTCCCGAATCATAAGATTCTCCCTCATAATTATCCGTATCAATACATTATCGATCTTTTCCAAATATAGTTCAATACCCGGTTAGCCTCAATACGTTAACATTAAGTAAAAGACAATGTAAGGTATCATGGTTCCTGATTTGATATGTTTAAGATTGTTAGTGTTAAGATGTGCACTGGTACACAAACTTTCTATATGCGAACCCCTAACCGGCTGCTAAATAAGACTAATGGTGGAAACGAAAGTTTGTTTGGCTAAACTGTGAGCATATATATATATATATATATATATATATATATATATATATATATATAGGGTGTGGCCCCTAAGAAAACCACCTGCTTCGGTTTGGACACCCGGGCAGTATCACAGCCCTCACACATATCAAATGAGATCTGTGTGGCGCATATGTATTTGGTGCCTTCTTGTACCGATATCTATGTGTTAAAATAATATATATATATATATATATATATATATATATATATAATCCAAACGCTATTCGTTCCTTGAGGATCCTGTAGCCTATGTTCACTTTTATTTTGGAATCAGGGTTTAACTCTTTCTTAATGTTTTTTTTATATATTTATCAACCCCAATCTAACCTGCAGACTTTCACATTTCACTGTCCCATTCTCGTAAACAGTACTCCCACCCATTGAGAAGGTTTTGATCTTTCACCTTACAAGTCTCATTACCCTAGATTTACAGTATTAATATTATTATCGTTTAACAATCAAAATTGTGGAAATTCTTTACCATTTTGTCAAATTATTTTCATGCAAACTTTAACCTGATTATTTTCTAATTTAATATACTTTAAATTTCAGTGAATTTGTTCATCGTTGTGGTCGAACCGCTAGATGTGGACTTGAAGGCAATGCTTTATTGTTTGTTACTTCTCAAGAAGCTGCATATATCAATTTCCTTCATATAAACCAACAAGTATATATTAAATATATTTTATGCATTTTTTTTGGTACTATTATGATTGAAGACATAATGTGGTGCGGCGGTGACTTTATGGTTAGGACGTTCAACTTTAAACCACTAGGTGGTGGTGGTGGTCTCCTGTTTGACATCCTGCCTCAACTACCTTAGTTCAGACAACTGGTTGTCTTCATTACACCTCATAATGGGGTATCTCATATCTAAATACATAATGAATGAGTTATCTATTACTATTATTGGAAACATTATAATAAAAATATACTGTACTAACGAACTTTAACAACTTATCATCAGTCAATCAGAATATATTGTTTAACTATAATACAATTTCTTATCGAAGACAAGGAAATTACAGTAAATATACAGTTTATAAATGATAATTAATGCATCTCTTCAGGAGTTGAATTATTTATCCTGGTAAATGAATTATAGATTAGGATTAGACGTTGAGGTTAGTGTTAGAGAATACATCTTAGCCATGTTGGTGAAAACTTTAAAAAGGCTGGTTCTTTGAGTTCGAATCGATTGAACTTTCAAGTTACCATGGAAAATTTATAAATCATATAAAAATGTTATTTATATACTGAGAGATGCTTCAGAAATCATGCAAACATTATTAATTATATACTAGATCATTCGATCAAGTATACATTTGATTATCTTTTGACTTATGTGTTCTAAAAAATTCATCTACTGTGGTTTGTACAGTAAATCACAATATCTGATTTTCTCAATTGGTTTTGGTTCATAGCCTATGACAAAATTATGGAATAGTGATTCAGTGTTTAAGATTTTCGACTTTTGACCTAATGCTTGGTTGTGTGTTTAAATCCCACTTCACTTTCATACAACCACTACCAAGGAAGTCCTACTAACCACCTTCTCGCGCCATTACTGTTGTTTACGAAATTGAGAGGACGAAAAGCAAATGTCTGGTGCTTTAACCGGGTTGGTGGATATGGAGGATCCATGTAGGGGAGTTGGAAATCTCTGATTCTAAATCAATGGTGCACATAGGCTCTAGGATCCTAAGAAAACAAATGGCGTATGAACCTATTGTTCGTCACTGGCTACCATTAAACTGCATCTCCTGACGTTACTCCACTGCCTTGTAGATCAGACCTTTAGATCGAAGGTTCCGGATATGGCCTCCTAAGGAAGCCACCTACCTAGGTTTCAACACGCTGGAAGTATCCCAGCCCTCATATAAATCGAATGATTTATGTGGCGCATTTGGTGCGCTTTTGTACCAATGTTTATGTGATTAAATAAAATAATAAATGAATAAAAGTCACTTTTCACGGATATTTGCGTTCTCCAGTCTTAGTTATTGATTGATATCATAAAACTGTATATGAGATTCTTTCATAAAGATAAATTATTTCCGTTACAGCTTATAGGTTTTTTTGTCGAAACAATTATATAATTTCGAATAAAATGTACTCCCTACTAAGATTTGTCTGCTATGCGCGTACTATTTCTTCTACAACTTAGTAGTGTCTCAGACTTGACTAGTTATTCACCTGGCCAACACTATTGACCTCGATTTGACGCAAGATAAATTCTTAACGATCCGCTATTCATAAGCTTTTCTCTATCCCTTGTCTTGAGTCGAAAAAATCAGTAACCAGTTTCTAATATTATTATAATCATATTTCAAACATGGATTTATATACAAACATACTAAATCACATTGCACGGTTGATATATGAACAAGCCACACATGTCTGTGAATAGGGAAAACTATGAATAATCGATTGACAATGTAATAGGAATTATATACAGTACAATAGTAGTAAATATGTTTAATGGAAGCTCAAGATAAACACAATGTATAAATATAGTAGTTCAGTTACTTATTAATTATATAATATAAATAATTCGTGAATTGGTTGAGGTTAGGCATTAAAACCGTTGGATACCGACCGGCTCAGTGGTCTAGAGATTAAGCATTTGCGCACGAGACTGAAGACCCTGGGTTCGAATCCAGTGAACGAGATCGTGGATGCGCACTTCTGAGGAGTACCGCAATAAGACGAAATAGCCGTCCAGTGCTTCCAGATTTTCAATAGTGGTCTAACATCAATCGGTTGATGATCTCAATCAAAAAATATAAATTATAGTTCGAAACCCAGTTCCAACTTTTACATTATTCATCCTATCATATTTTATAAAGATATTTTTACATAGATATATATTTATCTTCGATAAAAATTTATCAGGTAAATTTATTACATATGGAACGCGATGAACTTAATCAACATATAACTCCATTGACTACAGTCGATACGATAGATTCTATTACTGAACGAATTCGAAATCTTTGTAAAAAAGACAAGTAAGTACACTCATATTTTCAGGTATTTTCAGTTGTGACCTTAATAGATCAGTAATGTGGATTTATAAAAAATTCTCGAAAGTGTTTTTTTCATAAAGTTTTTGGCAAGGTGTACCTATTATCTTGAAGAAACTAATACCGTCGATGGGATCTGAAGCTGCGCTGTGAATGTGGGAGACTGTAATTATTAGATTGGGAGTAAGTTTTGTCGCAGAATAAGGAGCTTTATTTAGTGCAACTGTATTCAATATACTGCTCAATTTGTTTTCTGTTTCTTCGTGGGTGGGTAGTGCAACAATTTCATGAGCATTTAGCAAGACATTGTCTTTCTGTGAGCTGGAAAAGTTATTGTTTGTAATGGGATTTGAATCCACTACAGGGCATGTTTTTAAAATGGACACTACTGGACCACTGGGCGGATCATGTATGACTATTACTGTTTCGTTTAAGTTACTGCTCATCAAGGATTCATGGAGGCTTTCGCTGACACATTTATTCTGCAATCATTTTACAGCTCTGTACGCAATTTAGAAATTAATTCACTCACCGTTTTAACGGCGATTTTTTTATTTTCCAGAAATAATCTTACGAGTCTTAGAGTATCTGACTTATTTTGATGGAGTTTTGTTCTCTGAGCTGGATGGTTTGGTCGTGGAGCTTTCATCGTTCTTCTGAACGACATCATCAGCACAAACTTCAGATAGAAGTGAAGTGTTCGAATTTCTCCATATGTGTTTCACAGCTTGTTCTGTGCACCTCGATGTTGATTGGTTCTTATTGACCTTAAATTTGTCATTGTTTACTTTTTTGTTTTTATTTTGTCCCCTATTGGTTTGATTCTTGTTCCTATATTCGTGCATAAGTTTCCTGATTGGTTGATAAATCGGATCAATTTCAATATGTTTGTTGATTGCTGATTGACCTGAGTGCCAAGCTTCTAAGAATTCTCTTGTGTTTTTAGAGTTTCCTCTGTCCAAGATTTCCACATTTTTCCAATCGAATGTGTGTCCACAGTTGTCCACGTGTATTGATATAAGTGAGGAGATATCATGCCGTTTGACTGCTAATTGATGTTCATGTAGGCGCAGGTGAAGGGGGCGTCCGCTTTGTCCGATGTAGTGTTTGTCGCAGTTGACACAATTTATTTTGTAGATGATGTTTGATTTATCTTCTTTTGTTATTTTATCCTTTGGTTTGCATAGAATTGACTGTAGTGATTTTGTCGGTTTGTGTGCCACACCCATTCCGAAGGTTTTTAGCAGTCTTGTTGCGGTCTCTGATATGCCATTTATGTATGGTAGTGTGATCCGTTTGTCAATTTCTGTGCTTGATTTGTGTTCTGATGCTGCATGTGGTTGGTATTTTTTGATGAAGTTGATTGGGTAGCCATTCTTTTGAAATACGTCCTTCAGGTATTTCTCTTCCTTTCTTCGTGCTGCCAGTGTGCTGCAGTGTGTCCTCGCCCTCTTGAACAAAGTTTGTACGCAGTTGATTTTATGTGCTCTTGGGTTGTTGCTATTGTAATTAAGAATTTGATCTGTGTGGGTCGGTTTCCTATATACTTGAGTTTCTAGTTTTCCTGTATTAGTTCTAGTGATTAATATATCCAAGAATGGTAGTTTGTTGTTTGTCTCCTGTTCCATTGTGAACTTGATGTCATCGAAGACGTCCTTAATTAAGGACATTCAAATCAACCACGACGAACTGATGATATCCTTTGATGTAACAACATTATTCACCTCAATTGAACCAAAGTTAGCGAAAGAAACTATTTCCCTTCTCCTCGCCAACGACACGAATCTCACAAAGTACACAAAGCTTCAAAGTAAAAGTCTACTAGAACTCATCGATTTATGCCTAACGACGTATTTTCAATTCAACAACAAAATCTACGAACAAACGAAAGGGACACCAATGGGGTCACCAATATCAGGAGTGATCGCAGAAGCCGTGATGCAAAGACTAGAAGCCGCAATACTACCTGTGATCAAACCAAAAATCTGGATTCGCTATGTAGACGACACATTCGTCATCGTCAAAAAGAATGAGCTAGAAAACACTTACAAACTGATCAACAACGTCTTCGATGACATCAAGTTCACAATGGAACAGGAGACAAACAACAAACTACCATTCTTGGATATATTAATCACTAGAACTAATACAGGAAAACTAGAAACTCAGGTATATAGGAAACCGATACACACAGATCAAATTCTTAATTACAATAGCAACAACCCAAGAGCACATAAAATCAACTGCGTACAAACTTTGTTCAAGAGGGCGAGGACACACTGCAGCACACTGGCAGCACGAAGAAAGGAAGAGAAATACCTGAAGGACGTATTTCAAAAGAATGGCTACCCAATCAACTTCATCAAAAAATACCAACCACATGCAGCATCAGAACACAAATCAAGCACAGAAATTGACAAACGGATCACACTACCATACATAAATGGCATATCAGAGACCGCAACAAGACTGCTAAAAACCTTCGGAATGGGTGTGGCACACAAACCGACAAAATCACTACAGTCAATTCTATGCAAACCAAAGGATAAAATAACAAAAGAAGATAAATCAAACATCATCTACAAAATAAATTGTGTCAACTGCGACAAACACTACATCGGACAAAGCGGACGCCCCCTTCACCTGCGCCTACATGAACATCAATTAGCAGTCAAACGGCATGATATCTCCTCACTTATATCAATACACGTGGACAACTGTGGACACACATTCGATTGGAAAAATGTGGAAATCTTGGACAGAGGAAACTCTAAAAACACAAGAGAATTCTTAGAAGCTTGGCACTCAGGTCAATCAGCAATCAACAAACATATTGAAATTGATCCGATTTATCAACCAATCAGGAAACTTATGCACGAATATAGGAACAAGAATCAAACCAATAGGGGACAAAATAAAAACAAAAAAGTAAACAATGACAAATTTAAGGTCAATAAGAACCAATCAACATCGAGGTGCACAGAACAAGCTGTGAAACACATATGGAGAAATTCGAACACTTCACTTCTATCTGAAGTTTGTGCTGATGATGTCGTTCAGAAGAACGATGAAAGCTCCACGACCAAACCATCCAGCTCAGAGAACAAAACTCCATCAAAATCATCCACCTCAGCTACAAATCTTCTCCACCATCTCAGTATCTGACTTAACTAGAGTCGTATCTGAACCTCTGTCTAAAAAGACACATCCACAAACCTCTTGATTCCTTGGGCTTTAAAGCGTATAGCAATTAGACCCAGAAACATACACTCTATTAGCGGTTCTGTCTACACCTAATGGCTTTCTTTTAACTGCCTACTCAGCAATCAGTGATACCGATCTTTTCATGCTGCAACATTACACATGGAATGACCTTTCCAATCTAATCTGTAGCCTTTTCTAAGACAAAAAACAAAAACCTTTCTCCCTTGCCGTTGACTGCTAACCACGAGAATCAGGAACATTTCTCAGTTACTTGATTTTCTCCATATACTACACATATTGGCCTGACATCAATTTTATCAAATGGCAACTGCTGTGTGTAACAAGCTGCTTTGTTCAAAGGTTGTCTGATGCTTGTCGCAATTTTCTTAAATCTACCGAGTAACATTCTTGCACAAAAATATATATGAATAATGTCAACTTGGCAAATGTTTGTGTTTTATACGATTTTCCTACTCTGTCCCTATTTATTATGATTTACAAGTCAAGAGTTCCTTCAATAGTTTTACTTCGTATATATTGATATTTTCTTTTATTTAAAAGATTATTACATGAGAAAGCAATACGTGCATTTGTATCGTATGTTCAATTTTATCGAAAACACGAATGTAATTTACTACTGAATTATAAAAGTAAGTAATTGATGTATTCTTATTTTAAGTATAATCAATAATAACATTCTTTCAGAACAAAAATGATCCTAAATTGATCAGACTCTCCATTTTTAGTCACTTTTTTCCTGTTTTCGTTATCTTGACTATTTCCATACTGCATATATAGGGTTAATGCTCTCTTAGATGATACTCATTTGGAACGGGTGGCTCAGTGGTTAGAAGGTTCGATGTCCGATCTGTTAGTCTTGAAGTTCCAATCGCTTTTTGCCTAATCCGGTTTAGACAGTCTGGTAGTATTATAGGCCTACATACTTAAATTGTAGTTGAGATTGAATTACACAAATATATGTATGATAAATAAGTTGATATATAACCTATTCCTTAAAACAATTGTATCGTGGCAATAATTAGACTAATTGTTTTTATCAAAGTCGGTTGTTTCAGTCAGTCAGTCAGTTGCAACGTAGGACCAGGCACGTATATGCATCGGTCCAAGTTGCCATACCGCATTAGCGCAACAAGATGAATACCGGATTCATAGAAGTAGTTAATTCAGTGGTGGTAATATATAGAAGAATGATTGTGTATAAGGAGATAGTACAGGAAGAAAGAATTAGTTCCTAGAAAGAAAGATTTGAAGTGATTTTAATCTCTTAGTTTAAAGGAAGACAGAGAGTGTATACACCTACGCTGTTGTGAACGATTCTGAGCCATGTCACCCACAGTCTCCAACCATTGGATACGATAGTCACGCGGACCCCAACCAGGTAGTCTGCATCTACCAACATGGCTCAGACTGGGAATTAGTGACTTCAAACATTGATGCCACGTTTTGGTTTGGCCGCCCCTAACTTTCTTCCAACTATCCCTAACACCTGTTAGCATTGCGCGTCGTGGTAATCGGTGTTCAGGCATACGCAACACGTGTTTCAGTCTAGAAATGAACTGTCTTCATTAAAAAACACAAGAAATCATAACTATTTATCCAACAAATAAGAGTTTTGTCCGTTCAGTTTGCTTGTAATTAAATTTCGTGTTCAGAGGTAAATGGTTGCATGTGAATCTGAAGTATGGGGAACCACTTTTACTTCTAATACTTATGGACTAACGATTACTTTTTGAAGTGTTTTGTCAATTTCCGTTGCATTCAAGCGTTTATATTTGTTATGGTTTCGATAAGTTACAATATTCTTTAAGGACACTTCGAACTTCAGGGTAATGACAGTTTCCTTTCTTATCTTGGCATTGGCTACTGCAAAATGCAAATATTGCAAGACACACATTAAGAATTAAGAAGCACGAAACTATTTCGTCCTAATATAAGACTCTAGTACTCAGGCCGAGCTCTGAACCTTCATTTTCTACATGAACTCTTAAATGTTAGACCACTAAGCTGGAATCCAATGATGTACATGTCTACTTTCAAATAATGCACGATTTTGTGTGACCATCTGTTATCATTTCCTCTGAGTAACTTCCATACCCGACACGGTTGAACTTCACTAGTCATAGCTATTCATTAAAATTCCAGGATTTCCTCTTGAAAATAGTCATTGGTGAAAATATGATAATTATCGGCTTATAGTGGTTTATGTAGATTATTAAATGTTCTTGAGATCATATTTTTTTATCCAATCGTCACATTTACTTGTCCATATGGTTTTAATTGATGTTTTTTCGCTTAATTAGAATTGGATTATGGTCGATTAGCCAACGGTTTTGGACTTTTAAAACTCCCATCTATGCCAGAATTACGAACTGGTAATGTTAGTTCATTTAATCCATCAAATGTAGACATATCAAAATTAACTTATCGGTATGTTATGCTCACGATAGTTTTCTATTTCTGTATTTTTTTGTTATGTTAATCAGTCGACCGAGTCTAACTAATATATATGCTTCGTATATATATGCGAACCCAACCAGTTACTTGAGTGATAAAACCAAGATTCAGTAGGACTCTTTTATCGGTTATTTTTTATTTATTTATTTGAATACATAAACATTGGTAAAATAGGGGCACCAGATACATATGCACCACACCGTGAAATAATTATCATCTCATCAGATTTGTGTGAGGGATGTGATACTGCCCGGGTTCCCAGACCGAAGCAAGTGGTTTTCTTAGGGGGCCACACACAGAACCTTTGACCTAAATGTCCGATCCACAAGTCAGTGGAACAACGTCAGAAGATGCGTCTCATGGTAATCGGTGACCAATAATTAGTTCAAACGCCATTTTTTCCTTCAGGATACTTGAGCCTATGTACACCGTTGGTTTGCAATGAGGGTTTTCCAACTCTCCTAAGTGAACCAACTGTGTCCACCAAACTGGTTAAAGCGCCGGACATCCGCTTTTCGTCCTCTCAATTTCGTTAACAACACCCTCGCCACGAGTAGACAGTGTTAGGACTTCCCTGGCAGTAGTTGTATGCACGTGGTCATGTGAGAGCATTTTGAGAGGGAGAGCAGACTCTCCCCACTCTCGGCCTTACCAGGGCATTTATTGGTTATCCCGAATTAAGATATGGTACACGAATTCATTCATTAGTTTAGACATTAGGTCAGATTTTCAACCAATAACGTATATACATGTACCTCGAATAACAGAGCAAAAATCTTGACCAATAGCATACTCCTGTCATCATCTCTTTACTGTCCTTCGGCCTTGAACTGATATCTTCGACTGACCCAGTCTATAACCTCTCCTTCCTAAAAAAATAGGTCTCACACTTTGAACTCAATTGCAGGAATTCCGATGTGGGATACAACATATTTGACCAACTATTTCTAAATATTCATAATCACACCACATTTCTCTTAAGTGAAATTCTTACACTGAATGAAAATGATCATTTCAGTGCCTTTTGAATGTACACCATACTATGACCGAAGCGCACGTGTTTGTATCTTGAAAACTCATATTCTGCTTTTTGTAAGCAATGATGGTTAGTTGCTAGCAGTGGAATCCAGGACGCGCGTTTCGTCCTATTTGTGACTCATCAGCTGGATGTACCTGCAACTCAGTTGGTGTTCACTCTGGGACTCGAACCCAGTACCGTTCGCTCCAAACACCATCGCGTTATCCACTCAGCTACTGAGACCTCTTAGCCACTTGCTTGTGAAATGGGGTGAATTTAAATTCACTTGGTATTGTTTGGCTTGTATCTTCCCGTTGAGGTTTAAGACTGAAATTGATCAGTCTGTTATGGTCATATGTGCATACTGTGCGCATGCCTCGATACTGCCTTAATTCACAAGCTTTTTGTAAGCAATGATGGATAGTGGCTTGTTGGTTTTGTCATATGATTTTAGTCAGCGACCATTAGTTAGAACAATAACAAGCAACATAAATGTATTCATTCTTGTGTATCATAGAATATGGATCATTTATCGCACAGAAATACGACTGACTAAAATCTAACTGTTCTAAGTACATAATACTCAGAGAAAACTATAAAATGTCTTGAAGGGAAAGTGTGTCAGCAAATAAACATATCATCACATTATGTACTACTTCGATTTCTTGTATTAGATAATTAACAGTTTAGTATGTTTGATAATCGTAATTTTAATGAAGTTTCATTCTTCAAGTTGAATGAGGTAGTTTAATCATGAAGCTTTCATCATCCTTCTGGACTATATCTAGAATCATGTCAAAGGAAGAAAGACAATAAAACTAAATATGTAGAAAACGACAGGATCTTAACGTCGACCAGATAATATATCAGTTAAATACAGAGAAATCTGACTAACTTATCTCATCTTAAAGTTTGCACTAACTATAATGTCCCGAAGGAAGATGATATGCTTCACAATGAAACTATTCTTTCTCAGAGAACAAAACTCCGTTGAAATCATCCACTTAAACGATAATGTTTCTTTATCATCTCAATAATTATTACAGTATTATTTTTATTCTTTGTCACCAATATATTTATTTTTGCAACTAAGAATAAGAGACAGTGTTAGCAAGACATAGATTGGATTAAAGCATACTCCATGCACAATTGCATTAATGCACGTTGATTGGCTAATTCTCAATCTTACCTACTAATTCTTACTTCCATCTACCCTTAGTATTTGGAATGTAATTTCTTTCCTGTTCAACTGTGTTCTGATTTTGGGACTTGTCAAGTGAATTGGTGTCCAAGACTACTAAGCAATAAGAATAGCTGGGTTGTGATAGGAGAGAATTATGACAGTGTGTTAATCCACTGGGATTTCCCCGTGTTGGTTCGAATCCCATCCCCGTCGCCACTGAGAATGCTAACTTGAAAAAGATTATTGTTACATAAGAATTTATGTTTGTTGAAGGTTAAACTTTCAATAATATGCTAAGGTGGACTATTTTTTATATTTTTGTAATAAATCTAGATATCCAGTTTAGGATATTTTTATAATCATTTATTTAATTGATATATTTCGGAATTATCGCTGCCCAATTACTCATGATACATTGAACCTGTCAAAAGTCAACCAACTGGTAAGTGCATGCTATTGGACAACCAGGGCGCTTTCAATTCTAAGGGATATATATGTATATATGATTCAGATTAGCCAAATTAATTTCATTTCTCACTCTACCTTTCTCCTCGAGTAGCTGGACCCATTCTTAATAACTGGGCGTACCAGTACCAACTCACGGACACCACAAGTCATAACTATTCACTTATTGCCCCTTTTTATATCACTTGTAAGCTAGTTGTGTGCATATAAATTAACATTTCTTATTTGTGATGCTGTATGATCATGTAAATACTGTATATAATTGTAGGTCAAATAGAGTAAAAGAAATAATAGTGCATTTACAATTCGACCAAATGTTTAATGGAAGACTACAGTGTGTAAAAAAATTATTAGTAAGACATAATAAGGATATATGAATGCGAAGTGAGTGAATCATGTATTGAAGAGATTAATAATGATGTTTAACCAATAATAATAACAATAACAATAATAGGATAAGGCTGAAGAAGCCTAAACAAGTTTGCTGGACGAAACGTTGGAATTATTTTAAATTTCAATCGCTGACGCATACATGTGCCTGATGCTACGTTTCAACTGAATGACTAACTTTGTCTTTACATCTTCCAAGAAATATACATCGTCTATTTTTTGAATACACGTTTCCTATTAATATAACCTTATTTCAACTAATTAATGAAAAAAAAATTAGCAAAAATTTCTATTTCTTTATTGTTTATTTCAGGGATAAAAGTGTAGCTAAACAGCGTGAATTAATGCAATCATCTGATGAAACACCTAAAGAAAATAAACCTAAATGGGTTAGTAATATTCGATGATGTGTTTGTTTCTCTTAACAGTTATATAAAATCTATTATTTTTATTTATATACTATTTGTGATAACTTATGGACTCTCACTAATAGCACGTGACAGAACCACTAACCAGAATATCGATTTATGTGACTTTATCCATGAGCCAACCAACACTAATAGCCTTTAGTAACTTCTAAGTAGATATTCGGTCATCAACCCTTCATAGCTTCTCTCTTTGTCCTCCCTATTGAGTCTAGAACTTAGTATTCAATCACCATTATATGAATAATATATTTCAAACATATGTTGTTTAGATACAAACAAACCAGATCGCATCACAACCATAAAGTGAAAAACATCAGTTATACAAGATCAATGAGTTCAAATTGACTGTTAGTATAGGAGATTGTAATTACATCATTGGAAATAACTTAAGAATAGTAAATCCTATAACAGTGGTTAATGGATCAAATGAATGTAGCTTATGATAAATGCAGTTATAAAATATGATAATCTGGTTACTGAGTAATTGTGCAAGAAGAATATATATCATAATGGTCCATACATTATTCCCGAAAGTTACCACTCCTTTAAATTTTGTTGGATATATCACTCTTCTAATGTTTTAAAGCCTAAACTTTTGAGCTGTAAGATTTTCTGTTTTTACATTTGTTTTAATTAACTAATTATGTCTGTTGGCCGTGTGTGTGATTGGCGTGATGTTATTAAAGGATGTACAACTTATCTCGAATCTAATTATACACAATCTTTCTTCTATATATTACCACCACTGAATTAACTACTCCTATGAATCCGGTGTTCATCTTGTTGTGCTAATGCGGTATGGCAACTTGGACCGATGCATATACGTGCCTGGTCCTACGTTGCAGCTGACTGACTGAGACTTCATACTTAATCAATACTGTATAAACATACTGGAGTCACGTAACACTAAATGATTCACAACCAAAAATAGAGAAACAGTTTATGCGCCAGATAAAATTTTATTCAACACAATTACAAGCTTTCAAATTCCCTTGTGCGGTTGAGGATGGGGTTGAGGTTGAGTCAGCTCTACCTCTCAAAAATGCTCTCACATGAACACGCAGATACAGCCATTGTCAAAAAAGTCCTACTTACTGCCTTCTCTCAATGAGGGTGTTGTTTACGAAATTGAAATATTCGGCGCTTAAATCGGTTTGGTGGGTACGGAGGATCCATCTAGGTGGGTTGAAAGCTCTGACTTCAAACCAATGGTGCATATGGGCTCCGGTATCCTGAGGGAAAAAATGACATATGAACATATTGTTGGCGACCGACCACCATGTGACTACATCTCATAACGTTGCTCCACTGTCTTGTGGATTAGACCTCTAGGTCAAATACTTGAAGAGTGGCCTCCTAAGAAAACTATCTGCTTCGGTTTATGTGCCTGGTCATTATTCCAGTCCCCACACACTGAATTACAAAGTGTGAAGCATAAATATTTTCTGGCCCTTTTGTACCGATGTCTCTGCGCTTAACTAAATAAATAACAAACTGTCTACGGTTAATGAGTTGAGAATAGGAAGGAAATTACAAAGTAAGCAGTCAGTAATATGTATCTATCTCTCCACACTCAATGATCAATCACAATTATTTTCGCTAGCTACATGTCATTTTTCTCATCCGATTAGTATAAGATTTATACATCATATCTATTCACCAATAGATATCAAAGAAGCAAAATTGTTGGTTAGCATTTATGAATCAATATGAATGACATTACCCAATCACTTAAAGAAAGCATTATTATAATGTTTACTATAATTAAACTTGACAAATAATTATATGAGCTGTGTTATACCTAAGCAAAGTTCCTGTCTTTTGGGTACAATTCAAATAGTAATTACATTCGTACGGGTAGATTTTAATAGAAATAGTTGGAGGTTATTAGTGATTCCGTACAGATAAGTTTAATAACGACGGTGTATGGGTTTTACGAAAATTAGCTGTTTACTGAAGGCTAAGCACAAATCTTCACGCAGGACAGTTATTGTAATTGTTAATGCTTATACAATTATGCTGTAGTAAGATTCTGTTGAAGTTTGCTCCTCTGAGCTGATGAGCGTTAGCTACCGAGTCCTTTGATATTGCTGAGGTTGGAGAGAGTCTGCTCTTTCTCTCAAAATACTGTCATAGTCATATCCTTACATCCACTGCCAGACAATCCTAGTCCTTACGTCCACGAAATAAGGGTGTTATTTGTAAAAAATAAAGAATGGAAAGTAAGTAAAGTTGGTTCATACAAAGGGATCCATCTAAGAAGGAGAGTTCGTATAATCTGTTTATGAACTAAAGTTGTATATGAGTTCCAGGATCTTCAACTGAAGAATATTATTTGATCGTGTTTTTGGTTATTGAATACTGTGGTACTGGATCTCCTGATGTTGCTCTATCACCTTATGGATTAAATCTTCGGGTAAAATATTCGATTAGTAGTCTACTAATACAATCACTTGTTTCGTTTTGAGCTCCCGGTCGGTATTTTAACCTACATATAAATTCTATTTCATTTGACGATTATTACTGTTTCTTCTCAGTTGTACCAGGTTTTATTTGGATTAAATTAATATACACTATTCAGTACATTAAAAGAATGTTTTCCTTAGATTATTTATCTAATTATTTAATACTATCATTCTATGTCTTTCTTTATCCTACAGTTAATTAAAAAAGAAAAAAATAAAGCATGGATTGCTAAAAAGAAACGAGCACGTAAAATTAAAGCATTAAAGAAACAACATTTAGTTAATGAATCTTTGCACCCGGAAATCTGTGAAAAGAAGAATAAGGAGATAATAGCAACCAAACAGGAGAATAGTGTAAAAGATATTGATGAATTACTTGCCGACTATAGATTATTAAAGAAATCATATAAGGGGAAGGTATGTAGGTTTGTGTTATATTCAGTAGTTCATTTTTATGTTCGTATTATTTAAGAATAAACTACTAATTTATTTTTCATCACAAGTATCTAAAAAGACATTTTACTTATGAGAAATAGAATAAACTTGTAGGATTCAATTTTAAGATTGGTATTAATAAATCTACCCAAAATACTAGAATAACAGTTTTAACCTAAGGTTGTTCACTTAACATGGTGGGACGCGATCTTACGCCAAAATCACTTCACTAACTCTACCGGCTCACCCCATCCTGGTAATTATGTGCATTGTTTATACAAACCTTTGAATAATAGATTTAGGCTGGTGATAGAATAGCATATTTATTATAAAGAGAAATTCACAGCAACCAAACTAGAGAGGTCAATTCATGCAATCCTGTTAATTGCCTTCACCTAAACTTTTTTAACCCTCATTATTTTTTATCAAGTATTCATCGGCCAGTTTAAGTCTTCGAAATTAGTATACGATTTTTTTTAAGGGGGATTTATGGTAACGATTTAGTATTATTCCATTTTCACTACAAACAATTGTGTGACAACCTTTGTACATCCTGTAAGACTAACAGATATGGTCTGTAAATGTAAGTTGAGTAATTGTACTACAGGTAGTTGACAATTATATTTTTATCACTAAAAAAGGGGAACAATTAACAAATGGACGCTATTCACGAACAAGTTTGTAAGTAGTGTGAAGCGGAACGTGGCATCGAAGCTGCAACAATTTTCAAACGGGATGAAGAGTTTCAGGGCATCGAAAGCACGGCTCTAGCGAAACACACCGAAAGATGGAAACGGACTTTGTTTATTATATAAATACTTTGCAACTTCTCACAATAAAAATACATTCCTGTTGCCTATTGTCTTGTTTTTCATTATTTGCGGAAATTTTTATGGATTTCAGGAGAGTTTATTATCTAACAATTGGTTACTATATTCGATTTCCTCAACCTCTGTTTGTTTGCCTGAATCAAAGTATATGACATTATTTATTTACACACACGGTTTAAAAGTAAAAGTGATAAGTGTTCGATACCGTGAATGAAAAAGTCAAATATGTCCGTAAACTAACGTTTGTTTGAGTTGTATAAGAGTTGGTCTATAGCTTGATAAAATAGGTAGATAGGTAGCTTGATTGACTATAACCAACGTTATTGGCATAAATAAAAAACCCCATGTTGCCACAATTATTGATCTTCACTTAATTTGCAATCGTACTTATGTTTCTCTTTGCAGTTTCCTACATAATTTTTTTATTTGTTTCCACTTGTTCGCTGTTGTTTTTAAATCTACAAACGTGGTAGGATTTTGCATCGTGTGTCGAATTTCGCTTCGATGTCCATAATTATCTCATCTTGAGTTAATTACTTAGTTGTAAATCTACTAATTAAACGATCAAGTTTGTTTCCTAAGCTGTACGATCCTAAATATATCTGTAATAAATCCTGAGTCAGTATATAAATTATGTTTGTCTAGCCCTCCACCAGACCTGATGGTTCTGGACCTGATTCTCAGTGAGGTCGTAAATGCACACTGCTGTAGTGCCCCAGACTAATCGCCATCCAATGCTTTCTATTTCTGTATAGTTATACAACTAAGTTCTGTCTGTGTTGCCAAGCTGTGCAATTCAACAATTGCCAGAAACTTATGGACGGGTAATAATCATGCGATTACTAGTGCCTAGTTTCATGAGGTTATTCTCAAAGTTCCCGTGAAAGCTCGTTATCGATAGAGTTTAACCATGTTGAGTATGTGAGACAGTCGCATTATGGAAGAGAATGTGAGATGGTTGTGTAAAATCGCGAATTGCATGCTTATTAGAATTGCAATATAGTCAGCTCCGTTCACCAATTGACTAGACAGTTCTAAGTGCATGGTTATAGTAAATGAAGGATTATGAGTTGTAGGAACTGTGTTACGTCTCTGTCTATATAATAAATTTCTCTTGGAAATGTTTCTGGACTATTCCCTAATATGCGTAGGCAGTAGTATCATCAGCACTACTTTGAAATTAATAGATATTTTATTTTTGATATTTGTAGATCAACGAAAAGTGATTAGAAACTTCTATTGATATATTCGTCATGCCACAAAGAAGAAACAAATTGGAATTTGCCTTTTGAGCCACTAACACCTTTCTGTACATGTTCATTGATTATCAAATATGCTAGTCTTTTGTAAATAAAAGAATACTTGTACCATACATCGAATGCTAACGATGACATATTTTGGCGTGTCTTTCTGTATTTCTTATTGTAAATCTTTTTATACTGTATGTTTATCAACGTATCGAGCCTCCGAAAATCAGAGGTTGCGGGGTTCCTGAGCCCACATGCATCTCTTAAATTAGACGGAAAACATTCTACAATGCTGCAAGTATGTCCAGGTCTTTTTCACTCGCGATGACTTGGTGTAGATAAATAATGTTACTTTCATGTAAGATCTTATAGATTAGGAAGGTACATCATGGCAAACCTACAATTTCGGGATTAAGTCCATTATCAGAGTAGTACTACTATCACAGTAGACCATAATCCTAAAATTTATTCAGAAGCCTACATAGAACAGCCACTAGACCATTTTCAAACAAAAAACAGACACGACTCAGGTGACCTGGGAGCTCGTAATTTAAACCCGTATTGTTGTAGAATTATGGTCTACTATGTTATTAGTACTGCTCTAATAATACACCTAATCCTAAAATTGTAGGTTTGTTATAATGTGACTGCCTAATCTATAAGATCTTACATGGAAGTCACATCGTCGTCTACACCAACTCACTGCATCGTAACAATTACCAATACATGATAGAGAACAATCTTATGCTAGAGATGTAACAATATATTTAATATGAATAAAAGGTATAACGTAACATTTAGCAGGGACCACGCCTGCATGGCCGAGCCATGCCATTTGATCAATTCCAATTCATTCAATTTGTTATTCTCGCCTTCTCCAATGTTCTGTATTTCTCCGCGTTAAATGTTGAATATCTATTTTCCATATTGTCTCGTGTTAGGGCCCAATGCCACTACATTGTACAATCGAGCTATAAGAATATTATTTGTTACTAGGCATATCTCTCATAAATCTAACAACAACATGTAACTAAATCAATTAAGTATTGTGATGCTCCTGAAAGGACATCCATTGGGAATAAAATGCGAACCACTAAACTTTAGAAATCACTAACTGAAGCCATAATAGCGGGTGGGAACTCATTACTACACATCAACTTCTTTGGTTATGAGTAAGCATATGACAGTGTGAATAGGAGAACATTATGGAAGCTTCTACGGGGCTATGTAGTACTTCAGAAAATTGTCAATGTCATACGGAATACGGACGACAGTGCAAAGTCGTGCATGAAGGACAGCTGGCAGATGCATTCCATGTAAGGAACAGAGTCAGACAGCGATCTTTAACTTCTCCCTTTCTTTTTCTCCTTCTGGTAGGCTGGATTATGAAGACCTCTACATCCGGAAAAGAGCACGTAATATAATGGATAGCTTGCATGCAACTATGTAGCACTTAATGTTAGCGATTACTTGGAAGCAGGAGCGATCTGAAACAATAACACAACAGCCAGGACCGGTAAATGCCTCTAAAGTAAGAACGCGAGGTGCTGGCACAACAGATATGTATTTGAAAATTTAAAGACGCAGTTAGAGTACAGGAAAAGAAAACTTAATACAGGATTGTTTTATACACCGTTTCGCTGGTTCAGCTTACGTACGGCTTGTTCCTCTTCTTCCAGCAAGTGTACTCTATGTTGCCCCGCATTAAAAAAAACAGGCTAGCGTTAGTAACGTCACGTGTTATAGTTTTTGCCACAGTTCGAACTGGACGGATTGAACTTGGCAGATGACCTAGTTGTTCTATATCATACACACCAACAAATTCATGTGAAGACACTCAGTATAGCAAAAGCCCCTGCATCAGCATGCCTCAGTGCACACAAAAGAAGAACCAATATCCAAAAGTACTACACGGAGAACACCAGCACATTCACACTTGACGGAGAAGCTATGAAGGCAATGGAAATTTTCAGGTGCATTATCATCGGTGAACAAGAATGATCTGATGAAAATGCAAAAGCAATGATTGGCAAAGGAATGTCGGCATTCCTACAGTTAAACAACTTACAAAACTCAAAAAAACTGTTAACTAATATCAGTCACAATCTTCAGTGAGAACGTCAAGACAGTTTTATTGTACATAACTGAAACTCTTGTACATCACTAGTGATGACGAAAGTTCGCAGTTCCATCGAAACCTGTGAGAAAGCAGCCATTCTCCTCGCTATGCTAACGCCGTCCACACGAACCGATCTTTAAACTGCGGGCGGCAAATAGGAGAGTGATTGCCATATAAGGTAAGAAATATGATTATCATAGCGTTTATCAAAGCAAACCGAATCACTGGACTATCGTTGCTGCAAAAGTTTCTATGTCAATCACTGTCTTAAATCTGCTACAACACCAGAATCTACTGATCAGTCCAAGCAAACAGAATATATAGGGCACATACACTAAATTATCTGTTCTAAAAACTTTTCTGTTTGTAGTTTATACCCAGTCAAGTTTAAGCACGTACTTTATCCACCCTTCCAACGAACGCTCAACAAGAAACCTAACTATACAAAACGCGACCAAAACTACCGTGTTTAACCAGCAACGTTACACAGCATATCACTACTACATGACCAGCTGTATTTTTGAAATCTCCAAGAATATCTCCTGTGAAGCTAAGGTTGACCAAAAACGAAACGGAGCACATGGTAGAAGTGGGGATTGTCTGGTCATCTAACGGTGCATGTGCATCCCGCTTGCACATGGCCCTTAAAAATGAAAACAACGATTGGCATTCAAACTGATGATTATCGGTCACTTAATACAGAAACCACTCCCTATCACTGTTTTTTGCCGCACATCCGAGAGTGATAGCTACCTTCAAAGGAACACCTCTTTCCTCGAGAATTGTTCCGGTTGAAGCACACAACCATATTCCTACGGCCGCAGATGGCATTATGTCGTCAATCCCTCAGCGTTTGAATTTTTGCGCAAATGGTTTGCTTGTTTGTAAACTTGGTATGTCTGAAATATGCGACTCATACAATGAAAGCTGTGGTTGCTCTCTTGACTTGACGAACTTGGCTAGGCGATAATGACCAGTAGGGATTCATAGTTTGTACATCACTGACGTAGATGGTCTATGAAGAATGATTGGAGTCCTGCTCGAGGTAGATGGGAATGTTGTGACAAACCAACTAAATTTGAAGTGAAAGCTTGCGGTCATCATCTAACGTGATACTATGGCTGCTTTGAAGACCGTATAACACAAACGACGTTATTATAGAAATATATTAGTTAAAATAGGTACAAGTGAAAATGTGATCTTTACTCTAAGGTCAGTCCATGGAGTTAAAATAATTGGTGCGAGTTGGTTGTCCCTGACCTTGACGGGGATTGATGAACTGTTCAACATTCAATGACTCACTACCGGATGACTTGTCTAGGGCTCATTGATATTCCACTGGCCCTTCAAGTTGACATGAGGTTGCCGGTGCTGTTGTAACGTGTCAGTGCTTTAGCATAAGAACAGGATTATATCATTTGGTGTTCGCATTGGTCGTTTTTTCACGTTAAAATTGACAGAATCAAAATTCGTAGCTGTTTACATAGTTGCGGTAGCCTTTTTTCGCATAACTTCCTTGAATTGTTTTAAATGAATCCATCAAATCGGGGCGGAACATTATGTGTTGTACAAACATTCGCATCCATTAGTCCGAGTGGCCATCAAGCTCATTGCAGAGCTATTTTGTTGGTCTGGTATGAACGAAGATGTGGGAGCACGTTTCTGTGTGGGCTCCCAGTTATTTGGTCTAAATAGAAATAATTATGGTATAAACTTTGACATAACTAAACTAGGCATACCTTTAAATATAGATCATTCTTCTCCATGTGATGACTAATCGAAAGATTTCACTGTTTCTCTGATCCCAGGATTACGTTAGGGAGTCTATAAAGTCGAGGTTCAACATTTTCTTCAGTCCTCTTATTTATTCTTAGCCACTTTTTGACCTGAAATTCGAACCCTAACCGAAATAATTCAAGTTGAAGCAGACCAAGGATGTTTTGGATGCAATAAATACAGAAAAGCAAGGTTGATTTACAAGTACGAAACTACTGCCGTTTTTTAAAACGCATGCGTTTGTTTTTTAAATGTATGATTGACAATCTCTATCTCATGCAAGAAGAAAACAAAGCTGCAACGGAAGAGTTGGAGCTTAATTTAGACAATAATTTCGTAAACAATTATAACGATTGTACAAACATTGCGGAATTATGAAAAATGCAGATAATAACAAAGCTATCCACAACAAAGTCTGTGTTAACAATCTTCATAATCTCTCTTAAGACCTAGATAGAATCCTCAGGACGCAATTCACAGATTCTGGCAAGTGAACTTGAAGTTCGCGAAAATCAGCAAATGACTAAGTCGATGCAGTTGAAATTCCAAGGTCGTCTTGAATCTTGTCAAGGTTCCGTAAAGTGGATTTTTCGAATGTAATAACTCACGCCTGTTTTATTTATTGTTGCCCATTATTTTCATTATTCAATGTTATTATATCAAATTCTCTTACTGAGTCTTCAGCACTATTTTCATCCCATTCTTCCTTCCAGATTATTTCATAAATTGCTTTTCACACTCCCCTAGCATACAACTTACAGTCAGACAAGCCACAAACCTACCGTCAAAACATTGGATTCTTATGGCTAGTGATGTTTCATCTTTGAGGTTGGAGTTACTCAGTGCCAAGTCCAGACTCTTTAACTACTTACAAAATCATCATAATTTTCGGCCAGTGCAGAGAGAGTTTCTAGAGTTAGTATCCGAATTCGAAATATTAAAACTAAAGGCTCAAGATATATATGGTATATCAAGAGAAAAGGTTTGTTATTATTGCTCATATGAACTGTCTTATTCATTATAATCTCAAGTTTCTGTTATGATGATATCACTAGTGATATTCATTCAAGCTTGAATGAAACATACGGACTCAATATACGAGTACAAAGAGTTTTGTTTCAAACTGTCCTCATACGAATCTGATACTTCTTAGGCTCTGAAAAGTTTGTCAAGAGAAATTTTATTGTACATTGTTTTGAACTTTGCCAAATGTCTTGATGACCACTCGATTTCTCATAAAAGTTACATCCGAAAATAAGTGGATTTTGTTTCTTAGTTTTTGTCCTTAAGTTCCTACGATGCACTGCCTTGACTAATGTTACCTGAGAAGTACTCTCTGCGTTTTCGTTGTTTATACTCTCTGCTATTACGTGTAATCATAAGCAAGACGATCTTTAGCTTTGACCCAAATATGGAAAGTGTATACAAATGTTCCCTGTTCTAGCTCGCGAAATCCTTATTGGTACTAAAGGTCTTTTCTAAAAACTATTATGCCTCGTCCCATCGGCCACTTAAACTAGAGGTACTTTATACTGTTCGTGATATTTACTGGTTACCATGAAGTCGGATATATAAATGAACTATGCTGCTATGCCTTCTATTTAAAAACACATTAAGGAGAGCTCAGAATCTGCTTTTCTTTTATTTAGGTGAACTATTGTGTATTGAGAGATGATTGATATTTTCATAACGAGTCTTGAATCGTGAAAATTATTGCATGCAACACGTAACGATTTACCTATGTTTTCGTGTTTATATATATAATTCAATTTGTGTGAGGGTCTGAATGCTGCCCGATGACCAACAATAGGTTTATATGCCATTTGTTCCTTCAGGATCATGGAGTCCATGTGAACCATTTATTTAGAATCAGGATGCTCAACTCTCAGGCGGATCCTCCGTGTCCACCAACCAGGTTAAAGCACCGGACACTCGCTTTTCATCCCAACTTCGTAAACGACACCCCTATTAGGAGAAAGCAGTGACTAAGACTTTCCTGGCAAAGGCTGTAAATATGCGGCAGTGTGAGAGTATTTGGAGAGGAAGAGCGAGTTCTCCCCACTCTCTGCCATACCAAGGCAAATTATTGTCAAGAGAACACCTACTGAAATTTATTATGTGATGGGCTCGATCTTGCAGATCTGGCAATCTAATCTTAGGATATCACCCTGTAGTATTAAGTTCAACAGATGTAAATAAATATACGAAAAACAGCTAGCAGATCTGTCGATATTTTTTACATGCTTATCATTTTTGCTACCATAACCGGGCACATAACTAGACATATTGGAAACGAAATGTCTCTTGTTTTTAAAGGTGATTGTCTCAATTTCAATTATGTTGATTGCCTATCCATTTGTACCATTCTGATCACAAATGTCAGCATAATAAATAAAAAATCTAACGATTTTTGTGCAAAGAGTTATTTCAAATTTTTTCAACACTTAATTTTCCCTCTAATATAATAGTTTTAAGTAGGTGAACCTCAAAAGTTTCGAAACTCTCCACAGTAAAGCATCGGTTTAGTGGTCAAAGCGTTCGACTTTCAGCCGCTAAGTTGAAGGTCGGAACCCCGTTTCACCTGCCCCGGCTTGGGCAATCGGGTATTACTCGATCTCATACTTGGAATATGGCTCACTTAATGAAGGAATTTATTTATCTTCTATATTCTTAGGCTCTTTCTTTATATTAAAAACTTACCTCAGTCTGCATCAGGGACTATTTTTCATGTCGAAAATTCCTTCGACTGGGTAATATTTTTTGCTTCGAAGTGGCTCTGTTGAGAAACTAACCCAAGTATTGAGATAATGCATTACGGAAGTATTCCACCAAATTTTCTTCGATATCATTCTTTTTAAAACTTAGTTTTTTTTATTTGTATATGTACACCACCATGGTGGTGTTCTTTGATCAGTTATTTACACATTTGGATGTCGTTTATATTCAGTGGACCGGTGGCTCAACGGTTATCGTGTTTGAATTTGAGCCACTAAAGTGCAGATCTGACCTTCATTCTACCTTTATCGGTTTGGATGACTGGGGAGTTTCAATAACCAGCATACATGAAATGTAGCTCAAAGCCGAGTGCACGTATCTGTACTTGGTAATTCAGTTAATAATAATATCTTTCGTTTCGAAAAGTTAGTTGAATCTGTTTGCGGTATTCACCAGTTATTATTAAGGGTGAATCGCCAGCTTCTTTCGGAAAATAATATTTACTTACTTACACCTGTTACTCCTAATGGAGCGTTGGCCGCCGACCTGTACTCTCCAACCCACTCCGTCCCGGGCCTTCTTTTCTAGTTCCATCCAATTCTTGTTCATTTTTCTCATGTCTATCTCCATTTCCGGGAGTAATGTGTTCTTGGGTCTTCCTCTCCTCCTTCGACCTTGAGGATTCCATGTGAGGACCTGTCTTGTGACGCAGTTGGGTGCTTTCCTCAATGTGTGTCCTATCCACTGGGATCTGATTTGTTCTCTCCCACAGTAGGTTGTTGCTGATAGTGTCCGGCCAACGGATCCGAAGTATTTTGCGTGAACAACTGTTAATAAACACCTGTATCTTCTGGATGATGGCTTTCGTAGTTTTCCAGGTTTCGGCCCCATACAGTAGAACTGTTTTGACATTTGTATTGAAAATCCTGACTTTGGTGTTGGTTGACAGACAGTTGTTTTGAGTTCCAGATGTTGTTCAGTTGTAAATATGCTGCTCTTGCTTTTCCGATCCGTGCTTTCATATCTGTATCAGATCCACCGTGTTCATCGATGATACTGCCCGCCTAGAGTCCCTCCGGGGGCTACTGCCAGTCCCAAGCCCGAATAAAGGAGGAGGGTTGGGCATGGGGTTAGCGACCCCATTCCGTAGAAAACTAACTCGCTAAAAAACACTAACCAGAAAATATTACTAGTAAATAAAATATTTTCGTGTTTATCTAGGCAAACTAATCTGAATCATGTAAATTGAGCCAGAATTATGAGTTCCACAGACTGACGTGCTTAATTTGCTTGCGAATGTATTACTCTATTCCCAGTTATTTCTGTGCGCTTTCATAATAGATAACTGCAGGAGCTCTCTTATCATTACCGCTAGCTTTTAACTGTATATGAGACAATTTTTCTTCAGGTTATACCTCAATTAAAGTCCGTTCATTTTGATTCAACTGAGGGAGACAATCGAGTATCTTCAGTGTCTAATATACACCAAAATGCAGTTTCGCAACTCCAGGAACTTTTGGATATGCATGACAACTGTTCCTATCTCCTAGAACTGCACCAGACCATAAATAACTTCGAGTCTTCAGTCAATCAACTGTTATACCAATGTTCACGTTGTTCGGTCGTTGATGAGAAAAAGAAGTGGGAAGACACAGTTGTAAAATCCCCCGAAGACTCAGAGATTGATTTAGAACTCGGTGATAAATATGTGGACATAGATGAAGAAACCTATCGGTTAGTGATCATTCTTATACATTTAATGTATTTTGGAATGTCCCTTTAAAAAAATATCTTATAACAGCTCACGTGCCATTGAGTTTGTTCACATTTAATTCGGTTAAGTCATTTTATTAACTCATTAACGAACTGAATCATTCGTTGGAGACTCTTGGTGACATGGCTCAGAATCGATCACAATGGCGTCGGTGTATACACTCTCTGTCTTCCTTTAAACTAAGAGATTAAAATAACTTCAAATCTTTCTTTCTAGGAACTAATTCTTTCTTCCTGTACTATCTCCTTATACACAATCTTTCTTCTATATATTACCACCACTGAATTAACTACTTCTATGAATCCGGTGTTCATCTTGTTGCGCTAATGCGGTATGGCAACTTGGACCGATGCATATATGTGCCTGGTCCTACGTTGCAGCTGACTGACTGACTGACTGAATCATTCGTACAACAAATTATCTATATCATTGTATCTTTATTATTGTTGCGAATGTATGAACTTGTATGCTTGAGCAAACCTTACCGCCTACGCATTTATTCACGCTACTAGCCTTACTATTAACCGCTTAATTGATTCGATGATCCATTCATTTCACTATGTATATATATTTCCATGTTATTCATATTCATTGCACTCTCGCTCTCGTTCGCTCGCTTGCCTGTTTGCCTTTCGGCACAACTCTTTCATGCTAGCTTAACGCACCTGTAATTTGGGATATCTGTGTTTGGTCTCAGAACAAACGTAATCAACACTTCGTATTCTCTTTTTGATTAATATACTGTTGGAGCGTTATCTAGTGACGGTTACCAAGACGAACTGCATACGAAGTTTAAGGAATATATCGAACACCGACCACCACAATCTTTTGATATTCAAACCATGACGGTGTTTGTACTAACAGAACAAATACAGTGCCTAATTAAAAGCCTCTGTTTCTATGGGATACCGATTTCTTCCTACAAGTTGCAGAATAAACATCAAAGTGCGAACTTTGAAAAAAAACCATCTCATGAACCATTGTTCACTTTCTTTGTATTTTACTCTTGAGATATCCCATTTTCATTTCTTGTTTAATGTAGTAGTTTACTACCGTCAAACCTCAGGTCTATGCGATTGCTTCTATTCACTATTGAGATGTTCGAATAGACAAATCTGTAACTGTATAGCTTTTTGATTGTTTTCTACGTAGTTAAATCTGCTTCGGAAAACAGAAACTTCTAAAACAAACTAGAAAATCATTTACATTTCACTCATAACCTTACGAGTCGTAGGTGTTCCCTGTAATATTTTAATCCTTTAAAGCCAGCTTAGTGTTAACTCTGATTAGCAAACATGTTTCGGAGTACGCAACCCTATAAACCTTCAATTTTATTTGTATTACGAATTGATTTGGGTTAAAGCCTGATTTCCAACAACAAATCTGGATAATGTTGCATACCTTCCGTAGACATTATGCAACTTGCGTGTCTAACATTAAACAATACTGGAAATATTTCGATATTTCTTTTAAGCTCATTTGAACTATCTACAGTGATATCTGACACAGTGTGGGCCTTGTTTCAGCCATAAGCAACGTAAAAACCTTAGATTAATGTCATTCAGTTCAACTTGGAACAGAGCGTCTGCACTGTGAGATAAAATCATAAAGATAGATATCGAATTAACAAAAGTAGTAGTAGTATTGATCGTAATAAAACAATTGTAACAACGAATATGATTCAAGAAGAAACAATTAATCCGCAGAATAAAAGATATAAAATAACTTTAGAATTCAGGATGAAAAGGAGTACAAACAGTGAATAAATCTATCCCATTGCCACCAATTCTAAACTATATTTTCCAATGTCTTCAATGATCAATCACGTTAGTCGTACGAATCTCAGCCAGTTAGTCTACATTCAGTAACATATCTCAGACGTACAATCGAAAACTTCATAGATTGATGCTTTTTTAAAAGAAAGTTACTTAACACTTTATCCATACTAAGTATCAAACAGATTTAATATTTTAATCTACCTATTACATCATTTCATTGTGTATATGTACATGTATGTTACTACTACTATGAAATCTTCATTTTTTTTCGTTCCTTTGTCTTACCTAGTTTATGTGTTGATACTGTGATAACATCACTTGAAGAATCTGAACATTTATTTGCGAAACATAAAAAGTTTAGTAAAGATGTAGTACTTGTCTTTCAAAGTTGTCAACAAACATTTATACGTTGCAAGGTATTGTGGTTGTTTTTTTTGTTTTTCCAACTTATAATATTATTGTCGACCATTTTGTCATTATGTATATTTGATGATATTAGACTACACATTGATTTATTATTTGTATTAGTGACGGTAAATGCATAAAAACTCATGACTTTCATAGAGTTTTTATTCATGCTCAAATTGTTCTTTTTCATTACTGGTACAATGTAGGATTAGGTTGGAAAAAAGGTTAGGAGTGTTCAAATCAAAACTTGATATGAATCTATAAAGTTATTGACTGTTGGACCGAGCTATGTTGATAAGTGCAGACTGCATAGTTTATGGTCCGCGTGATTTTCAGAATCAATAATTAGAGAATAAATTTGAGTTGTATGGCTTCGAGTAATTTGCAATGATCCGTATCCATTCACTCTATTGGGAATGTTCAATCCTTTGCTGATTTCTATTTAGTGACAAATACTCGGTTCATTACTTCTACTCATTGTAATTGATACATGGTCGAGTAACTAAATTGTATCTTCGGATTGATATACTGGGTTCATCATCGAAAGGTTTCAATTAAAAAACTGGTCTTTTTATTCTAGTTAGTCGGGTAGAGAAGTAGTCTCGTTCACTGCATTGAAGTCAGAGTTATGAGATCTTAGCACAGCACATGAATTCACCACACTCTTTTCCTTTCCTTAGATACTAAGTTTCTTAATTATGTTACTAAAAACTCTTTTTACCCCATAAATCCTTATTTTCTTCATGAATCGTGTCTGAAATCCCCAATATTTTTTATTATCACTAATACTGCTGCTAATTATACTACTTTGGCATATCGCTTTCCTAATGTAGTTTGAAAGTTTGAGTTAATACACATATGGACCAAGTTCTACATTCCATTTGACTGACCACCCAGCACAGCCTTGTTTATTTATTTATTTATTTAAACACACAAACATTGGTACAAAAGAGCACCGTAATATATATGCTTTACAAAAAGTGGTTATCACTAAATTTGTGTCGGCTTGGATACTTTTCGAGTGCCTATACCGGAACAGGTGATTCGCTTAATATGCTACTACCTGAGCCTGAGGTCTAATCCACAAAGAAAGAATTGGAGCAGCGTTAAGAGATGCGATCCCATGGTAGCCGGTGACCAACAGTAGGTTTGTACGCCATTTATTCTCTCAGCATCTTGGAGCTCATCTGCTTCATTGGTTTAAAATCAGTGTTTTCCAACTCCGCTAGGTGTTTCCTGTATACCCACCAACCCGGTTTAATCACCGAATATTCGCTTTTTTGTTCTCTCAATTTTGTAAACAACACCCCCCGTTGCGAGAAGGCAGTGAGTAAGACTTCCGTGACAGTGGCTATATACGTGTGACCCTGATTCCAAAACAACAGAGCAAATAGACTTCTGATCCTGAGAAGAGAAGTGTCGCATGAACCTGTCGTTGCTCACCTGCTACCATGGGACGTTGCTCTGTTGCCTTGTGGATTAGATCGCTGGATTAAAGGCTTGGAGAGTGGCCTCCTAAAAGAACCACCTGTTTCAGTTTGAGCACTTAGTCAGTACTCTAGCCCACACACAAATTGAATAAATACTTTGTGTTGCGCATATATATTTTGGTATCCCTTTATGCCAATGTTTGTGCGTTTAGGTAAATAAAACTGACGTTGGCCATTCTCATTGTATTGTAAACAAGAACTTCTTTTACTACCTATTTATGTCTCGTTTCATAACTTTTTAACAACTCATATGAGATCCCCTTAAGATTCAGATTCGTTTTTGTTTCAATACTGGGCAAGACTATAATTTGATGGACGACCTTTAAGCGACGCCAGAGTGACTTCGAGAAAATCCGTCAACATACTAGATTCTATGGAGGATTACGTATTAATTTCAGAAAGCAAAATCGGGGTTTAGAGTTCGAAGTTAGTATTAGGAATTAGAGTTGGAGTTTTCATCACAAACTGACATCAGCTATGATGCCAAAATGTTATCTTGTCATATAGGTAAATGAACTTGGCGCCGACATCCAGGACTAGCTATCTCAAATGTGATTGGTCGGTCCATAAATTATAGTCTTGCCATAAATTCGTCATTAGATACAACTAAGAGATGCTCTTTTTTCGTTAAACTAATTGAAGCTTGTTTAACAACAAACTTCTCAGATTTAGTTTTAGTGAAATCACAAAGTTACAAATACTGTTTGCTAAAGCATACTGAAACTATTCTTTTTGCATCCTAGTTTTTTAAAGAGTAATTCACTATATTCCTACTGTGTAGATTCTACATTTCTCAAGCTTTGTGTGTTTCATTATGTTGTATTTTCAGAACCGTCTTACTCAACATGTTGACGATCTTTGGCGTCGATGGATCATTCTAGAAGTTCCTTCAAAACATCAGAATGTATCTTCAAAGTTCAATGTTAATAATATATATCCTTCTATTCGTGGACAACTTCAGCCGAATGATTTTTTCAGCTTTTTATTTGATGCTTGTATACCATCACCTACTGATATGTGTAAATCTTTAAGACAGCCGAGTTATGCATGCGATTCCGTCTTTTATGGAGTTTCTGATCATGATGTGCCGACTACTCAATCATACAGAGAATCCACCATTTTAGCTAGTCTCAAAATATTGGCTAAACCTGGATTAATTTCTCAGTTGTTACGTATTATTGAAGCTTTAAAAGAGTCTAAGGTTAGTCAACTATATCTTTTCCATGTAGTTATTGATAGTATGGGGGATTGTATTGATATCAGTTAACTATTGGGCTGAACTATGTGGTGGAACTTCAAACTTACTTTTCTTCACTATTGATCGCTTTCTGGACATGTGACGAATATATTTCGATATCGCCTCTCAATTTAACCGTTACGAACAAGGTTGTTGAGGCTCTAATTCACACACGAACAAATGAATTTAAAGATGGCAAATCTTGGATTTTAGCCCGAAATTCACTTGTCAAAGTGGTTAAGTAGCACTTCGGCATTATAACTGATGTCATTTTGTGATGAAAACCCTGACTCTAATTCCTAACCCTAACTCCACACCTGCTACAAATGAAGCACAGGGCACCGACAGAGAATCGCCAAACTACTCTGTCCCGCGTGTGAGACTATAATTTATAGATGCCAAAGTGACCTTGAGTGTCTACTTACTAGGGCTAAGTGAGGGTTATAAAGTAGTTTGAAGAATAAGGATTATGATTCACAGTTGATGGTTAGGGTTATGAATTAGATTTATGGTTTTCTTCACGAAACGATATCAGCTATAATGCCAAAATGCTATTTGGACAAATGAGTGGGTGAATTTCCCACCAAAATCCAAGACCTGTTATTGTAAATCTGATTGGTTCGTCCAGAAATTATGGTCTTACCGTCCTGGGCTCTCTCGAGTTCTTCCCAAGTGCTATTTATTTTAATGTTTGCCTCCAGTTCCCGACTCATTGTGTTTCTAGTTCTGTGTTTTTTCTTTTTCCCTTGACTCCAAGTTAAGGCTTGCCATGGGACGCAGTTTTTTAATTTCTGTAAAATATATCCTCTTCACCTCCAGCGTTTATTTATTTATTTATTCAAACACACAAACATTGGTACAAGGAGGCACCAAATATATATGTGCCACACAAATTATTCGATTTGTATGAGGGCTTGGATACTGTTTGGGCTTCCAATCCGAAGAAGGTGGTCTTCTTAGAGGGCAGTACCCCGAGCCTTTGACCCAGAGGTCTAATCCACAAGGCAGTGGAGTAGCATCAGGAGATGCAGTCCCATGGTAACCGGTGACCACCAATAGGTTCATGTGTCATTCATTCTCTCAGAACCCTGGAGCCCATGTGCACCATTGGTTTAGAATTAGGGTTTTCCAACTCCACTAGGTGAACCCTCCGTGTCCATCAACTTGGTTAAAGCACTGGACATTTGGTTTTCGCCCTCTCCATTTCGTAAACAACACCCGTGATGTGAGAAGGCAGTGGGTAGGACTTCCCTGTCAGTGGTTGTATACTCTTGGCCGTGTGAGAGGATTTGGAGAGGGAGAGCTTACTCTCCCCACCATCGGTCGTATCAATAGATTTGGGGCAATCTATTAACTAGAGTTATTGTGATCATATGTTAAGCATATACGATGCTTTAATATGCTTTACTGCTTACAGTGAATGTAGCATGGAAGAAAGATTGAGAATTGGTAAACTAAAACACCACACTATATATTTCGAGGTAAAGTCAGCTTGACAACTAAAATGAATAATCGAACACTATATGTTGTAACCTGAATTTTAGTGTACTGGAACATTTGTATATCATTTTTTTCATTTTCTTATAAGTCTTAACATTTTTTGATTTCTTGTGACCTATTAAGTTGTTGGTTTTGATACTGAACTTCCTCTTGGGCATCGACACCAAATGTAGTATACGAGAACTCAGTTGGAGAAGACCAATTTATTATTTAACGTAAAATTACAGAGTGCTTTGACAAAATATGAAAATCATATATTGAATACATCATTTGTACATCTTCCATCAGCCGTTCTTTACATGCTTTCTGATTCTTTTAATTTTGTTGTTATTAAAATTACTTTCTGTTTTCTTCAAATGAATCTTCTGCTGGTATGCATTGCATTTCTGATTGGTATTACCTACTACTTATATTTTTCAACATAAGTAGCATACACCACAATACTACTTAGTTGCTCGAACTAATGTATGTTAATTTAATTTCGAATCTGTGATCCAGCTGAAATTTAAATACACTAATCATATATTCACCATAAATCATGAATATATAATCCTTACTAGCCATTTTCAATCTTTATGTGTTACCTTCTTATCGTATTACCTATTTTCTGGTTACCTTACCCAGAAGTCTGCCAACTTTAATCAAAACACATTTCATGCTTGTTGTCGCATGGTTTTTTTCTGTCTCTGTTTTTCCTCTACTAATGTTTAATGTAATGACATTTGATTGTATAGTACATAACTGTCATATTTGTTAGATGTTTGTTAGCAGCATGTTTAATAAAGGTTATCTTTTTACACTTCGGGTAGATTGTGTATAAAATTTGACTGAAACAATTGATAAGTGGTTCATATTTGTCAGATATCCACCATACAATGTAACTCATATATACTAAAGCTGACAACATCTGGAAAATGAGACCTTAGTATAGTCTAAATATAATACTCTGTCTGCGAATTGATTAGATTAGATTAAGACATCATATCGAATCATTCTTATCATCAAGATCGTTTCTATAGAATGTCACTAGATTTTATAAAAAAGATCTTCTTTGTTGAGTTACTGAAGGCATTTCATATTTGACATTTATTTGTTTGATGGGGTCGGCATTAATATATCAGCAACGATTAAGGTACACACCTTGTCATTAGAAGGCTTAAATTTTCTCTATATTAGACATTCTTCTTTATGGTTCTCTACAGAGTCGTATACTTGAATTGGCTAATCAAATTTGGACGTATATATTTAAACCTTGGCTTAAAAAAGTACCATGTGTGTCAGGACCAAATGTCGGCTGGGGGAAATTAAAGGTTGGTTTTTATCTTATGGTTGTTTAACTTTCTCAGTTGATGCAGCCTATTTCATTGAGATAACTGTTATTCGTTCTTCCCATGAAGTGTTTTTACTAATAGTGAATTTATATGTTTTATGGTCAATGATAGAAATCATCGTATCATAGTTCATGATTGTTAACACTTACACCAGTAGAGCGATGTTTGGAAACATGTGAATGTTGATCAATTAGTAGTATAGTTAGAAACATAGTCATTATACTTACGATTTAAGCTGTGACGGACCTCTACTCTATTTTGATTGTATCGTTTTTCAGATGTTCCTGGAATTATTAACATATTAAAACATAACAGTCAGATTAATGACACTGGCATTGAATGTCAACTTCCATCTTAATTAGTGGTCCTTTAATTGTTGTAGTTTATTATTATTCATTTATTTGGACACATAAATATTGGTACAAGAGATCACCAAATATATATGCGCCACATAAAATTTTATTTGTGTGTGGGCTGTGATACTGCCCGGGTGGTTTCCTTAGGGGACCACACCCCGAGCCTTTGACCTAAAGGTCTTACCCACAAGGCAGTGAAGCATCGTAAGGAGATGCAGTCTCATGGTAGCCGGTGACCAACGATTAGTTCATACGCCATTTGTTCTCGCAGGATACTGGAGCCCACGTGCACCATTGGTTTGGGATCCGGTTATAGCGCCGGACATTCGCTTTTCGTTTTCTCGTTTTCGTAAACTACACCCGTGGTGCGAGAAGGCAGTGAGTAGGACTTCCCTGGAAGATGCTGTATACGCGTGGCCATGTGAGAGCATTTCGAGAGGGGGTGGGCCCACCCCATTCTTGGCCATACCAGGGCATTTGGGGGCAAGGAACAATAGTGGGGCGGATTCGTCTGCATATAGCATACAATTCTCTTTGAACCTAGCACACAACAATAGCATTATGCACTATCCCATCGCCCTTGGCAGATCAGGCAACACGAAAGTTACGTGAACGCTATCAGGGCATACGACAGGTTAGGTACTCCATTTCTGCTCATAATGTTTAAAGTGAAATTTAATGCTGTCATTATCAATTTTATTATCTTTTTTTCTTCTATTTGTTGTTATTGTCTTATTTTTTATAGTGTCAAATAATTGAAAAATCTGTAAACATAGAATCAGATCATGAATTATTTATCAAAGAAATAGGTCCAGAAACAACCGATAATGATGATGTTCATTTGACTCGATATTTACGTTTAACATTAGTTGCTCCAAATACTCCTCCTCCTCCTCCTCCTACTACTACTACTACAAATCCTAATGAAAATAATAATAATCATGATGACGACGAGGAGGAAGATAATGATGATGATTTAATCTCTAGTTCATGTAATCAATTAACTAAAGTATTTCAAGAGTTATATACTTATTTATTTGGTTTACAAGCAATTCAATCAGATAGTAAACGTTTTATTGATATAATTATAAATAATAATATTGATGGTGATTCAGGAATGTTTAATAATGAATTAGTTAAAGATTTAATTGATGGACGTTTTAGTGCTGGTTTACCATCAGTTGAAAAATTACATAAATCCGAGATAATTGCAATATTAACACAAGTTGTTCTAAGATTAATTAGTGTTGGTCGAAATACTGGATTTTTAACAGATGATATTAAACATAATTCGTCTAATCACCTTCATAATGATAATGATAATGATGATGATGATGACAACAATAATGATAAGACTGATTCATCTAATGTATCAGTTGTTGGCGGTGCAACAAAATTAAATCTTTGGATTGATAGTCTTTCTATATTAAAGCATAAACGATCAGCTAATGCAATATTAGAAGAACTACGTGAATTATTGGCTGATCGTAAATTATTTTATTCAATGTGTTCAGCTAATAGTTTAGAAAAAGTATGTGAAAAAGGCCCTGCAACCACAACGACTAATTTTGCTACAAAACATAATAATACTGATGAAGGTATTTATGACGAGGATGACTTAATACTGGATGATTGTATCGAGAATGATACCATTGAATTGGAATATTCAGATAAAACTAATAAGAATGATCAAATTCTATTGAAACTATTAAAATCCAAAGGTAATTTGGACAATATTTCACGGCATTTAGATCTAGGACAATTTGATTTCCCTGATTGTATGGTAAGTAATGACTATTTGTTGTCCTCTAATTATTGGCATGTGTTGTTTATTGATTATTGACGTACTTGAAGAATGTATTTTCCTTTTTACCTGCAACTTTGATGGGATTATCAGCACCTGAACACTTCACAGTTGGAGATTTGCAAACTTCTTTGTTTATATTGTCATAGAATTCTTTCGAAGATTCTAATCCAATTATTGAGTTACGCTTGAAATCCTGAAATTGCGGTATCATCAGAGAAAGCAACGTAAATAATGAAGTTTGCAAAACTACAATCATAAGGCAGGTATTCAGGTGGCAATAGTGTAATCAAAGACCCAGTCAAAACAAATAAGCATCCTTCAAATAATCAGGTAAGAATTTAATTACAACACTCACTATTCACAATTGATTACTGCCAAGTTGTTCTTAGCGCTACTCATTTATTTCTATCGATGAAGTTGAAATATGGCCACTAGTCTAAATGACTTAACATCTGATGTTTCAAACAGATAGTAGCACTTAATCAAATGAGAATCAGGCTGTATTCAAAGTACGCAAACTATTCCAAATAAGCGAAATTCCATCAAATATGCCAAAATATTGGATATAGTTGTTAGTATCAGAACTGGCAGTTTATAACTAGTGGTGAAATATCACACATACCAAGTTCGAAAAATGTATGATAATAAGATAAACTAGCGAATACTAATAAGTAGTATATTGTAATGCACAAAAAGAATCGAGCAATAAAGAAATGAAGTTAATATTTCTGTAAACCGTATTCAACAAACCACTGTTGTCGTTGAGGTGTAAATGTATCTAGCTGTATGTCTGTTTTCCACTTTGTCTAATTATACTTCTATGAGTTGTAAGGTGTCACGAATTCACTAGGTACTTCCTTAAATTTTATCTCGATCATATAGGATAATGGATGTTTCATGAATAATGTAGATAGGTTTATCTGCTAATGCTAGACACCACTTGACATGAGTTAACAGTGAAAACAACAGTTTCAATACATATGATCCTTATTTTATAATACTGTTCACCTTACCATAATTTGCTTTTATAAATTCCAAGTAATTGATTTATTCTACTTTCAACCTTTATCCTTCTCGAACAATTTTTATCAGTCCGTCATTCATGCTATGCACCACATATAACCTAGCATATATGCACATCAGTTCCAGTTGCCACACAAAATCAACACAGTGAATCCCAGAGTTGTAGAGGTAGCAACAGTATTAGCGGTAGTAGAAAAGACTAGGTATAGACAATATAATTCGACAAGAGAATATGAATTTATTGAATAAAAGAGTATACGATAATCTTGAAACCGTAGATTTGAGCAGAGACAGAAAATGGATAAATTAGCAACACTGTCACTATTTTTGAGCCATATCATCCAACATCAACAATTGGTTACGATAATCTCACGGATCACAACAACGTAGTTTCGACCTACCAACAAGGTTCACTCTAACAGTCAGTAATTTCATGAACTAATGCCCCGTCTTAGTTTGACCATCGAGTACCTAAACAGAAACTTACTTACTGAGTTGCCTTGAATTATTATTTACCTATTACTGACGATCGACTGGTCAGTGTGCAATGATCGAATTCTACCGACCAAATGACTGAAAATCTCATGCGCTATGTTAAAATGCTAGGTAGTTGGCACTAGTCAACACGAAATCCTTAACCTAGATGCCATTTGACACATATCATCAAGGTATAGTTGTGGTATTGATGGATCTGGTGCCCCTGGTGGATTCCGAGCAATATCAACCTAGTTTCACAGTTTGAGATTTTTCCACTTAGCTTATGAATCCCAAACAGCCCAAAACTTAGATCCAGAGTTCCATACAGGCAGCCTCCAACTAACCAACACTTTTTACTTACAGTTCGCGCCCTTTTAATTTCTCATTTGATTCATCTTTCTTACTTTTCAAAACATAAATTAGGTAGTGAAAATACTACTATCATTATAACACTACTTTAAAAATTTTTAGTAGTACTAGTGAATCCTGAAGAGATATGATTTACTCGTTATTCTGAATTGTGGGCAAGAAGTAATGTTATCATGATATTATTGTAATTGAAACAAGTCAATAGTGGTTTTCATAGAAAACTGTGCTTGAGTCTTCGTTGGGCTTCAAACTCTAAATTATGAAATAGTGAAATAATATTAACATTTGTGTTCAAATGATACCCAATAGAGTCTTCGACCAACACATTACAAATTATCATATTACTTCTCTACATATTCTGGTTGTAGCGTGGATTATTTGATTCCAATAAATGAACTAAACCAGTTCACATCCTCTCATCTTGATAGTACTGAGTAGTACTCCTAGTGTATGGAGTGTTAATTCTGTTAGCTTTTTGTTTATACCTGAAGTTCAAAATTGTGATCATATAGATAGGCAAAATTCCTAATCGCAGCTGTTATCTTAACGTTACACTTAAGTTTGCACATTGTAATGAACCTATCAACTTATATTAGCAGGAATATTCATTTTTACCAGGTTTTACTATACCAGAAAAGTTGATTAGAGAGCAGTAAGACTAAAATAAACAAATCCAAGGTTTGAATAGTATAGTTATACTACCAACTGTTTAGGTGTGACATCAGAAAGGTATTTGCATCGGGAAACCAGCGCCTACAGTGACACTTCCCATAACGGAAGAAGGGCATTACAAAAAGTCGATCCTAAAAATACCAAATTTCACCTTACCCCATGGATTTCTGTCTTCGTCAGTAAGGCTTTACAAATATGGATCAGATTCATTTAAAACCACTCATAAAGGACCATGTATGACTGATCTCAAGCAGTTATCTCTTGAGCTCTGCAATCACTTTTTTAGATGTTACTAAAATATCTACTCATCCAGTTTCTCTACCAGTTGATGAGAAGTATCCTTCAAAGATCTAGGCAACCAGGAAGTGACAACCTTCCTCACACATCTTGCAGCACACATATTGGACGACACTTACCGTAGCTCAGTAAACTATTCGATTACTTGAGGATCCTAACATAAATTTTTCTTCGATAAATGTTTTTAACACGTTTTACTAAATCATCATCACTGATAATTTTCAGTAGACAATGTAAATCGTTCATTCAGTTCATACTTGTATTTCCGTTAATTACATTTAAATATATCCTCTGGATAAAGTAAAACTGTATATTACTACTAGGTTTAATGGTTATTGTTGGTTTACCGCTAAAAAAGTACTATTTAATAAAATCAGTTCTAATCTATGTCAACATGATTAATTATTCATAGATTGCTAGTATTCGGCCATAGGTATCTTCAAAGCGTTGCCGTGTATTTTGGGACCATCGAGTGAACAATGCCTGGGCTAGGAATAGGCTGCTAGATAAAGGTGGTAAATCAATTGATGAAGTAGTAAATCTTCATCAGCTGAGGTGGTCGGGACATTTGTTACGTATGCCCAAGTACCACCTACATTGTGGGGCGATGTTGTCTGGTGTAGGAGTAGATTGGATGAAATCTAGGGAGGCCAAAACCAGAATATGACATCATTCGATGAAAAGATCAACAATTGAACTGAACCATATCGATAGACGTAGACTATCTGGTTTCGGTCCGTATGATTATTGTAATCAATGATTGGAGACTTTGAGTGATATTGCTTCAGATAGTTTACAATGACACAGTTACATCTATTCCTTGTCTATGACTGTGAATCACACCGCTTCAAATCATTTGGAATGGCTCAGTTATATTCGTTCTTTGTCTTCCTTTATATTCCGAGTTCTTAAATTCCCCATAATCGTTCTTGTTTTTCTTTCACTAATTTCTACTTTCCTTTCGAGTTGTATTTTTGATATCTAAACTTTCCCGTTACCACTGACATTGTTACTAACTCTACTATTCTGGTATTTGAAGTGACATTTTTATCTCTGTATGCTAATTGTGTAGGACAACTTTGACCTGATGTACATACTTACCGGGTTCGACTTTATGATTGACTGTTTTTAATCATTACATTGTTGAGAATACCACGTAAAGATTTAATCATAATATTTATAACATCATGGAATAATATTTTATTTTTCATTCATTCTGATTTTTTATTGTTGAAGGTTTCTGAAACTGTAGGTCTTGTTATGAAACAAATTTATAAAATAATTCATGATTGTGAAGCTTATCTTGAACCAATTATAAATGAAGTTAGTCAATCATTAAATGATACTCCAAGTACATTGGATTCAAAAAAACTTAACACTATTGCATTTGTTGAATTTATCATAACATTAATTCCTCGACTTATAATGCTATTCACATCACTTGTACCGACTTTACATGCGGATGTATTTCAAGGGGATTTACGTTTTGCTGGTAAGTTGTATATATACTTTTTGGAGAATAATATCATAATAACAGGTTATAGAATGTTCTTACTTCTATGATATACTTTACAATAAATCTGAAAGGCTACATGCCCCCAAATGCCCTGGTACGGCCGAGGGTGGGGAGAGTTCGCTCTCCCTCTCCGAATGCTCTCACATGGCCATGCGTATATAGCCTCTGCCAGGGAAATACTACTCACTGCCTTCTCGCATCACGGGTGTTGTTTACGAAAATGAGAAAACGAAAAGCGAATGTCCGGTACTTTAACCGGATCCCAAATCAATGGTGCACATGGGATCCAGTATCCTGAAGGAACAAATGACCTATGAACTAATCGTTGGTCACCGGCTACCATGAGACTGCATCTCCTTACGATGCTCCACTGCCTTGTGGATCAGACCATTAGGTCGAAGGCTCGGGGTGTGGTCCCCTAAGAAAACCACCTGCTTCGGTTTGGGCACCCGGGCAGTATCACAGCCCTCACACATATCAAATGAGTTATGTGTGGCGCATATATATTTGGTGCCTCCTTGTATCAATATCAATGTGTTCAAATAAAATAAAATAAAATAAGAAAGGCTACATTAGACATAGTTGATTAAAAGATCTTACGATAATCTCTTCCTATTACATATTGCACTACTCCCCAAAAGTTAACCTGAATCAACACAAGAAATCACTATTTTGGATTTTTTTTTAAACCGTGCACTTAAAGTTTAATTCGATACTTTGAAACTCGTATTCTCAAAGATACACAAAAATATTCTATAAATATCTACTCGTTTTTGTTTTACTAGAGTGGCTATAAAACTTGTACTTTCTTTTATATCCAGAATGGTTGGTAACTCAGTCATCATGAGTGTAGTCACTGGGGTATAGTGCAAGTACGACTGTTATTATTTTATAATTAGGCTTATCTTAATACGAGCTACATGAGGAAAATACATCGACCCATTAAAATCATTTGTATCAAGTTTTATCAGCTGAGTTAGAGGTGATGGCAAACTATCGTCCGAATTGTGCACATTAAATTGTGTTCATTAGTATTGCTCATGTGGCCGACAATTTATGAATGCTTAGGATGTCGTATTCACTACATAACCGCATGTTGCTACTTCACGAATATTTTATATCGATCTTCAGGAATTGCATCTTGAAGCTAGTCACTAGTGAACAAATGATTATTATCTGAATGGGGAATTGTGAAGATTGTAGTGATTTCAACGGTTGATTTCCTGGAGTTTTAGTGAGAAGTCTTGACCAATGGAGTCCAATTCGTTTCAGGTGTGAGACATCCACCTCAGATAATAGATGAGGTGTTGCTCAAGATCATGGATCGATTGAAGTTAGACATTAACACCGTTGGATGCTGACTCAGTGGTCTAGAGGTTAAGAGTTTGCACGTGTAACCCAAAGGTCATGGTTTCAAATCCCGCGTGCGGGATCGTCGGTGCGCACTTCTGAGGAGCCCCATACTAGTACAAAACGACGTTTTAGTGCTTTTAATTTTTCAATGGTGGTCTACCTTAGATAGACTCCTTTATTATTTATTTGTTCATTTATTATGACAGTTCCCACAGCCTTAGTAAGTAGGTCACTGACAATAATTCAGCAGAGATACAGAAAACATTTCTGACGTCTACTGATGTAGACCATCTGTGCTTTAGACCCGATGTGTCTGTCTCTCTCTAAAGAAGTTAAGTTTACTACACAAAAGTTTGATTTTTATCTCCTTCAAAACTGGAATCCTGACCAATCTAAGAAGTAAATATACAAAAATTACAAGTGATCGGTTACAGAGGTCTTTGACGTGTTAGTGGCATACAGTGGAAATATCATGTGAGTAATGTTATAATTGAATGTAAAGTCCAAATTGATAATGATAAATTCATTGATTAAGCTGTAAACTTTCATTTATAACACGGATTAATATAATATTTTAAACATGTTTAAGTACTGCCCATGTTGTTTAAATATTCAGATGACACGTTAACAATACTTTATAAGTTTTACTTACTTTACTACTCGTATATTAAATATGTAATGTTTATAAAAAGAAAACTTTATATTTAACAGTATTATAATGCAACTTGCGTTCTATATACTCATTAGTTTTATATGATAAGATTTTAGTGTTTTGTCTAATTTAATAATAAATTTAATGTTAAGTAAAAGTTAGCTTTCTAATAGCTCCCAAATGCCCTGGTACGGCCGTGAGTGGGGAGAGTTAGCTCTATCTCTCGAAATGCTCTCACATGACCACGTACATACAACCACTGCCAGGAAAGTCTTACTCACTGCCTTCTCGCGACTTACTGTTGTTCACGAAATTGAAAGGACGAAAAGCGAGTTTCTGGCAGAGGATTTAACCAGGTTGGTGGACATGGGGAGTACACCTAGAGGAGTTGCATAACCCTGATTACAAACCAACGCTACCATGAGACCTCATCTCCTTACATTGCTCCACTGCCTTGGGGATTAGACATTCGGGTCGAAGGCTCCGGGTGTGGCCCCCTAAGAAAACCACTTACTTCAGTCTGCGCACTCGGACAGTATTCCAAGCCACACAGAAATCATGTGACTTATGTAACGCCTATTAATTCGGTACTCCTTTGTACCAATATTTATGTATACAAATAATAAATATTTTTCGAATGAATTATGTTCAATTGTTTACTTTGAAACTATAAATAAATGAATATATTTGTAGATATGCAAATGAGTCGAGAAATGAGATTTTCTGACGTTTCGTGACTCAGTGTAAGCCACTTCTTCAGACTCGACTTTGTTTTGATTAATCGCACATAATATTTTTGTGTTGTTCCTTTCAACTATTTAAACTTGGATTAATTTTGATTTGGTTATTTATTTATTCTCTGAAGAAGTGGCTTACACTAAGTCACGAAATGTTAGAAAATCTAAATTTTCTACACATTAGGATATCTACAAATCTATTTTTTTACTTATAACAATCCACTGAATACTCAATTTATTCGAAATTATCAAATCTAACCTTTGTAATGATACCTACTACTTATTATGAATTGTAAGTATTTATTTTCTGTATTTTATAATTCAGGCTACATAGTATGTTTAGATAAGTCTCTAACTTAGTTACATCATACATGAGGAAAGATTTAGGATAAGGTTGATTACTCTTATTTATAGTCTTATTGTATCAATATTGTTTATCGTTATTACACTTTCATGATCATTCTACAATGTTTCAGAAATTAATGCATAGAAAGAGAGATAAATGATTTTTTGTGTATAAGTTAAGCTTCGATTACAATTATTCTCTTATAATGTTCAGTGATTTCGAGTTCACACTATAAATGAATTATCTACTTCAAAGAAAACTACATTATTGATGGTTTTGACAATCTGGGAGTATGACCTCTGTGTCTGTTTGATGTCGGTTAATCATGCCTTTTTTTCTAAGTAGTTTTAAATAAGTTAGCTTCATACTATTAAGATCTTATCTTCTATGACGAAAATCCATGGGGCCCAAGGTAAAGTTTGTTATTTTTAGGGTCAACATTTTCCAACTCTCGCCTTCGATTGTACTATCCCTTGAAATCCAACTTATCTAAGCTTTTATTCAGTCAGAAGCATAGTTTCGTCCTCGGATCTTGAATTTGTTGCTTTTAGACTTACTGCTCTCTAATAGACATAGATACTATATTCAGACTTAGAGCAACAAATATCTCAGCCAACATATAGGTTGATTAAATGATCACACTATGTAAACCTGAACACCACATGAGTTTAGGATCTGCGACCGGTGCTGATGTATTCACTGTTAGTCTGAAACTAGATTTTGTATTTCATCATTTCTTCATATTTGCCTTATCGTTGCGTCTTTCGGAATCAATATTCTTGATGTTCAATCTTTCACATTATCACTTTGATTCATTTTCAATTCATCTTGTCGTACTAGTATGGTCCAGCTAATTGAGTCAATGCATCGACACGTCAGGCTGTATGTTGATAATGACTTATACTGACACTATCGCCTATTTGTCTCAGTTGTGGTTAGAAAGGTCACAAGTAGGTAAGAATAATCTGATGACGATAACAGTAGATAGTGATTAGGCTTCAACCACAAAATGATGTAAAAACGCCTTATATTGTAAGTGTTCATCAATATTTTTGAAGTACCATTCAATCTATTATAGTTGTTACTAAGACATTTTCCCCAATTCTTAGTGTCCTTACTATTGTGTCAAACATTTGATTTCAGAAGAAAACATTTTTCCTATACTGTCTCTCATTTTCATTTGTTTTCTTAATAAGATATATCTGTATTGCTAACTTTTATTTATTTATTTATGCAAAAACACATAAACATCGGTACAAGAAGGCACCAAACAGATATGCGTCACATCAATCATTCGATTTGTGTGAGGGCTCAGATACTGCCCGAGTGCCCAAACCGAAGTAGGTTGTTTCCTTAGTGGGCCACGCCAGGACCTTTGACCTAAAGGTGTAATGCACAAGGCGGTGAAGCAATGTAAGTAGATGCGGTCCCATGGTAGCCGGTGATAAACAATTGGTTCATATGCCATTTATTCCCTCAGAATCCTGGAGCTCATGTGCAGCATTGGTTTGTAATCAGGGTTATCCAACTCCCCTAGGTGACATTTCCGTGTCCACCAACCCGGTTAAAACGCCGAACATTCACTTTTCATCCTCTCAATTTGACTCTCCTCACTCTCGGCAATACCAAGGCATTTGAGGGCAAATTTACTTTTATAGATTAATATATTTCTTGATGTGATTTCGTTGTCTCAGTTTCACATTTCTAACAATAGTAGTGTTAATTCTATCGAAGCGTCTACTTGACCTGATTGAGATACGCGCGAAACCGAAGTTCCAAAACAACGATTTGTTTACAATAGCGGTTCTTTATTGAATAATACACAAATTTTAGTTACATACCTCAACTTGTGAGGTGTCTGTGGCGTTTAAACGCGTCCTTCAAGTATAAAGATAAAAGGCTTCCTGTAACAGCAACATAAAGAATAATTATAACATACGATAGTACAAAGGACAGCTGATAGCTGTGTCTAAATTTGATAGCAGTTTATGGACAACCGAAACTCGAACCGAAAGCAAAACAATATCGAAACTGTTGCGTTTAAACAAATGCACGAAACTGTGGATAAACGTTACAGTGGTTAAGGTACAGTAATTATAATGATAAGTACAATAAATGTCATAAATATATGTGAATAATTCAGAATAATACACTACAACTTGCGTTACAACATAAGTGTAAAATTGTTGGGAACACAATTGCTTACTGAATGTAAATAAGTAGTACAAAACAATATACAAAAGAGTGGAAAAGAAACGAGTAGGAACAATGTAAGCAAACATAACAAGTAGTAATATTAATACTTATTACCATTAAAATATTATGTATAACTCTCTGTTTATTTTTTATCCTTTATTTTTCTCTTCTATTTTCAGTTCTCTACTACAATGATTGTATGTATTTAGCTCATGAATGTTTAACATTAAGTGAACGTAGTCTTTATAAATTTGTTCAACAGTTTTTAGATTTAGGTTATGATATAATGACTAATACATTGAACAATACCAATAATACATCAAATGAATCAAATAAAATTAATCATTTAAGTGTATTAGAGAGATCAGCTTCTTTAAGCACATGTATTTTGGTACCACATTTACGTCAATCTGGTGTTAATAATTTATTAGATCATTTAAGACGTGAAAGACAATTTTTATTACAATGTGTTGAAAGAATTCAAGGATTTCATGTAAGTTTCTTTTTATGTAAGAAAGTTTATCTTTGTGTACAATTTTAATGTTTACACTTTCTGTTAATAGTTTTTTTTTTCTGTTTTCTCAAATTGTATACAAAATTCATCTGTGTTTATAAACATACATATTTCTGATAAATAAAATGTACCTTCTTTGGGAAAATATTTGATGACAGAAGTAAACTATGTGCATGATCATAAGCCAATCAGATTTGAAACAGTAATTTGTCTTGGATTTTCACGTGGAATTTTAAAACTTACATACTTTCTTCTGTTACTCCTCACGGAGGAGCATAGGGCCGCCCAATAACACTCTCCATCCAACTGTGTTCTGGGCAGTCCTTTCCAGTTCTTTTTAGTTGTTATTCATCCTTTTCATATCTGCTTCTATTTCCCGACGTAATGTGTTGTTTGGCCTTCCTCTATTCCACTTCCCTTCAGGATTCCAAATTAGGGCTTGCCTCGTGATGCAGTTTGATGATTTGCGTAATGTATGTCCTATCCATTTGCATCGTCTTTTCCTAATTTCCTCTTCAACTGGAACGTGGTTTGTTATCTCCCACAGAAGATTGTTGCTGATGATATAAGTATAATTCAAAGCTAAGTACAAATATATCTATTTGATAATCAGACAATGGTGGACGGTGTCTCAATTTAGTCGATTGGTTGAAGTTAGACATTAACACCGTTGAATGCCGGCCGGCTCAATGGTCTAGAAGTTAAGCGTTCACGCGTGAGACTGATTTGTCTTGGGTTCGAATCCCACGAAGTGGTGTCGTGGATGCGCACTGCTGAGATGTACCATACTAAGATGAAATGACCGTCCAGTGCTTCCAGATTTACCATGGTAGTCTAACTTCATCTCCACAAAACTTTTTCTTATAATAATAATAATCAATTATTAATTAGTTTCATAGTATTACAATGATAGTTTAAACATATTTCAAATGATTTTCTGTTAATTAACATTATCTATATGAAAAGATGCCATTCTCAGTTGTTCTAATCATCAAATTCCATTATTAAAATTTGACATAATATTAATAATAATAATAATAATAGTTTGATCTTTCATTAGTGTTATTTCCATCATCTGAATGATAAACACTATTCTATATTGTATGATATAAACAAACTGATCAATTCTATATTGGATAACATTAAGCATATGATAAACATATTTACACGTAGAATAAATATCTCTTTCTTAATTTATCATTAACAAACTAGTGTATATGGTTGTGTAAATTATGCAAATGAACTTTTGACCGGATGATTGTATATCATAGAAAGGTATGACTGGCCTCCGACCATTCATATATATATATATATATATATATATATATATATATATATATATATAGAGAGAGAGAGAGAGAGAAGGATTGCATAAACAATGCCAATTATTTTGTTGTTTATTTCAAGTTATTAATTGAATGTTCGTTACATAGTGCAAGTTTATTATTATTATTACTATTATTGGTGTGTGTGTGTGTATGTTTGTTCTATTAGAAACTTAGAAGTACAATATCGTGACCATGGGACTAATTAAACTAACTATAATATGGGCGTTACTACTGTCATAAATGTGATATGATACACGAGATACTAGGATTTCTATTTATTTCTATTTATCGTCAGGATAGATGAAGAAACAAGGAGAGGAGACTTGATGAAATACTTTGTGCTGAAAATTCTATATTGTACCAAAAATCTGATATTGAATAAGGTCACTAATAATCACTAATAATAATAATAATAATAATAATAATAATAATAATAATAATAATAATAATAATAATAATAATGGGATCAAAGGTGGAAAGGGATGTTGAATAAAAAAAATTACACACTACTAAGGCTCTGGCAATTCATCGATCCAAGCCTTAACACTGCGTGTAACTCCTCAATCTTCCATGACCCTAATATTCTTTTCCAATGTGTTTTGATTATGTTTTTGAGTTCTACTTGAAGCTCTTCTAGGTTTACTCTCGATCTCAAGCCCAGATAAATGAAACTGGTTGGACATGTGGTTAACAACTCTGTTTCTTAACGAAGATCCTTGCCAAATATCCTTTTATTTTATTTGCGCCTGTTACCTTTCGTGAAGCTTGAACCACTGACCGTGATCATCATCTGTAAACTTTTTTGTATGATTATCATTCAATGGTTATTATAACTTATACATTTTTTCATTTCCTCTTCATATCTGTAAACAGTTACCTCTCATATTCCTGACCAACAAATTATTCTTATCCTTACCCCATTTCTCTATAACCTCTCTATATTTAAAATCTTGAATCACTTTATGATGCAATTCTTTTTCTATTCTCTTATAGACTCACATATATATTTATCAAACAAGTGTAACAAATATACAACTTAAGTAAATGGGAACAAAAATTTCTGTGTTGAATTCTCTTTGCTTTTTTTTTGTTGATTCATTGACACAACCAATTATTTTTGATTAACAATGATTATTGAACTCATATATTTGTTATAGAATGTCAGTTCTTCAATTGGTAATCGTCATTGTACTACTGCTATAGAAGATTGTTGTCATCAATTGCATAAAATTTCAGAAGCACTCAGTCCACTTCCTCGTACAGTTTATTTTCGTGCTATGGGTAAGTTTATACTAAATCGATCTGGATATATATTTTTTGTTTTATACACATAAACATTCGTATAAGGAGGTACCAAAAACATATATTCCACACCCTGTCATTCGATTTGTGTGAGGGCTGCGATACTTCCTGGGTGCTCAAAGCAAAGCAAGTGGTTTTCTTTTGAAGCTACATTCAAAACCTTTGATCTAAAGGTCTAATCCATAAGGCAGTGGAGCAACATTAGAATATGCAGTCTCATGGTAGCCGGTGATCAAGAATAAGTCCATACACCATTTATTCCCTCAGGATCCTGGAGTTCTATGCACCATTATATATGTACCTCATTGTTTTTTTGATGCTTGGTTAGTTTAAATAATGCTAGAATGAATCACGTTCTCTGAAGCAAGGATAGAGAAAATATTTTGAATCTTGTAATAATAATGATAATAAATTTTTTAAAGGGTCATCGTATTTTGGTTTGAACGGATGTGAATTTCACCAAACTACCTTAAATTTAGCAATGTCTTAAGGTTAAAATAACGAGTTTCATTTTTGGATATGTAATGATACCGTTATTAAACTTAAAAAAGAAATGAGAACAAATTCTATGTAAAAAACAATGAAAAATGAGTTATTTATTTTGGTACGGATCTATAAAGCTCGTTTAGTTTTCTGCCAACTTACATCCCTTATGAGGTAGGTACACGAGGTACTCGTTTACCAACCCAAAAACAAGTTAACTGGACACCTGTATGTCCTGTTCTACTTTGTCGCTGTGAATCTTGACCTTTATAAATAAAGGATATTCGTATATTACTATTATTTGATCATATTTACCTGGCGTAAGTTGAGACTATCGAGTGAGCAACGGTCAGGCTATATCTAGGGTATTAGATAAAAGATTACAAATCGGTCTATGAATTAATCAATATTCATAGACTGAGATTACTGAGACATGTATTACATAGCCTAACCACTACCTACCTACCTAGACAGATGATGTTGACTGATGGAGTCGGTTGAAATTACAGTAGGGATGGCCAAACTATAATGTGATTGTTAAACTGGGTTGTAGTGGCAGTTAGGTACAGAATATCTGGTTGGAATCCGTGCAATTATTGCAACCAATTGTTGGAGACGCTCGATGATATGGCTGCGTATCAGTCACAGTGGTGTAAATACATTCACTCTTTGTCTTCCCTCAGATATAGAATTTCAAATTGATCATATATATATAATACGTGGGTCACAGATAGTTTTTGAATAAACAGGCCTGCCACCTTGATGCGGTGAACGGTCTTACCTTCTATAATGACCTAACTTAGCTATATTGGCCGAAACAACCGTTTTTACCTTTACAGGTGAGTCAACTAAAGAGCGATAATACTTACATCAACAAGTTTAAATTCTGAGAGTGAATTACTGTTGGTTACTATACTGAGATGTAACGGTATCCGAAGTTTTTCTTTCACCTCAGACATCCAGTATCCAGCACCTTTGATCTATGTTAAGTGGTGCCAACTATTTCGTAGTGATTACGGCGATAATTACAGTCGGTAGTTGGAAACGTTGTGTGACATGAATCAGAATTTATAATAACGGGGCAAAAATACATTCACTTGTTATCTTTGTTGGCTGTTTACTTTGCTAATTTCATCTCGTCGTGCTGATGTAGTTTAGAAACTTGTACTGACGTATATATATATATATATATATATATATATATATATATATATACTAATATTTCTGTACCTCATCAGACTACTTCAATTCAGGTTAAGTTGACTGAACAATGTCTATGATCTTTCTGTATCCAAAATGAGTATGGTAAATGTTACTGTTAGTAAGTTTACTTCATGAATATTTGACTGAAGTCTTTCAAATTTGACTAACTTCACTTCTAGTGTGAAATGTTTAACAATTTTATTACATGACCATCTACGTCAGTCAGCTATAACGTAGGACCAGGCACGTATATGCATCGATCCAAGTTGCCATACCGCATTAGCACAACAAGATGAACACCGGATTCATAGGAGTAGTTAAGTCAATGGTGGTAATATATAAAAGAAGGATTGCATATAAGGATAGAGTACAGGAAGAAGGATTTGGTACGTAGAAAGAAAGATATGAAGCAATTTTAATCTCACGGTTTAAGGGAATACAGAAAGTTTATACACCTACGCCATTGTGATCGGTTGTGAGCCATCTCACCCAGAGTCTCCAACGATTGGTTACGATAGTCACACGGACCCCAACCAAGTAGTCTGCATCTACCACCAACATGGCTCAGACTGGGAGTTAGTGACTTCAAGCACTGATGCCACGTTTTGGTTTGGCCGCCCTTAACTTTCTTCCAATTATCCCCTACACTAGTCAGCATTGCGCGTCGTGGTAATCGGTGTTCAGGCATACGCAAAACGTGGCCTAACCATCTCAGTCGATGAAGATTCATAACCTCATCAACTGATTTACCATCATTCCCTAGTACCCTGCGTCTAATCTCACTAATACTTACCTGGTGATCCCAGCAGATGCGAGCAATAATTCTAAGACATCTGTGATCAAATATTAGTAGCTTATGAGTATCTTCAACTCTTAGTGTTCATGTTTCGCAGCCGTATAGTAGAACGGAACGAACTGCCGCGCAGTATACTCGTCCCTTAATTGATAAACGGATATCTCGCCTGCGCCATAGATGACGTAAGTTGGCGAAAGCTGAGATTTCGACAAACACCAACCCATTAAGACTGATCAGCGTCCTCACCAAACAGGACCATGTCATCTGCGTATTGTAAGTCGATAAGTGATTAGTCGAACTATTTTCAAGCACACATTACTTAAGTAGGTAGTTACTTAAGAGTTTATTACCCTATACACTTCTACTTCACTAAAAAATTATAACAATATAGTTTACAATTTATTCTACATTGAATGATCTAAATAATTAAAGTCATTATATTTTGTTCATTATCATATGGTTTCTTTTTCTTTTATTCCTTTTTTTTAATTTTCAGGGATCATGTGTAATTGTGTATGTACGGAATTAGTAAAAACTATCTTGAAGTTAATCGATATCACGAAATCCGATTGTGATAACATTCTGATCTTGTTGGAGTCTATCAAAAACACTGTAAGCCATTATTATTATTATTATTATTATTATTATTATTATTATTATTATTATTATTATTATTATTATTATTATTATTATGGTGAAGCTGAAGTATAAGGACGAGCTTGAGTATATCTGTAAATGATTTTCTGATAAGCCATTAACAGATTCAGCTGATCAGAATGCATTAATTATGTATGGATGAGTGATTTATGTGGCCCATGATTAGAAATTCTATAAGTTGAGTATGTATAGTCAGGATTAGAATATATAGCTTAATTTTGCAATTGTAACTATGATATAATGCTTATAATTTAGGTTTGTAAGATTTAAAGGATTGATATATCTTCACTCCAAAAACCCCCATATTAACACGAAACTCTACATTCTAACAAATTTTTCAAATGGTACATTTTCATATTCTATTGAATAGACTTTTTTAACGTGATCAACTGTTAGCTCTTATTTTATTTCATCTAATTCATCATTTGTAGACGACCCGTTCAATTGATAGATGGTGCTTTATGGCCTTGAAACGATTTCCTGGTTCATAATTGATTCACCTTTATAGCTCAGTTTAGCCATTATTATTATTGACTATTTAAATAGATATATTTAGACCAGGAAAACAGATTAATAGTAATAATAATCCATTGTCTTTGTCGTTATCATTAAGCTTAACAGTTCAATATTTTTTCGATCATGGGAGCCATAGAGATGAAATATAATTAGTAATAATTTAACTCATTCACTACGTAATCCAGATAAAACACATACTCTAAGTGTGTTTTCCATGATAGGATAACTTTAATCTTTGTCGGATCACGGTTAATACAGATTTGTATCCTAGATAAATCAACTTCTATACAACTACTTTAATGGTACATTATCTTTCGACTGTTGGTTTTCACATTCGAACTCCGTTCTGCCTTTTGGGGGGAGGGGGACAAGTTTGGTAGTATTTCTAGCTCTGAAATAATACGGTGATTGATCACCTAATAAAGACAACAACCATATGTAGCCATTAAGTATGATGTTCAAGGTAGTAACCTTTTCTTTACTGTGTAAATTTAAAGACACAGTAAACTGAGAATCTTTTAGTGCAATGTGATTTTTTGTTCCTGATTTTACATTATCTTTAACGTGATCTATTTCAATAATCAGAGAAGGGTTTTTGTCAATATTATAGTAATTTAGTAGTTGAATTCATTAGTCAACTGAAGCTAGACCACCATGGAAAATCTGGAAGCACTGAGCGGCCGTTTTTCCATGAGGACAAGGTTTATTTGACGCTCTTCATTTCTGTTTAAACAATATACGAAGATTAACGAGAATATTTTTGTGATATACAGGGAGATATTTTTACATATGGATTTAATATCTCTTAAAGGGTTGTTGACAAAATCAGATTTTTATAAGATCTGAAGTTTTTGCTTCCATTAATTCTAAGGTACACGGTGCGTTGAGAATTAAAAACAGACATAATGAATAGCAATAATAATAATAATAATAATAATAATAATAATAATAATGAATGGCAACTGGAAAGGAAAGCCTATGAAAGTGTTGGTTGGAGGTTAATGGTCGACAGCTTATGCTCCTCAAGGTTTAACAAGTGTAAGTAAATAGTTACACAGGAAGATGATGAAAGGTTGGCAAAACTTGATTTTACAGCTGAACAACTCATACAATCGCTAAGGTCATACAAATAGACAAATGATAAAGAAACGCTAGCAGTTACTATTACTAGCATGATTATAACATTCTAAACCAAAAAAAGAAACACACTAATCCTGTAATTGCTTTATCATCAGTTTACTGATGATTTATTTTTGCCTTTTATTGTTTCGACCCAATTTTTCCCCTCTCTCCACCCTTCTTTCTCGCCCTGTTTATGTAATCGATCGGTTAGTGTGTCCTCATATTGTTAACTATATTTTTCTCTTATTATTTACATTTTATCCTTTTTTTCTCATCCTAAATAAATAAAAGAAGGATTAAAAAACTATTCATTCCTTCCTTCCTTCCAATTTGTTCTAAATACTTCACTTTATATAAGACCTGAAACTTTATAGATTAAAATAAATTATACAAATAACCTTGAACTGTTTTTCAACGAATATGTGTAAATTCTGTTTAGTTTTGAAATGATTTACCAATAAGAATTTGATAAATAGTTTCCATATAAATAATAAATGTTTTCTATTTTAAATAATGAAACTTTTCATCATAGATGATTCGATCAGCTGTAATTATTTAAATGAATTTCGCTTTGAAATCTGATTGGTTCATTCATGTGTTTTATTTTTACCGCCTAATATTTTCATAATTTAATGAATAAGATTTTGTTTACTTCATCCAATGATGTTTTTCGTTGATTATTATTATTATTATTATTATTATTATTATTATTATTATTATTATTATTATTATTATTATACTGTAACCTTAAGGTATTTACCCTGGTCAATCAATATTTCGCTTGTTTGAACACACACACACACACCTCTCCCATTTAAGGAAGGGAATTTTGTGTTGTGACCTGATAATTCTTTATGTCAGTAGAATAGACAGGAAGTTAATTTGAAATCAACTATGTATCTTCGTTGTTATTCAGAAAACTGTGGGGGTGGTTGGTTGGTTGGAAAACCCAGTTGAATATCAAGATTTTATGAATGTATTTTGGTGTTTGATTCCAAGTTATTATTTAACAAGAAAGAAAGTGTTTTAGTAAATATGTTGATGATAATATGGAAGGATGAGGCGGAGTCGGCGAATTTGTTACTATATTACTTGAAATTGTTCATCATCATGGTTTTAGTGCGTGGGCTGAGATACTGCCCGGGTGCCCAAACCGAAGCAGGTGGTTTTCTTAGGGGGCCACACCCCGAGCCTTTGACCCAAGGGTCTAATCCACAAGGCAGTGGAGCATCGTGAGGAGATGCGGTCCCATGGAAGCCGGTGACCAAAAGTTGGTTCATACGCCATTTGTTCCTGCAGGATACTGGAGCCCATGTGCACCATATAATTGGGATCCGGTTATAGCGCCGGACGTTCGCTTTTCGTCCTCTCATTTTCGTAAACAACACCCGTGATGTGAGAAGGCAGTGTGTAGGACTTCCCTGGCAGAGGCTGTATACGCGTGGCCGTGTGAGAGTATTTCGAGAGGGAGGGCGAACCCTCCCCGCTCTCGGCCATACCAGGGCATTTGGGGGCAATGTTAGTCTGGCTGTAAAAGGTCGGATCTACAACGCGTCGGTGAGAGCAGTTTTGCTCTATGCTTGTGAAACCTGGCCTCTCCGAGTTGAGGATGTTAGACGACTCTCTGTGTTCGATCATCGTTGTCTCCGAAGGATTGCTGGCATCCAATGTCAACACCATGTCAGTAATGCAGAGGTTCGACATCGAGTGTTCGGTCACAGATACGATAATGAAATTGGTGTCACCATCTTGAAACACCGACTTCGGTGGCTTGGACATGTTCTACGAATGTCGTCCCAAAGAATTCCACGTTGTGCATTATTTGCCGACTCTGGGACTGGTTGGAAAAAGCGGAGAGGTGGTCAGTATATGACATGGTGTCGTGGTATGAAAGAAAGCTGCAAAGGGCTGGCTTCTGTTGGTTCTTCACGACTCCCTGGTTGGGGTCCGAAAGACGGTGTAACGCAGTGGCTAGAGACGTTATCAGAATAGAAGCCAGTGGCGATCCTGCTGTAACCTTTTACTTTCTTCATAAAAAGTGTTTGTATCTTCCTTAACTGAAAGATCTCTTCTGATTGTACCTTTCCGTTTTCCCCATCATTGTTCTCTCTCTCTCTCTCTTTTTTTTTATTTATCTATAATTCCCCACGTTCATTACTTTTTTTTTCTCTTTTCTCCTTCTCTTCAAATTATCATTGTTTTGTGTGGCGCATATATATTTGGTGCCCCCCCTGTACCAATATTTATGTGTTTAAATAAATAAATAAATAATAAATAAATATTATTTGAAAATTGTTCGTTCTGGATACCTGTTGTTTTCTGAATTAGCCTTCTATCAATCGAGAATTTGTTGTAGACTGATAGATCCCTGTCTCACAAAAGTATTCGTCACTCCATAGATCTATGTAATAAACTAGTCATCTTTCCACTTTTTCAACCCAGTCTTATTGTCGGGAAACAATACACAATGTAGCAGCCGTTAGGATAACATTCGTAAAACATGTCCAAGCTACTGATGTCAATGTTTCCTGTTGATGGCACCAATAGAGTTATGGTCACTGTGGTGTTCCCCTTGGATATCAGCAATCCTTTGAAGAACCTTTTCTAACTTCCTTCCTTCATGAGTGAGCAGCATCACTTAAGATTCTGATCGTTTAACAGAAACACTGTCATACCCCAACATAGTCACCAGTATGACTTTGATCTAGAATCTTTTACTTTTTATTTTGTCAATTCTCAATCTACCTACGTTGGATGGTAGGACCTAAATTAAGAAATTTTTCAGTCGTTATAGCTCAATTCAGTTATTACAAGCCTTGATCACGACGTCAAGTTAACAGCTACGATTGAACTTGACTATTCTAAAGAATTATTTTTCCTTTTTTGAGATTTTCTCAATGTCCACAAACAAGACATTGTATTGATCTTATTATTGTTTGTTTATTATTGGTTGATGTTGGTTAATGATGAATTTATTATTTGCTACTTTTTAAGTATCCATCACTTCGTAGAAGTTTTATGTTGATCGACTCCATAAAGTTTGATGTAAATTTATTCATGTATGATTACTCGTTAGTTGCTACTAATATTGAACTGATTCATGTAAGTAGCTACAGACTATCTTGTTGAGATCTAGGTGATTATCAAAATCAGTGGTTGGAAACCCTGGGTAGTATGACTTAAAATCGTTCGCAATAGCGTACGAATATTCACTTTTTTGTCTTTGTCATATTTTCTTTTCAAGTCCTATCTTCGATGCCTGATGTTTTTCATTTCTACTAATACTATTACTATCTTGTTCTATCCTGGGCATTTTCCTGACAATCTCATTTCACTGTGCTAATAAGCTCTGGTAGTTTGAACTGATGTACACATGTTCCGTGTTCTGTATTGTGTATGACCGACTAATACCATTACATAGTTATTTAAATGAATAAACCCTGATTCAAACTTTGCTGTTTTACAGTTCACATATAGTTAGCTAAATCATTCGATCCTACATTATGTACACTATATGTTTTCTCGTATACAAAAAAATAACTAGCAAGGTATTCGTCCTCGTTGTTATTGTTGGGGCCATTAAGAATTTAATATGTTTACCTAATTTTCTATCCTATTGATTAGATCATGGAATTTTTCAAACCTTCTGAAGTCGTACATCAGCCGCCGACAAAAGAACCAATAATTAAATCACAGCATGTAAGTAAATTTTTTGTTTTATGTTAAATGAATATGAGGAAAAATGAAGTTATTACTGTATGAAAGATTTGTGGGAATTGTTGAGTTTCATAAGTGACATCATGGACTAAAAAAATTTGTTTTGTCCGAGTTAAGCTCTTACCGCTAAACTTAAAGGTCCTTTGTTCGATACCCTGTGGTGGGGTCGTGGATCTACACTGTCACTGAAGAATTCCATGCTATACGTATTAGTTGTCCGGTGCTTCTTGATTTTCACTGGCTGACTTCCTAAAATCAGTGCGCGATGTAAACTACTTAACATTTCATTTACCTGTTGGATTGATGTCGGTGTTTGACAAAACGTTTTTTGTACTTAATAATAAATGTCGCCTTTTAAGTTATTCGTTGCGAGTTTCGAAATGTTAAATGTTTTGTTGGAAGTGAAACAATCAGAATCCTTGCCTACACTGAATTAAATCCTTTTCGGGTTAGTTCTGTGTTGTGGGTTACTTATATCCACACAAGTAGTATATAACGGTTGTCAGGCATAGGATGTATTTCAGCAGAATATCGATAAGGAAAGAATGGGATCGGAACGCACTTAGTATGAAAACGTATGAATAATGAAATCTAAGACCATGAATTGATGTTTGCAACAGGATGAATTGATGTTTCGCAAATTGACGATTTACCATATGGTTCTCAGATTTTATTGAGATTCTCTGTAATTTCGTGTCAAATACATTCTATTGTCCCCACTGGTGTTCTGGTCCACTACAGTACTCGTGAAATATGGGCTTACATTACCGTTCTACTTAACGTGTGTTGAATACCTTAATCGATAAATAGTTTGTAAATTAGGACCCCAAATGCCCTTGTACGGTCGAGGGTGGGGAGAGTTAGCTCTCCCTCTCGAAAGGCTCTCACGTGACCACACATATACAGCCACTACCAGGGAAGTCCTATTCACTATCTTCTCGTGGCATTACTGTCGCTTACGAAACTGAGAGGACGAAAAGCGAATGTCAGGCGAGGGCTTTAATCGAGTTAGTGGACACGGAGGATCCACCTAGGGGAGTTGAAAAACCTTCATTCAAAACCAATGGTACACATGGGCTTCAGAATCCTGAGGGAATAAATAGCATATGAACCAATTATTGGTCACCGGTTACCATGACACTGCATCTCCTGACGTTGCTCCAATGCCTTATGGATTAGACCTTTAGGTCAAAGGCTCCGGGTGTGGCCCCCTAAGGAAACCACTTACTTCATTCTGGGTACCCGGGTAGTATCACAGCCCATACAGAAATCAAGTGACTTGTGTGGCGCATATGTATTCGGTGTCCCTTTGTACCAATAGTGCGTGACATGTAAATTTTGTTGTTTTACACTATCTTATCATAACTGTGAATTAGTTATTTGAATCATCCCATTGGTGTTGAGAATTACAATTGATCAGTATCTATTTTTTTGAGAGGGAGAGAGAGAGGTGTGTACGCTATGTGGATTACTTTGATATTGCCATTAATTCACAAACAGTTTGATAAGCTGAAATGAATCAACTTTTCAACTGAATTTACCTGGTATATTCAAGAGTTAATGTTTATTCTGGGACATATAGAACGAAACATGCGTCTTGGATTCATCTGCTGGCCAATATCAGTAATTTAGTGGTTCATTTGTAAAAACAAAACACAACTAGAATGTATTTCCTATAATGAAGGATAAATATCTTTATTGGATACGAACTAAGATGCTAAATGTTCCAAGTTATTTGTGTCTTTTTTATTCGCATAAAATCTGGTACGACTTTGCACCAAAAATAATATGTTGCAGAAGGATGTCTGTGTGTAGACTGTTGTACCACTATCTGTGAACCTAAATTGAGACAAATAGTTTCCTTACGTGAACATTGCTCGAGTCTATGGTTAAAGGTCTTATCGAAATCGCATTTAAACAATGTCAGGGTTTATCATCCTATGGTAGCCAGTGACTGAAAGTAGGTTTATGTATTATTAGTTCCTTCAGGATTCTGAATCTTATTTTATTCATTGGTTTTGGAACCATAGTTTTCCTATTCCATTATGTGGACCATCCGGGTGCATCAACCATGTTTAAGCACTGGAATTTCAATTTTCGTTCTTTTATTGTAAACAACACCTACATGTTGTAAAGAAAGTGATCATGTCTTCTCTGGAAAGACATATAACCTCATGACTGTAACAGCATTCCGAAAAGGTGATCGAATTTTCTTCATCTTCAACTATACCAAGATATTTAGAAACTGATCATTTATGTTCTGCTTGTCGTTATTTGATTGATTTTATTCACTAATAACATCAATTCCATGTTAAATTAATTCTTTTTATGATGCTATTGAATTGAGTAATGAAAATAAGGTTTAAAAAGGTTAAATGCATTTCTACAACAACACAATTATATATACCGTTTTAAAATGTACTATGTAAGTTTGTATTATCAGTGCTCTGTGTCGAAGTGCTGAAAAATGTAGAATGAGAGTTATTTTACTTATCGGAACATACACAATTCACTGACATGTATGTGTACATTATTTATTGAAATGATTCTTATTAAGACGTGTCAATTTACGAGCTTCGTACCGATATTGTATTTCAACATGTGTTAGTCATACTTATCTAATGATTGATATAAAATTGATTGACTAAATTGTTGTTAAACAATTACAACAACAACTACTACTACTACTACTACGTAAATATTGCATTTCAGCCTTGTTAAACTAATATTAATCTAAAATTTGACTTGTTAATTCACATTATTCATATGTATTGGGTTAATTAAATTATGGCATGTCCAACTTTTTAACAGGTTTCAAATATATACAAGAAATGATTTGTCTCTTAAACGTCACTATAATCTATAACTGACTATAATCTCTATACAACTTCATATGTTGTTTTTATTCATTGTCGATAACAATAAAATTTTTATAAGTAACCATGGATAATGGCTAGCAGTGAAATCAAGGACTCACATTTCGTCCTATTTGGAACTTGTCAGCTGAATATATGTGCATCTCAGAGTTTGATGTTCACTCAACCCAGTACCGTTCACTTCAAAACGCCATCGCGTTATCCACTTAGTTACTGAGTCTTGTTAGCCACTTGCTTGTGAAATGTATCTTTGCTTTATAATGCTTGTGAATTAAGGCAATATCGAGGCAATACGCATAGTATGCACATATGCCAATAAGAGACTGATCAATATCAGTCCTAAAGATCATTGTGAAGATTCAAGTAAACAATACTAAGTGAATACAATTATTGGTTTAATTTTATTAAATGAGTAATATCTTCTTGCAAGTAAATTTCAGGTACTTGTGTACGACCTTTACTCTAAATAGTAGGTCTGATGTTACTACCCGGCTGCCCAAACCAAAATAGGTAGGGTTGGGTTTCGAATCTCGAACTCCGAAGCCGTATGTCGAATGCTTCAACCGCTAAACTACCGCCTTCGTATTTGGTGTATATGTGAATGTCATTTAAGCATCTGGTTTACGTTTTTTTTATAGCTACACCGTTGTCAATGGGATAGAGTTGCTAACCCAATCTTTAAGAAAAAGAGAGAGGTAGAGTAGAACGATATTACTCACCTGGCCAATTCGAAGTAGAGGAAGAGGGACTCGAACTTGAAACCTAATGGTATGATAAAGCCCCTAAATGCCCCGGTACGGCCGAGAATGGGGAGAGTCCGCTCACTCTCTCAAAATGCTCTCACGTGGCCATGCGTATATAGCCTCTGCCAGGGAAGTCCTACTCACTGCCTTCTCACATCATGGTTGTTGTTTACGAAAATGAGAGGACGAAAAGCGAATGTCCGGCATTCTAACCGTATTGGTGGAGATGGAGAGTCTACCTAGTGGAGTTGGAAAACCCTGATTCCAAATCAATGGTGCACATGGGATGCAGTACCCTGAAGGAACAAATGGCGTGTGAACCAATTATTGGTCACCGGTTACCATGAAACTGCATCTCCTTACGATGCTCCACTGTCTTGTGAGTCAGACCTTTAGGTCAAAGACTCCGGGTGTGGCTCCCTAAGAAAACCACTTGCTTCGTGGGTTTGGGCACCCGGGCAGTATCACAGCACTCGCACATATCAAATGAGATTTGTGTGGGGCATATGTATTTGATGCCCTCTTGTACCAATATCAATGTGTTCAAAAAAACTAATCATAGCGAATAGTATATTGTCACATGAATTTTGACAAATCAATCTAAATTGACAGTTGATACCAGTTTCTATACGAATCAAATTTCTGAAAGTAATTCTCATAAAAATAATTCTAAAACTAAGTTACTATTTATATTCATTTTTATATTATCGTTTATTTGGTTTTGATTATTAACTCCTTATACAACTGATAGTATATAATCAATAGAATTCAATCAACAGTACTAACACAATAGGGGAAACTATAATTTATGGGTGAAACAATCAGATCTTGTATTTTGGCAAGAAGTTCATTCGCTCATTTAGTCATATATCATTTTAGTATTATAGCTGATGTCAGTTCGTGATGAAAACATTAAATTGTATTCCTCACATTAATATATAACCCTCATACAAACTTGGTAAGTGAATAGAAATTCCAATGTCATTTTGGCGTTACTCAAATATCGTCTCTAAATTATAGCCTCATTATAGATTGGATAATATAACATTGATGACTGCTTAGTAATCAATCAGTTGTATATAGTCGTAATATCTCTGACTATGAAACTGGATAAGAAGTTTGAATCACTTACAATCAATGTCAGTTCTATCAAAATGACAACTATATCTTACTGTCTCTCCTAGTACTAACTAACATGAGACTTAAATCAAATAACGTTTCTTACTGATCACCTCTAATTATCTAACATGATGTGTATATGCGTGTAATAAATTGTGAAATTCCATTTGATTAATACATATAAACCTTTAAGTCAAAGACTCCGGTTATGGGTTCCCCCTAAGAAAAACATCTACTTCAGTTTGGGAGCCTGGGCAGTTACCCAGAACTCACACAAATCGAATGATGAAGTGTGACACACACGTATTTATATTTGATGCCTCCTTGTATCAATGTTTATGTGTTTAAATAAATCATTCAAATTCTTTTTTATTAATCTTATACTTCATAGAATTACAATACTGATGAATTATTAACACGTCGTTGTCCAGATTTTCATCGTTTACAAGGTATTATATCAGTATTATCTGCATCATCATTAGCTGAAATTCGTGATATATTATGGAATGATGGTAATGGACCATTAACTGTTGAAGCTCATTTAACAACATCTGAATTACGTTGTTTAATCAAAGCTTTATATAGTAGTTCATCATTTCGTGATGAATTATTACAAATATTACGTTAATATTATTAATGAAATTTAATGTGTTCTTCCCTATTCCACCCTCACCTTATTCCCCCCCCCACTCGACCTCTGATTGTATTTTTGTTTTCATTTGATGTTCTGTTTCTTTGTAATAAGATTTTCTTATTTTTCCTTTGTTTTTTTTTTTTTTTTTTGGTTTTTGATAAATCAATAATAACAAGTGTATGTAAGTGGGTTTATATTTTAAATAAGAACTTTCGTCTAAATTTGATTGAATAGTTTCACAATATTTGGGCGACAAGTTTAATATGAAACATGAAAGAGAAAAAAAAATGTATTTGTGAAAATCTCAACGAATGAAATTTAAATGAAATCTAACGTTTTGCCTATCAATCTGGTCCAAGCATTTTCATGGAAATATAATCAAACATTTGGTTATCGTCCTTTCATTGTTGTAAACAACACCCCCATCACGAGAAGGCAATAAATCAGACTTCCCTGACAGTGGCTATATCCACATGGTCATGTAAGATCATTTCAAGAGAGAGAGAGAGAAAAAAAAGCTAACTCTCTCCACGCAGGCATGTTCGGCATGCGATTCTCTCCTTCGAAATGCAAAATGTTGCTTCAGGATTGGGTTGCATCGACACCCGAACTAGTGATAGGGAGTGAAGTAGTTGAGCGTGTCGATCGCTTCACTTATCTTGGAAGTCTCATCAGCCCTTGTGGTCTGGTATGTGACAAAATCTCAGTACGGATACAGAAGGCTCGATTAGCTTTTGCCAACTTGCGTCATTTGTAGCGTAGACGAGATATCCGTCTATCAACCAAAGGGCGTGTTTACTGCGCAGCAGTTCGTTCTGTCCTACTCTATGGCAGTGAAACATGGCCAGTAAAAGTAGAGGATATTCGTAGGTTACTAGTATTTGATCACAGGTGTCTTCGAAACATTGCTGGTATATCTTGGGACCACCAAATAAGTAATGCAGTTATTAGGTAACGGGTACTAGTTAAGGATGGCAAATCAATTGATGAAGTAATGAAACTTCATCAGTTGAGATGGCTGAGAGATGTGTTGCGCATGCCCGACCACCGACGTGCGATGTTTTATGGTGTAGGATTGGGTTGGAAGAAAGCTAGGGGCTGCCAGACCAAAACATGGCACAAATCCATGAAGTCACTGACAAGTGGACTGAGCCATGTTGGTAGATGTAGACTACTTGGTTGGAGACCGCGAGATGAGAGCAACCGATGGTCAGAGACTTTGAATGACATGGCTCAAAATCGTTTGCAATGGCGCAGGTGCATCCACACTCTGTGTTCTCTCAAGCTCTAATCTTCTGAATTCTCCGTGTCCTTTATTTTCTTTCCAAATCTATTCCACTGGACTATACTCCTTTAATAACATCATCAAACCCTAATGTTCCCTATCACTACCTCTTCCTTTACGGGATTTGAATCGATAACTGAATCTCTGTGCTAATATGGTATGGCAACTCGAACTGATGTACGTACGCATGAAGTTCCATGTTGTTACTGACTGACTGACTGCACTCTCTCCACCCTCGACTATAATAGATCATTTGGTGATACAAGTCATCTTTCAAGTTTTAAATAATGATAAAACCGATTATTAAGAAAGTCATTTACATAGTGATATTTCTATATTGAATTATATGATACTTGATTAGTTTCATGTGATGTAACCTAAAGTACATGGATGTAATTCATTCACAATTATCCATATAACTAACTGAAATCATACCATTTTTAATGATTATTATTAACTTTAGGTCATATTATATTATCACCAATATCCATGTGTCCTTAACTATTTAAGGACACATTTATAATTATAATTACAAGAATTGTATGTATGAATTAATGTGAATTTTACACTGTTTAACATAATTAATCACTATGTCATACGTTTTTGTAGTTGATTGTCATTTTCAGGTGATTGAAGCTTATTTTGAAGTCTTATGATTCTAATTTAACTTCTAAAATAACAATATCTCGTAATGAAGTACTTGATCTAACTGTTTAACTTTCATTATACTTACTTACTTGCAGCAATTTGAAAGACTCTCCCACTGTCCCACATTATACAAGCATTCCATGTACCTAAATAAATGGTTGCTCTGGTTGTCAGAAGGGGTATCGGCCTTGTGACTTTCGAAGGAATTCGGCTTTCATCATGAAGCGTCATAACTCTTCTAAATGAACACCTTCTGACTTCCAGGGCAGAGTTTAAAAGGTTTGAATAATTTTTTTCTGGTTAGCGTTTTTTTTTTACTTACGCTTGTTACCCCTTATGGAAGAGTATAGGCTACCTATCAGTATTTTCCATTTAATTCTGTTCTGGACAATCCTTTCTAATTGCTTTCAATTGCTATTCATCCTTTGGATGTTTGTTTCCAATCTGGATACTTTCATCATATGTCAATACAATTCTGAATGAAATAATTTGGAAGGTAAAAAGATTTAATAAGTCACATAAAACCTTACTTATGTGAGTGACACATTCATGAGATTGCTTTCATTTGGTGGCCAGTTTTAAGGTTCTACATCAACTATTGTTCATATTTGTTTGATACTTTAATGTGATTTATTTAGTTCATGAATTATCTTGTAAATAAAGGTTAATTTATATAAATTAGATGATACATTTAACTCCGCCTGAAACCCCTTTGAGGTTACTACTGGTCCCAAGCTCGAATAAAGGAGGAGGATTGGGCATGGAGTTAACGACTCCATCTCGTCGAAAACTAACTTGCTGATACATTTTATTGACTAACTGATAGCAAAAATGTGAAGTCGAATTAAGTAGCATATACATGTATGTAATAAATATTTATCCACAGTTTAGTAAATGATTATAAATTTTAAACCAAATTACCGGAATGGATTAGAAAATTAATGTATGAGATAACATATTGATCATTTTATAATGACCTACACTAGAGAATTCATGAAAATTCATGGACTAACTCCGCGTTATTAACTTGAAGAGGTCATAAAGTTTGTGCTGATGATGTCGTTCAGAAGAATGATGAAAATTCCATGACCAAACCATCCAGTTCAGAGAAAAAACCCCATCAAAAGACATCCATCTGAGCCAAAAATCTCCACTATTTCAAAAAAATTAAACAGAATATTATGAATTCATTTGTATACAGACTGTAATATTGTTCAAAGTTAAAATTATTGTAAAGTTTGCATAATTATAACAGTAAAATTGGATATGTATCATCATGATGGAGTAATGAGATTGAAGATATAAAAACTGTTGTCAGTAAATATAATATGCGAAAGAAGATCTTGGATCATCAGACAATAACAACAGATCATTTACTTACTTACGCCTGTTACTCCCAATGGAGTATAGGCCACAGACCAGCATTCTACAACCCACTCTGTCCTGGGCATTCCTTTCTAGTTCTATCCAATTGTTGTTCATTTTTCCCATGTCTCTCTCCATTTCTCGACGTAACGTGTTCTTTGGTCTTGGGGATTCCGGGTGACGGATTGCCTTGTGACACAGTTAGGTGCTTTCCTCAATGTGTGTTCTATCCACTTCCAGCACTTCTCCCTGATTTCTTCCTCCGTTTGATTCTGGTTTATTCTCTCCCACAGTAGGTTGTTGCTGATAGTGTCTGGCCAACAGATCCGAAGTATTGTGCGTAGACAACAACAACAACAGATCATAGAGATAAAATAATTAATTAACTATGTAATGAAGTAGCTGAACGCAAGTTGATAGTAAATCAGTTGAGATTGATCTGTTAGACATTTAATAGAAGTGACCCAAGCAAAATAAGAGAGAGAGAGAGACAATTACAAGAATGATGTAATAAAGAAAAACGATAAAGTCACCATAGTAAGAAAAGATTTGCAATTGTTTCCTTCTGTGTATATGAGTCCAGCTTAAGGCGTGTGATATTTATGGATTTAGCGAACTGATGAAGAATGGAATTTAACTGTTGATTGGTGATACTCAAATATTTCAGTCTATTAACTTAATGCCCTGTATTACTGAGATGCTTCACAATAATTCTATTGACCAAAGGCTTTTTCGAATATGTTCTTAGAACGGAAAGTAGGCCCTTCAGGATATAATAAACAGATATCCATATATGCATCAAATTTCATATACTTATGTATTTATAATCACGTTTATATGACCAAATAATTGAAACAGTTAAAATGACTATCGATTAGCTAATAAAATGCAGAATTGTATATATACTTAATGGGAAACGAATTGAAGTATATACCTGCAATAAAATGATGTTTTACCAGTGTCTATCTGGACTAATTAGCTAAGTGTATAACCTTTTAAATCGAAAAGTACCATGTTCGAATTTCATTGAGAATATCAACTTTAGGATAGAGGTACACGAAGCACCTAAGTCTTAAATAGGGCAAAACGTCATTCTTGGATTCTGAAGTATTGAATTCCTGTTACAATAGTTTATCAAATACAATCTAACACATCTTTCTTCAGCAAATGATCTCAGGTTACTGTTTATTCTTTCTAATCAAAAGCGACCCTTAATTCAAGAAATACAATGATTGTTTGCCTGTAATAAATGTGGCTGTGTTCCAGTGTTTGATGGTACATGAAAACAAGATTGACGCACCCATCAACTGGAATTAAGTCAACCTTCAAATCATGAGTTAGTTTTTCAAAAGTTTTTTATGATCTGAGGAATATAACGAGAGCTACTAGTTTGGAAACAATATGAACCAAACTGATGTATCAGTATTACTATTAAAGTGTTTATCGACTACGAAAACTATTATTCTTCAGGGCTTATTTCTACAATCTCCACAAAACCCCTTCTGATGTTAATCAACATATGCTCACTAGTGAATGGCTTCAAGAGGTATATCCTGGAGTTCTAGTGAGAAGTAGTGGCCAGTGGAGTTGAACCAGGTATGTTGTGAGATAGTAACTCACTGAAGAAAATAGTGGATGTGTCGCTCAATTTCGTGGATTAGTTGAAGTAAGACATTAACACCGTTAGATGACGGCCGGCTCAGTGGTTAAGTGCTCGCGCGCGAAACCAGTAGGTCCTGGGTTTGAATCTCGCATGGGGCGAGGTCGTGGATGCGCACTTCTGAGGAGTCCCACAATAGGACGGAACGGTTTTCCAGTGCTTCCAGGTTTTCCATGGTGGTCTAGCTTCAACTGACTCATGATCTTCACCATTGAAATAATTACAATCATTGTATACGGATAGACCATCTGATATTCAT